TGGAAACTGCAACAGAATTAGAGCAGAAATTACGCTTATGACTTCGACCAAAGCACGGCTGCTCGTCTGACTACGGCTATTGCAGCCATTTTTAATACCCTATAAATACAGTTTTTATGAGCAGTATATTGTCATACGACAACCACACGCTGCTAAATCAATCAAACAAAATATATATATTTTTAAAGCCCATTTAGTTCCTTATAATATAAGAAGAAAAATCTTAAAATTTATTAATGGTAAAATCACCAAAATTATAGGAGCTATTTAAAAAAAATAAGAATGTAGGTCAATCTTGTTTATGTTGATATGGTGAATACTGCTTTGAATTCAATTCAAAGGAATTGCTCTTCTATGGAAGTTAGGAATCAAGTGTGTGCTTAGTATTGTAGTAGATTAATGCGATAATAATAATAATAATAATAATAATAATATTAATAATAATAATAATAATAATTATAATAATAATAATAATAATAATAATAATAATAATAATAATAATAATAATAATAATAATAATAATAATAATAATAATAATAATAATAATAATAGTAATTAGTAATTATAATATTAATAATAACAATAATTATTATTATTATTATTTTTATAATAACAAAAGGACTAATAAAAGAAACAATAATAATATTAGAATAACAAATATTAGATAATAATAATAATAGATATTAGATATAATAATGTCGGTGATGCTATTAGAAATATTTTTGTTCTAATTAGACTCTTAGCCTTTAAGTTTTATATTTTTATCTATTAGGTTGACGTTCATTTTGTCGACGTTTCATAAATGAATTAATAATAATAAGAAATATAATGATAAATATTATATTATATTATAACAATAAGAATAATAATATACGTATTCCATTCTATACGCTCATCTCTGATACTCTCATCTCATTAAATACAGGGTACTTCCCAGGCATATATGATCGTCTGCCTGTATCATTGCCTCTAAGTGCGAGTCACATTTTGGTTGGTGCATGTAATCAATACCGATTGTTATGGTTGTGGCAACGGCGGCATCATGAATGTCTGCCTTGTGGCATTGGCAAAGGCTCTATCTCTCCGTCTAGATGGCCAGCTCAAATTGCGAATACAAAATCAGAGTGCATGCCATATACCAATTTGTGTGCTTGGCGTAATTAAGAGCAAAGCCGCATTTCATTGCCTTACTCTAATTGCCAACGGTCTGGCTAGGAGTCCAGCTGTGCCAAGCCATCTAATTAAAACTATTCAATCGGCAGTCTTTAAAAATGTTTCAACCCGCCTGGCTAAAGACCACTTAAAACGTGAGGGCATGAGCGAGTGAGTTCTTTTCTCCACCTTTTTCTCTGACTCCTCCTCTTTCCAGACTCTTCAGTAAACTTAATTCTATAATTTTCAAGTGGGAAAAGTGTATAAGACAGAACATTTTTAAACAGAATTGCAACATGCTTTCTCTTTCCTCTGATACACTGCAAAAACAAAAAATTAACTTCAACTATTGCCATTAAAACAATGCAATAAGTTTCAGAATAGTTGCTAGTTATTAACATAATTATTTTTTCTTGCCGTACATTCTCTCATGGGGCAAGGTGATTTCGCTGCAAACTGCATCAGTTAAAAGTTTTTTTTTCCCCATTTTTTGCTTATCAAGTTCGAGTTTCAGCTGCCGGCGAGCACTCGCTAACGACTTTGAGCTAATTACCAGATAATTTTTGTGGAAGAAAAACTTCGTATTAGATTAGACAACTACGCTCACACTTTTAAATTAATAACTATTTAAATATTGAGCTGTTACATTTCCACAAAGTTCGAAAAAATAAACTCGACAACTTAAAAGCTTGAATAGAAAATAAACGCCCTTAGCAGAGCTTTATAAATTTTCCCGTTTCGGTACTTTTTAGCTTAGTTTCTAAAGCACAGCAACAAGGGTTGTGAACCTTAGAAAATCATCTGATAAGCTTAACAGCGCTTAAAGCTCTTATACATTTTAAAGCTTTCTCATTTGACTTTGACCTTTGGTTTAAGCTTGAAACAAAGATTTAATGACATAAACCAATTATTTCCAGTTTCCAATTTAAGCTGTTGACTGAAGAGAACAGCTTTCAAGCTTTTAAAGGACTTCCAGCCTTGGTTTGCACCTAAGCTAAACTACGCTTTTAAGAAAACAGCTTTTATACTGCAAAAGGATTTGCAATTTGAATGCATGCAATCTGATCTAAAACTTAGAATCCCATGTAAACCGTTAAACATTGTAGATATATGAAGGCCTAAAGGAACAATCCTTAAATTATGCTTAGAAAGGCATATAAAAACATATTTATTCTAATAATAAGATTATACTTAAAGCCCAATCGACGACAGACTTCGGGGAATTTCCTGTGACCTTAATACCTTGATTGACATATGGACTTGACAACGACAACAAATAAACTTGGCAAAAAGTTTATCGGATTATGGTCGAAAGACACTACCAAGGGCCGCTCAGTCACAGTTGAGCGCAATTGAGATAATCGCATTAAAGCAAAAGCTCACATGCATAAGGTATTCACATGAAAAACGGGGCTAAAAGGACGAAAACGAACCCTATCTTGGATTAACGAATGGAATCTGAGAAAAAGCTGCTAATAATTAAAGAATTAAAAAAACTCAAGCCCGGAACGCAATTTAGGAAATTTCGGTTTTGCTGAATTTGACATCAAGTTTATTGTGTATTTCTTTTAAATATTGAATATTTCTTTCTGGATTTTCTTTAATAACATGAATTAAAACATTTAAAAACGTTTAAGAATTCCGCTTGAACCTATCGACCAAAATTTGTTGCCATATTTAGTAAATATACATATAATATAATCTCTACGGTACATACAATACAATAAATTCTGCTTAAATATATATAAAACACATGAACTCTGCCCGGTTAAAATATACGAATACCATATACATATAAAAGTCATATGCACAAACTTACACAGTTAAGTATTATCGTAGAATGCTTACATCGAAAATAGAATGAAGCACAAGTCTTTATAGTTGTTGGGAACATTTACATATAAATACATATATACACTAGCTTTTGCAACTACCAGATAGTTAGAAATATACAGAGCTATATTTTATTGGTATTTATACCAGCTTTCAACAGATACCATCTAATACTTAAGACTACAAATAATTTATCTTATATATGTCCTAGTCCTTAGTAACTCACGTTCTATGCTTAGGTGGATCCTTTGCATTGCCCACTCTATAAAAATAGCTGTATTATTCTGATATAAGATGTCCTGCATTCCAACTCACATGCCCGACAACTACATGAAATCACAAATTCTAATCATTTTCACTTTATAAGTAAAAATTGTAATTTTTCATGTTTTTCTTATATTTTTTCTTTGCGCAAACGATTGTCAAATATTTAAATTTAATTTTAATTTTTTTACACATATTTTAATGCTCTTTCTTTTTGATTTATTGATGTAAATTATTTTTTGTAAACGAGTTCTACTTTTCATTTTTTTCATTTCTGCCATAAATATTTATTCATACCCCACATTCTATAAATTTGTCTCTTAAACGTTGCCTAACTATTATACTCTCCTGCTTGCTGTACATCTTTACATAGTTTATTTAATTTTAAAATTTTTGAATACACATATTCAAACATATTCTTTTATTTGTTATTGAGCATTAAACACTTCACAATTGATCAAATATTATTTTTTTTTATATCTTTTATTGAGCGTAAGTTTCTCTCCTTTGCTGTCTCTGATATATGTTCTTTGAAATTTGTACTACAGACCTCACAGTTGCATAACCTGACAAATTTCTGGGATATTTGCATATTGTACAATAAATCTATATTATCATACACAAAGATACATCAAGTTCCTGTAGTTGACATTTAACATTCAGATATATATAATATTTGATTTGCAATGAATAGTAAATATTTTAACATGTATATAGGTATTTCTTCTTTATCTAAATGTATGTGTGTGTGTGTGAGTCTGTTGCATAAATGCATTACCTAAATCCTTGCCTGCTCCATATTTTAATATACCGCACTTTTAGTAGAATATTATTATTTTAGCTTTGTTTCAATTTTTTTGCACTTCCCATTGACAGCCTCACATTCACATGATAAGAGCGCAGTATTTGCACAGTTTTGAATTAATTGTTTTGCTTAAGTCTTAAAAAAATAGAGTTTTCGTAGTGGCTATAGATCTGATATGCTAGGAATAAATATGCTTTGCTTACATTATAATTATCCTTGACTTAATGTATTCATAAACTTAAAATATAAAACCAATTAATCTTCAAAAAACAAAAGCAAAACGAACAATTTAACGAGCTTTTATTGTATTGACCAAAGCTCTAGCTTGCATTTATTCATATGTAACTCAAACGAAAGCTCTTGAAATATATATCGAGTTTTTGATTTATATGTTAACGAGATTGAGTAAAACTCGACTTGCTGCATTACATATTGATGGTGCCAATATGTAAGCTTCATAAACAACAATTTAAAAGCACATATAAACTGGAATGTGCTTAAATGTTCTTTTAAAACCAAACTCTTATGAGAGCGTAGCTCGACTGTCTGTAATATATTTAATCTGTGCATGAAACTAAGAATGCACGCGGAAGCTTTAATGTGCTTTCGGATATGTATTGCAATCAATCACTGCTATGAAAACCACACACAAGCTCATGAAAGCTCTCTGAAAACGAACTTAATCGACACAATCATCTTTTTATTTTTTGGCTTTTTTTGACTGAAACTTGATATGGCGCTCAACACACAAATAAAACCAATTAGGCAAAACTGAAGGGCAATAAATTGATAATCAATGTGTGTGTTGGTGTGTTTGCGTGTGTGTGTGGGCGTGTTGTGTATAATTGTAACTGTATTTGTTGATATCTTATAGATATTAAAAGTACAAGCGTCTTCGTATTTCAGTATTAATTAGCAAATAAATCACGCACGTCGGCATGCATGTAAATGAATCCACACACGTCTGCCCACGTTTGGCAACCTTGAAGCCACAGCCCACCCTCATGGAAACCAAAAGCCACCCTCACCTTCCCAACTTTCAGCCCAATTGCCAGCTGCCAAAACAAAACGCCCAGCATAAACAATGCAGCCCCGCAGCCCCCACTTCTCGCTTACTTTGCGTTGGGATCGCGCAATGAACGTGTGGATGGCAAACCACGCAAGCCCTTCTCCAATTTATCCGCATCGCCGGCGGAAAAGCGAAAATTCATGGTGTGTCCCAGGCTTTGGCCCTGTGCCTGGCTCTGGTTGACGCCTAACAAAAACCGACTGCGCTGCTTGCCGGCGACAATGCCGTTGGCTGCTTCGCCGCTACCGCTGCCGCTGCCCACATCCAACATGGCACTGCGCGAGCCACGCCTGGGCCCAAGGAGCTCAATGCTCTCCTCTTCGTCCAGGCCATAGCTGGCCACGCTGGCAGCTGGCACGGGCACAGGTATCTTTGCCGGCGGCGAGTACTCGGCATTTGCCTCAGACAGGCGTCGATACTCGCCGCTACGCGAATTCTGCAGCTTCCAGGAAGCGCGTCGCGTATTTGCCACACTGTGACTGCTGTTGCTGCAGTGCACCGAGGCGTTGGTGGTGGTCAGATTGCCGGTGCTCTGCGACACGAGACAGTTGGAGCCGGAGCTGCTGCTGGAAAGGCTAGAGTTGCTGCCACCGCTGCCGCTGCGACGCATGCCGCGTTTGCTGCGGTGCAGCTGCTGCTGCTGCTGCGGCTGTTGTTGTTGTTGCTGTGGTTGCAGCTGTTGCTGCTCCTGGAGCAGCTCCTGGCCTGCGGGCGGCTCCTCAGGCGTTAGCAATGCATCGGTGCTCTTGCAACAGCTTTGATGACTGGCGGAATGCTTCATGGTCCAGCGAAAATCATTGGAGTTCTCATCATCCAGCGGCGGATAGATGCGTCCAGTTGCCGGCGGCGGCGGCAAACGTTCCTTGGAGCTGCTCAAGCTGGGCTCCGTTGCCAGCGGCGAGACGCACTCATCGATGGTATTAAGTGGCGAGATTTGCAGCACTTGCTTCTGCTGCAAGAGCTCAATTTCATTCTTAATGGCCGGCTCAATGCCCAGCAGGCCCAGCACCAGGCGCGGATTGGCCAGCACAAAGCGCTCAAAGGTGGGAAAATCGATGCGATAGAAATCCGTTTGACAGCTGCGACTCGTCTTCGGTGTGGCTGGCTCCACGCTGGCCGGCGAGGCGGCCTTTGAGCTGGTCGCTGTGGCCATGGGCGGCAGCTGCATTTCACGTCCCCACACCTCGGGCGGATGCGAGGAGCTGCGCTGCAAGGCCGCCGCCTCGTTAACCATGCCCATGGCCAAAGTGCCGCCCATTAGCGGCACATCGCCGCCAGCCAAACCCAGGCCAGCCCGTGCGGCCGCAACCCCACTGATGTTGGGAATGGAACGCGCCGGTGGAAATTTGAGCGAACCATGCGAACTCATGGCAGCGGATGAATAAGTCATTTCCTGCAGCGCGCTAATTGCATTGCGCACCTCAGCGCTTAGCTGGGCGACATCCTGATGCAGTGTGGACACCTGTGAGTCGAGACGCTCCAGCGAGGGACGTTTGCCTGACTCCTCCTCAATTGGGGGCTCCACCTCCTCAAAGGAGTTGCGATCCAAGCTGCTAGCCATGTTCAGTGGACGTTGTCGTTTGTTTGTGTCCCGCAGGGTTATCAAGGAGCGTCCACGCTGATGCAATCGTTGATGACGCGGACTATTCATGCCCAGCAGCGGCGACCGTGTGATGCTGTGATGCGGCGAAGGCGATGCTGATGTTGCTAGAGGACCGCCTGCAATGCCGCCAACAGCAGCTGGAGTCTCCTTATCCTGTTCGCCATTGCAATCGGCCTCCTCACGATTCTCATCATCCTCACTGATGCTGGGCAACGGAAATGTGGGTCCAATGTCCGATTCTTGATTTTCGTAGCCCTCACGCAAATTGAATGTCAGATCATGCTGTATGTCATTCGCAAACTGCTGCTGATACTCTGGATATAGTCGGAGCACCTCCACCAGACCGCCCATGTGTATGCACTTCAGATCGCAGTAGGTGAGCGCCTACAAAAACGAAAACACGAAAACGTTTTATGTTAAATGATTATGCACTACTCTCAAGTCTGTTGCCTGCCTTTCCTGCCTGCCTGCAGGGGTCTCTCAATGAGTTCCCAACAGCAGGAGACCGTATTTTTAGTCAACAAGGCCAGGGTCCATGGGGAACATTGACTACAACTAAAATTTCCTCTTAAATATAGCTTTAAATAGCTTAGGAATGAGTAACAAATTTCAGTTTTATAACTTCATAAGTAAGCGCCTAATTTAGACTGCTTAGCTCGCACAGTTTTGGATATAACTATTATTATAATTATTTTAATTTTAATTTTATTTTTAATTAATTTTAAATAACTTCTCCATTCACAAATACTTTTCAAGCTACACTTACTTTTATATGTTTTTCACTATTTTTAAATTTTTAGGTCCAATTTTAAATTTATAACCCATACATTATTTGAAAACACATTCTGAAACTCTACCATTCTCATGCATATCATTTCATCAAACTAATGTACTCCGGTTGTAGCTAGATTTTGGCTTTTTACAATTATAAATTCTTCTGTCAATGTATTTGTCTACAATTTTGACTTCATGCAAAATAAAGTAATGTGTGGAGCATATAATTCCATTTTCACTCCTCCTTGAGTTCTTAATTATAACAGCTTAAAAATACATTTTAAGCAAAACATTCTCGCATAATATAATGTAAAACTTTCACATTTACTTCATTAATTTTATAAAAAAAAAAATTATACAAAATAATTAGCGTAATGATAAATTCAAGTATTACAATTTGTTAAAGCAAATAATAAAATAAAATGAAATAATTAATAATGTTAATAAAAATAATACAGTTTGCCTTAGATATATTCAGTGAGTCACGCACTTTACATTCTCTTTTATAGGGCAACACTTAGTCGGCTTGTCTTCAACTTTTTCCACTCAATAATGTTGGCGCCTTGGCGTCTTCTTTACATGCTCAAGTGCACCATCTTGGCGCACACACAACACACACACGGACGAGCACGCGTACACACACATTACGCTTAAGTATCACCCATACGCCCCGTTGTTGCTCTTGTTGGCCGACTGCCACTTCGGGCCGTACCTGGAGTGGCGCCTCAGAGAGCGCCCGCTGCGTGCAGCACAAAGCAAATGTCTGCGCTTTATTTTGACGTGGAGGCAGACATGCAAATAAACTGTCCACAAAGGCAAAAGCAACAACAACAATAACGAAAGAGAAAGTAAATGCTAAAGAAAAGCGTGCAAAATAAATGACTGGGAAAATGGATAAACAGAACCACAAAAGCATTTTCCGCACGCCCACAACTATGAATTAATTGCCATGCTTTCCACTAATTAAGCGATGATCTCTTAATTTAAATTTAAATCATGCGCCCACGTTTTTCAGGCGAATTCGCCCCGACACATTATTGCATTCATTGACTGACATTTATGCAAGCCACACATAATTCGCCTGCGGCTGCTGCGGCTTTTGCGGCCAGCTTACAGCCACTTTAAATTTGGAAAAAAAACGCAGAGAAAATATTGAATATACTATATGCCACGTTGCAGTCAAGTGGAAAGTCGTCTACAGATGCCTAAATGCTCGAACGGCGCGTCGTTTGTCTGCGCTTAACGTGATAAAATTTACGAGAAGCAAACAAACAACAAGAGATAACAAAAATAAGCAAATAAGCAAAAAGAGCACAAACAATGCTTGAACTTTAAGCTTCGCCCTTAAATGGCAGCCTCGATAAAAACATAATTAACACACATATAAAAGGAAGAAAAAAATAAAATAACTAACAAAATTCGAATAAACATAAAATCTATTTAATTAAAAGCCCACGCAACTCAACTAGAAAGCACAACACATTCAAATACCCGGGGAGCATTCACATAAAGTTTTGTCAGCATTTGAATACAAAGCGAAATATATTTTAAGCTAAATGACACTGGCTAAAACTGTGGATTGAGCCTTGGGCTTAAAAGAGTGCAAAATGCGACACATAATAAGTATAAGCCATTTAACACCAAATATAAGCTCTTCAAAAAGTAAAATTACTAAATTTAAAAAACTTTAAATAAATTACATTTCAGAAAATGCCCTGGCATGCAATACCCATGTACTGAGAGATAGCTTTGAACAATTTGGAAAGTATTTCGAAGCTTTGTATTAAAATGGAAGCTTTAAAGTAAGCAACAAATATAGTGTAGAACATACTTAGAAAGCTTTGACATAAGCTTATCAAAAATGAGTAAATAAATTATTTTGCGTGTGCAATTAGAAGGCTTTGCTTTAGCCTTAGGGGTATTTAGGCAAATAGGAAGATTAATATAAAGCATTGCCTTAGTTTTAAAGGCACTTAATTTAATACTAAGTTTACTATGTAACTATAAGAGCTTAAAAGCACATTAAAGCTTCAGCAAAAATGATTCCAATTGCCAATTTGACTTGAAGCCCAGCTGAATAACTGCCTAAATCATATGATTACTCTCATAGCTGCGACTATTTCTAGACAAGTTGTAATTAATTTTGTACTGCCCACTTTTAGCTGTTGTCATTTGGGCTTACCTTTATGTCGCTGCTGCTGCGTACGACAACATCCTGGCCAGCGCTGTTTGTGGTAGCGGTCATTTGTCCGTTGCTGGTGGCAACCAGATGCACATTTATGTCCGAGCCCACGAGATCGCCCTTGCCTATGTGTATTTATGTGTGTGTGTTTGTGAATGTTTGTGTGTGTTTAAAACAGAGAAAAAACAAAAGGTCAGTCGCTAAGTAAGAATCAATAAGCATAAAAATAGCAACCATTTGTCTAGGCAACGTCGTGAATGCATAAACAAGCAGCTGGCTGCCTGGGCCAAATGGTAAAGCCAAACATTGAGAAGCGAACGAACTTTCGAGTTCAATAAACGCCTTCAATAAAGATAAACAAAATGGAAACATGGCCATTTAAGCGAACGCGACTTGAAAACCCAAAGTACTTCAAACACGCTCAAACCAACAGCAAATCGAACAGTTAAATGAATGCACTCAAGACTTACCCAAAATGGCAACAACCATGTCGTCCTTGATCACTTCCATGGATCCATTGCACAGATAATATATATAGTTAAGTGCATCGCCTTTGTGTATCAGATATTCGCCGGGTGCACAAAAGTTCGTCTTTATGTGCAGTGACAACAATTTCAGGCAGCCCTGCAAAAACAACCACAAAAACAAGAACATGAAATACTGAAGTAAGAAATGGACGTAAATAAGATTTGATGCAAGTTTATTCCTCTGGCACCTTTGAGTTGAGTGGGTCAAGGAGCAACAGGCGAGCTTCAGTATATAGAAATATCGTGAACTTTCTGTGTGACAAGCTGCATATTGCCGCGTGGTTCAGTGGCTGCCACGAAAAGTGGCTTAAAGCGCGCTTATTGTCGTTGAGTGTTTTCTGTTTGCCATCTCTGCATAAGCTTTATTAATGTTTGCACTTCGTATTGTCGTACACTCGTTCAGTTTACTATTTTATGGTCAACTTGCATTTGGCGTGTTTTGTTGATTCGCTGTGCGAGAAAGTTGAAAATTTAATCGGCTAAGAAAATGTCAGGGTCATGCAATAGTCTGCTTCCAGTTGATAAAGATGTCCGTACTTAGCACTTTGCTGAACAAACAACAACATTTATTTTACAAAATCTTAATAAGCTAAGCTGGCTTTTTCTTTTCATCTATATTAAGCTGGAGGCAATCTTTATCGATTCGCACAGATTGCAAACATAAATTCAAACATGCTAAGTCAAAGATTTGTTTGCAATAAATAGACTTTACTAAATAGACTCAAGTAAGGCCAAAGTGAAAGTGTTAATAATATTTGAATATTTAAAATATTTCTAAATATTTTAAGGAAAGGAATTTAATTGGTCGAATTGCTAAAGAAGACGAAGTTGGTCAAATATTTATCTCTTCTAATATATTGCAGCATAAATTCAATCATAGTTACTCAAGATTTATTTTTGTGCAACAGACTTTACCAAATAATCAGAACACTTGAGCAAAACCGCTTAATTTAAAGCATAAATTTGTTTAAAAAATATTTTAATATTTTTGTAAATATAAAATAAGTATACATATGCAAATAAATAAAATGAATTCTATGGCCAATTTGTAACAAACTAAAGATATCTATTTAAAATGTAAATTTACAAAAATTATTCATTTCCTACTTTTATTCGAGCATTTGCAATATTATTGCAAGTTTAACAAATTGTACCCCGCTATAGATAATAAATTCTGGAATACAAACAAAAATCCTTGACTTTTCTTTTACGGAATTCTCATTCATGTTTTGTCCCTATCCAGGTACCCATAAAGTCCCAAGTGCTACTTATTCAGAATGAGTAATTTCATGTTGCAATTTTAAACGACTATTTTTTTTTCCAAAAATCGTTTATGCAGCCAAAGTTGAGTCCTTCGCTACAATTGGATGAATGCTGTACTCAAGTTGAAAGTTCAACTCAGAGAGCAACTGTAAACTTTTGTTTATCCTTTTCTTGCGCAACAAACTTGGCAAGAAAATCGGGAGTCGACAGTACGGAAAACTTTCCGGGTTTATTAGTAAAGCAATGACTCGACCCTGTGGCGATAATGCAAGTGAAGCTTAATTGGAAAATCAATTACTCTAGACGCACACGAAGCACGCTTCAGATTTTGGCACCATTTACCACGCACAAATGTAAGTTTGTAAGTGTCTGTGTGTGTGTGTGTGTGTGTGCCACAGCTTAGTGTGGCAAATGACAAGGGTATTGACATTGTCGTCTACGATAAACATCACAACTCGCACCGTTGCATTCGCTTTTACTGCGACTAGCCCTCTCTCTCTCTCTCTCTCTCGTTCTCTCTCTCTCTCTGTAGCTTCCTCACACTTTCTCTTTCTCAGTCTCTATTTATTTGTGGCCAAACGTTTTGCCTAAAACCTTTTTCATGCTTCAGTCGTTGCCCGTGTCGAGCTGTTGGCCAAAAGGCACACACGCGCAAATCATTCAATGAATAACCGAAACTTTTACCTGTGCAATTGTTTGGGCGTGTGTGTGTGTTTGAGTGTGGATCTGGGTGTGTGTATTTGTGTGTGCGTCTGTTGACTTTTGACTGCCCTGGCCAAGTTAGCTGCCGATTATTTTGGCATTGCCATCAGCATCAGCATCATAAGACCATTTGTTTGAGAGCTTGTATGGCTTTTAAAGCGGCGTCGACCCCAGCAATAACATGAAAGGCACCAGGGAAACAAACACACACGCACACACCCACACACACACACACACATAGCTATAGATACGACTCACCTGTGAGGCAGCCTCGAATATCGGCAGCTGTAATATTTCACGATGTAGATGCATGGAGACATCGCCACGCAGCTCCTCCGGAAATTCGCGCAGCGTCTGTTGAAAAGAGAAAAGAGAAAGAGAGAGAAAAGCAGAATAAGTAAGAGTGAATGAAAGGAGGTTATGGTAAACACGAGTGTCAAGTGCCGGATCCCAAAACTTACATATCCTTTAAAGCACACACACACACACACACACACCTACATAGTTGCAAATTGAATTGAACGAAATTGTAAGCATTGGACTTTATTTTTCTTTTGCTCCTTGCAGTTTTTTCCGTCATTTTCTGCCATACTTTTCATACGTAACATGTAAAATAAATATCTCTGTCTCCTGCGAATTTTGCTTTTTTTTTATCATTTTGTTTATGTCTCAGTCCCAAAGGTGCGGGCAAGTGTATTGGATAAAATTGTTGAGAGGATTAATAGGAAAATTGAAAAGCTTTTGCATTTTGTTTGTTTACATTTTTGTTTGGTGGTTGCCCTCGATTCTTTGCTTCAGATACATAAGTATATAACCTCCAGAGGCTTGCAGTACACACAAACAAACACACATATATGCCTTGAATATGTGGCTATCTGTTGAATTTATGAATGAATATTACTCAAAATTTGTACGCTTGCGTATCTTCCATGTAATTTGTTTGACAACAAGACGTAAACAAAATGCGTGAGCAAATATTGTGCAGTGGTGTATGGCATGCGGCGCACTTGACTTCACAAGCAAACAAACAGGAAGGTTAGCAGGAAAGTTAAGACCTCTGCCAGTAAATGCTTTTCTAACCTTTTCCGGCAGCTGGTTAAAACAAAAAAGCAATGTCTAGATTTCAAAATTATTCCTTTTCACAAATTAACGAATTAATTTCAAACAAATATAGGAAAATATACCAACATTTGTAAAAAAAAAGGGCTTAAAAAACACGCTTAAGTTGCAGTAAAGTATTTAAAAGGCGTGCATTTTAAATTAATAAAGAAATAAATATTTGTAAAACAGGCTTATGCCTGCAACGTGACAGGGGTTCCCACTCTTTTAACTTCTTCATGCAAAAAGCTTTTAAAATTTTAAATAGTCCAAAAATTAATTAAATTGTTAATAAAAAAAATAATCTGTAAAACATTGATGTATATAAGACACAAATATTGACTGGAAGCAATCACAGATGGAATATTTAACCCAATTTAGTATATGTAATCCCAGAATACTGGCATTTAATTTAATTGAATTCAATTGAATGCACATTAATCGCTTTTAAGTTCTACGAAATATTCAGTAAACAATATTTGTTAGAAATTTGCATTTATAGAGAAGCATAATATTCAATGGAAAATAACATATGTGTGCAGAACGCACACAATAGTAATAAAATCAATAATATGAGAGACAGATATGTGCATAAGTTTCAACTTAGTCGAAATTAGAAGCTTTTTTTTGTGTTAGCCACAAAACCATCACGAAATGTTAGACATTTTTTGGTTAAATGAATATACGGAATGTTTGGCTAAAATTACTCTCGTGCCTTCGAGTATTATTTACGTTGACATGGGCAAAAATTTAACTAAAAACCAATACAAACAGCAACAAAAACTAACCAATGAAAGTATGTATAAAGTTTTAAAAGCTTACCACGCGCCGGGTGTGCGTGTGTGTCTGAGTTTGAATATTTACTTACTTAATGGAACATTTCCCCGAGGGGCAACTTGGAATTGTTATTTATATGTGTTTCTCAACCACAAAATCCAAAGAAGTGTAAAATATTTTACACTAATTGCAAGCAGCGGCCAACAACAACAAGTTGGCCCAAAAACTGTGCGCAACGTTAAAGGGCGTGTGTCAGTCCTAACTAAACGCAGGGCGTTTCATTATGCTGGCCAAATTTGTCTTGAAAATTACGCGCAAACACGCCAACACCATTTCTGATACAATGAACACTCGCATTGTCGAGCAACAGATGGGCCAGAGGAACGTTTGGGGGGGCATCCGAGGGGCCAACAGCTCTGACATTTTTCCAGTTAATTTTCATGCGCAATAAATTAACATTTTAATTTACTGCCTGGCAACTGGCGCCCCATCTTGCATGCAATTTATTTAGTACCCTTATGAGTGTATGATGTATATATATCATTCATGTTTCTCAAATATAATTAAATTAAATTTGATTTTAATGAATTGGCAAGCAGCTAAAATCTCATATATATTTTGGTAAAGCTTGTCAATCATTAACAGCAGTTGTTCATCATAAAGCTAAACCTCGTGCCATTCTGATGAGATTTGACCGAGTTGTGGGAGTGAAAAAGTTCGACCTATGTCTATATAGAATATTTAAGGGTACCCTTTTTTACATTAATTTTTAACCAGGGTAAGTAGTTTTTCAATTTAAAGCGAATTTTCAGCAAATTTGTACAATGTCTAGCTGACAGCAACTTCTACGAACTCCACCTGAAGCATGTGTTGATGAAAGGCTTAAGAAGTTAGTTAAAACATAGTGCTTAGCTAGCTTAGCTAAACTTTATGCTTTAATTTTGGGCCTTAACGAAGCAAATTTGGTCCTATCAAATGGTATTCAAATGGTTGCACGCTGAAATTAATTAGACAAGTTTTGGGTGGAGACAAGTCTAAGCCCCGTGAGGCAGTACGCAAAATTCCTGGCCAAAGCCATTGAAGCGTGTGCCTGTCAGACATTGAATAGGATCTCTCTGGCAGGCGCTGTCAGGAGGAGTTCAGTTCAGGCAACTTCAAAGTCAACGGCACACTTTTCATGTGTTGTGCACAACGTAGCGAGGCAGCCCAACAAATGCGCTAATTAATTTGCAGCTCATGGCAACAAAATTGCAGCACGAATTGTTTACACCAGTGGCCGAGGGGAAAAAGCCCAGCGGGAACTTTTATTTGACTTTTGTTATGATAACGGCAATTAGTGAATGGCATGGCAAATGCACGTGCTAGTGCTGCATAAAGTGTGCATGCGTTGCATGCAACTTTGTGCCAATTTGGCTCTTCCACAGTTGAATGAAGCGGAACAGAGACAGGGAGAAAAAACGAGAGTGAGAGCTTTGGGATAGCTGCCACACTTTGTGTATGCTGTGCGGTTAGGGCAAAGTTTGCCATGAAACATAAAACCAAGTTCAGGTTGAAACTCAAACTTAAATAGATTTACCCCTGCTGGGTCAGATTTAATGAAACTACAAATGGTATTATGATTGCTTGGCGCTGTGTTGAATCGATTTTCGCAAAAGGCGCAAAACAAATGGACAACTTTTGCAAATTGTGTGCACTTAAACAATCTTCCATTTGCAAATAGATCATTTAAGCTCGGGCGATAAACAAAAGTCAATTCATCAACTTATAATAGGTCTGAGCATATTCATATAAATGCAATATGGAAATCAATTTAAGCATTTAAATATGCAGGCGATATCTTATCAAGCCACAGTCAGACAAGCTGCCGTTAACTGTACATACGAGGGTAGTTTAAAGATATTCGATCGTCGTTTTTAATAGCTCGCAGAAATTGTTAAGTGTTCAAGTTAAATGCAACTCTTTAATTAAAACAGCTCGAAATGTGTGAAACTTAAATTTGGCGCCCAAAGTGTTGCAGAAGCAGTTTTCAATAGCTTTAAATAGAACACCCATTAAATGTGGCGCCCAACGTGGGACGCTTCAACTGCCAGCAACAGTTATAAATGGCTGTGAATATCGCATTACCTGTGGGGAATAAAGTTGCTGGTATAAAGAATCAAGCGTAAATGCTTTTATTTTATAGTTAGACGAATGGGGAAGTAAAAGCAAAAGCTGGCAGAACTAAATTATGTGAGATTTAAGAACTTTATGTTGTTTATAACATATTTAATAGAACTGTGTTTTCTACAAATTTTTAAGTGTACGCTTAATACATCAAAGTGACGCTTAACGTTTTGCTATACACATATGTCAGCGTATTTGCGAGTTAATTTCAATTAAAAATAATTGAATTCAGTTAAATCCAATTGAAAATACTTTTTGTACCAACCCCCAGGATACCAACTTATTGTATATATGTAGCTACCTGCTGGCTGACATGCAATCAAAGGGGATTCAGTCCTTTGCCATTTTTGCCCAATGCCAATCAATAAGTCACATAAGCGACCAAGCACACAACTGATATTTGACTTCCACCGCAATATATGTCTTTATATATATATATATATAAATGGGATACCCAACAGGCATTTGCTTAATTAAAGGCACAGACATATCAAAATGCCAATGGAGCCGCGCCGCCCGCCCAGATTGCCAAAGATTTTGCGCTGTGTCGACAACTTCTGTGTGTCTGCATAAATGATTTACGAATGGACCCACACACACAGATATCTGTTATGCACTCATGCTCGCACTCGTATTCATACGCATACAGTCATCTACTCATACTTTACCTCGTAGATATCGATGCCGTGGCTGAGTGACCATGAAGTTTGAAAGTAGTCCTCAATGCGCTGCTTCAGCTCTTTGGGCATCTGAAATTTTGAAGATAGAGAAAATAATAATTATAATGGGTTTTTCTCTTCTTTCTCTTTTCACAAATGTCATTAGCTAATGAGCTGCAGTTTTTATCTGAGTGTGTCTGCAGCTCATTTGCATGCGTTCGATGCGTGCGAGCAGAACAAACGCACTTAATTATGTTGCGCATTGCGTATACGCCGTATGGCAACTGCCTAATGCAGCCACTGGCAGTCGTCGTATTATGTGCGCGTGCAAGATTGCACCATCAACAGGTTGTGTGACACGGTCACGTCTCCCAGCTAAACATAGCCCTTCACAGGAATGGGTGGCTGGCAACCGCAACCAACTCAATCGTTCGCTTATGGCTCTGGCTAGGCATCCGCCCCCACGCTGCCTAATGTTGCGCGGCATATGGCGAATGTGAGCTGCATTCCAATGAAACTGAGAAAGTAGGCGCTCGGAACATGGACTGCATGCATAAGGCGTGTGTGTCGACCAGTTGGCAGCCACAGGGGCAAAAATTCATTTCCAATGCCCAAGGCCATTGCGGTTTTGCCATCGATAATCAACTATTAATGAGACCGGCCCATAAGGCTTAAGTATCACTTTGGTGCACTCGATAGAAAAATAAATGTGCACAGTTGTGCGGTTGGCGCACAATGTGGGATAGAACCAGCCATGAATCACTTTTGATATCGTGAATAGACATCGAACAAGCTACACAGACAAGGAACTGCAACAGCTTTCGATGACTATGCACGTTATTTACACAATATGCCTAATTAATTGGCGCCCAACGTGGACAGAAAAGTGTAAACGCGTTTATTGCATTTCCACATGAATGGCGAGCACATATGGCTTTAACATTTAACCGATTAATACTTACATTATGCAAGGCCACGAAATCCTTCAGGTCCCGCCATTTGCTCTCATAAAGGGAGCGACGTGAATACATGCGTTGTATGATGGCCGTCACATTACCGAAGACTACAGCATGCATCAGAGCTGAATGCCAAAGGAGAGAATTCAGAATTTAATGTTGAAAGGCAGTAAAATATGATTTCATATAACATTCGTGAAAGTGGGGAGGGAGTAGGTAGCACACGTGGATGATTACCTACCGCCAATCAGCATCATTATAATGGTGAAAACCTTCTCGGCCGTTGTATTCGCCGACACATTACCAAAGCCCACAGAGGTGAGGCTGGTGAATGTGAAATACAACGCTGTCGAGTAAGTCTCAGCCGTTGTTAGTATGGCAACAGAGGCATTTTTTCTCTCAGCCAGCAGCTGCAGCCAACCTGTGAACAAGACTTCAAGATTTTAATAGGAAAAGAGAAAAAAGGCGAAAAAGAAAAGAAAAGGCATATAAACTTTGTTTAGTAAATCAGGCATTAGCAAAGCCCATGGCACCAGACACATACGTATTATTATTATTATTTTTTTGTTGTGTAATTCAGCCGCTTATTAAACTGACAATGACTTGGCCAAAAGTTTTCGACTTTGCCGCCGCTGTCCATCAAAGTATCAGTCAGTAAGCTGTCAGAGCCTCACGGACATGAAGCGTGTCAAATCCGGCTAAATGCTTAGGCCAAAATGGCAACGGAAACGTCAAACGGCAAACGCCAAATGGCAAATGGCAAATGGCAGTTGCTGAACTTTTTGCCAAACAAATTTTTCTATCTCGAATTTTTGTATCATGTTCACAGTGCATATTGATGTGAAAAGTAACTGGCAATTTGTTGCTTGCGTATGTGATTTTCCCTGGCTGTCAGTTTATCAAGAGTGGAATATTACAATTTACCCGGGGAATACACATGGCATAATGCATAAATAAATGCTAATCTGCGAAAATGTTAAATTAACAGCGACGTGAATGGAAGATATACCCTAGAGATACTTGATTGCAATTAAGGAATTTTGGAACTCTCAGAAGTCAGGTGGAAAGATTGCTATACAATGAAGCATGTTCTGTTTACTAACATTGCAGGGTATATAAACTAAGAAGTGAAAGGATAAGTTTGTGAACTAAAAGGTTAAATTAAGTTAATGTCGGTTGGAATTGAAGAAAGTTTTTGATGATTTTTCCGGACTGCTAAATGTATTATGTTGAAGTTTTATAGACCCCTTCCGATTCCCTAATAAAGTGCACAAAGTAAAAAGAGGACAACAATTGTAGATAAGATGAAAGTTTTCTATTCATTAATTATTATAGTATTGTTGAGCTATTTTGACTTACAAATTGTCTGGCTTCCAATGCGAGTAGAAAACAGTTTAAAAGTCCGGATTTTTACATAAAAGTAGTATATACTCATCAACTGACTACAGGGTATACAAAGTAACAATTTGCAGTTATGGCGTCGGAAATCAAAGCATTTTGTACTCCCATGTACACTAAACCCTGCTGCCCAATGCCAGCACAGGGTACACAAAGTAACAATAAAAACTTTTTAAGGCTCACACACACACATAGATTTAAATCACAATAAACGTTGATTTGATATTGTTTCGCACGAGTTTTGTGCAAACTTTGTCATTCGAATGTGTTAATAACCGTCATTTCCCCCTTCAGCTTTACACCTGAGCTGATTTTAAACTTTGAGCGTGCCTGTTGCCAGCAGAATACATTAGCCAAAACATGTGTGTGTGTTTCCGTGACTGTGTGTGCGTGTGTGTGTGTGTCAGTTTGTGGTGCGGGGCAAAGGCAACAATTTCATTTGGCGTTTGACGAGCCAGGCAAACACAATCAACGCTGGCGGCAAACTAACCAAATTACTGTCCAACTAACACACACACACACACACGTTAACACACACCCAACACTTATGTATATGTGAATGGGCTGATGGGCTGCAAGATGACCTTGGCTTTTAGCCAGTCCATGCGTCGGTCCATGCTGCGCGTCCGCTACTCACCAATGTTACTCTCGGGAAACCACTCGTACTCCTTTACGGCGATGACATACCAGATGCAGGCGAGCCAGTGCGCCGCCAGCGTAAATGAAAACATCAGAAGCGTCAGAATCATGGCCGTGTGCTGTGAATATCGATCAATTTTTTGCAATAGCCTGGCCAGGCGCAACAAACGCGTCAATTTGACAAGATGAATGTGTGATTCCTGTGCATAGAGACACATCGAGAAAGAGAGAGAGAAAGAGAGAGTTGAAAAGTAACGAGATACATTGTTAAACGAGATGCATTGTTAGCGCTGCATAAATTTATCGATGACACTATCGTGCGTATCGATGGTCAACTTATCGGTCGGCATGTTAATTGCACTGATTTTTTTATTACAGCAACCTATATTCATAAACTTTTACTTATTTACTTATAAATATTGGCTTATGCTAGGTATGTTGATGGGTCTCTATAAGGCTATCGATGGCTCTATCTAGGGTATAAGTCGGATGATTAAATTCTTCATTTTGTTCTAGATCAAGGACTGTTTGTATGATTTTAATTCAGATAACAATTACGAAGCGCAGCTGAACAAATATGCGGAAGAGGAAGTGATGTGGCTATTGACATTAACTGCTTGTGAATATAAGTGTTAAGTCTTGGAATTTTCAAACAGCTTGAAATAAATACAATAAATTGTGTGAGTTGATGATTTTAAATAATTGTGAAAGAGTCGGAACTCCTGGTGTAGTTGAATAAACAGAATTGACTCATGAACTCGGCGTAAATGCCAATTTAAAAGTGGGCTAATGTTAACTTTTTATACACTCTACAAAAAGTAAACTAAACAAAAAAGTTGAGTTGAGTTTTAAAGTTGAGTTGAAAAGTTATTTCCAGCTTCAAGCGAAATGCAGTAATAAGCTTTTCATAGCAGCTAATGGCATTTTGGCTCTAATATAATTTTGACCCCTCGAAGTTTGCTCCAATTACGTTGCCCACTTTTACTCGGGCGTAAATCTCATTAGAGTACACGCACACACACACACACACACACATACTCATATGCAGACCCAACACACGCTGAGTTCCCAAAAATTTTGACACATGCCCATTTATTAGCTAGCATTTCCGGCCTTCGCCGTATTATAACTTCCGCCCCAACTCAACAAAGAAAGCAAGCAGAATAAATGGGATAGTTGAACAAAAATCAAATCAAAGGGGCTGTCATCAAAAAGCCGAAATGTAAACATAAACAAGCTTATCAGGCTGCCCAGAAGGGCGGGCAGGTTGACTAAAGAGAAGCTTTGAGCTATCATTTAATCTTGAAGCTGGCAACTTATGTATATAAAAATATATTTTATGATGAAAAGTAAAAATATTATAAACGTGCAACTGTTGAGGCGTCTTTTCTAAAATGGGCACAGTTTATAAATTGCTGAAAGAGCTGAAAAAAAACCTGCGATCTAAGCATTTAGCCTGCAACAGCCTTGCAATAAATTCAATAGAGAGAAGTATACGCGAGGCTGTCAAGAAGCTAAGTAAAAGGCGTTTAAAGCGTACAAGCAAATTTGAGTAGTTCGACTACATCATACCCTAGAAAAAGCTGCAGCAACGCAACAAGCTAGCTACAAGCCAATTGTATATAAAACGAAAAACACATGGACCTTGGAATTAAAATTTTTGGCATCATAATAAAACTTTTCATGTATAGTGAAAATTATTCAAAGTGTATAAAATATGCAATAACGAAACCCAAGATAGTTTAGCTATAATATATGAGCAAAGCATTCATTTGAAGATCATTTGCTGTTTCGAAAACAAAATGCATCAAAGCTTTGAAAAACAATGAATATTCTTTCACCAATTAAAATGTATCTTCGCAGCGGCACACTAATTCACAAGAGATACATTTTCTAAGCTAAATATAGATAATAACGCAAAAATAGGCACCGTATTAATATAAGCAATATACAAAACCATATCATACACGCCTTAAACATGTAAAAGTACAGGATATACAAAAAAATAATACACACAGACAGATGAACAGACAGCAGAGAACATGTCGAGGCGTTGTAGCTTTAAGAAAAGCGGCACAATAGACGCTTTTGTTTTCCTTTATACGGCTTTTCGCTTTTATACGCCACGTGACTGTTTATATGCGTGTGCGTGTGTTCGTGTATCTGTGTGCCGTTGTCAAGCAAAATTGTAATTCATGTTGCAATTTGCGCTGCGCTTTCGCTTTCGTTAGCTTCATTCTTTGCTTCATTCAATGCCTGCCTGGCTGGCTTTAGGTAAAGTTTTGCGCCGCCTGCTCACATTTTGTTTACTTTGTCGCACGTTGAGGCGCCAACAACAAGAACAACAACAACAACAACAGCTACAACGGAAGCAACGCGAAGTAACTTGACTCAACTTGAATGCCATGGCTGGCAACTTCCGTTTCCGTTGGTCGAGCTCTTGTCAACTTTTTCTTCTCTCTTCTCTTTTTTTTTTGGGTCTCAAAGATAATTAAAACTTGGAAATCAACTAAATATGCAAAGTTTCTGGTGCATTAGCTGGAAATTGGTATGCAGCTACTGTGAGAACAAGATACACCACTTTAAAAGTAAGCAGAAGCAGCTAAGAAAACGTCAAAAAGAAAATACTTTTGAATAACGAAAGCTGAGCGCAAGACCTATCCAAAATTTGTCAAAAGTAGCCAAATAATAACATATTATTGAGGTTTTTTTTTCTCGGCCACTTAAGAGCTTTAAACCACATAAAACTCACAAACTTGAAAAGAGGGAGAGAGAGAGAGGGGAGGCGGAAATGCTTGCAATTAGAACACATTTAAGTATTATAAAAGAAAAAAATAAGTTAAGTTCTGATGGCGCCCAAATGTGGCATTAAAAAAGCTTAAGACACGCTCCGATTTTTTCACATTTTTGTTGTGGCCTTCGAAAAATTTTAAAAAGTAAACACATATTTAAGTTAACATCGAGACAGACCAAGTTTTTGCTGGCCTTGGCAAGGATTTGCCTTTTTGGCAACAACAAGTTCTGACTTTGTTAAAACTACATCCCATGCTTAAACCTACTTCATTAGCCAACTCATATTTACTACAAGTTAAAAGCAAAGTCCTGTAGCTAAGTAGTCAAATTTTTTGTCAGATATTTGATGCTTGCTTTAACCCAAGAGCTCAACATACCCTAAGTACTTCAGGTCTTGGAGTACGGGTATACAGAAAATTTCACAACTGTCTACTTGAGTCAACGAGGCAGCTAAAATGTATTTGATTTGATCGGAAGGAATCACAGCTAAGCTGAAAGTTGTTGTTGCTGGGGGTAGTTCTAACGAGCCACAGTCAACAAATGAAACGAGGCACACACAAAAAGAAAACTTTGGTCGGCAGCGCAATCAATGCGAAAGCCATGACAATGCATAAAATCAGTGAAAAGTCAGCTTGAAAATTAACTCAGAACAAAAATGGCAGCTTAAAACACAAGCAGAAGGATACTTGAAATGTTCATAATGGCTGCCAAGAGCGAATTTGACTTTTATTTCTTTATTTTTTTCGCATACACTCTTCGCTAAAGCGAAGGAGGGCATATTTAAACCATAAAAGTGGCACTAAAGATAGCAAAAGTAAAATGTTTCGAAAAGCGGAAATTAAAAATTTCCATCTATGGGCGAATCAGCGTGGGCTCCTTAAATCCCAATTTTTAGGATTGAAGTCATCAAACGTAGTATTATTTATTTGTATTATTATTTGTACTAGACAACGGACAAGCGCTTTCCCATATTAAAGCCACGGCTTGTTTAATATAAAGTTATTTAAATTTGTTTATTACTATTCCTTAAAAGATCAGGTAAATGAGACCACGTATCTCTACTAGTTTCAAGGTAAATTTATTTACAATGTATATGAATATAATACTTCAAAGAGAAAATAATATTTTTAGCAATCAACTAAGCTCTTTCTACGTATAACAAGAACAAAGTATCAACTGTTCCATGACTGTCATCCACTTTCCATTCCCTTTTCTATCCGGAAATAAAGTATCTAACAGTCGAGTAACAATCGGCCTCGAAATTCTTTCTTGTTGTCCAAGAAGGGCGGAGCACTTAATGAAAAAACTGACTTCGCCAGCAAAGAAGCAAATAAAACAAATTCTAGCCTCAAGTTAGGTGCTTGAAAAACCAGGACAAAAGGCTAGACCAAAGGAAAGTCCGGTCAATGAGCAATACCTGAAACCCCTGACAGACAACTGCAAATAATGCAAAACGTAGCATACTTTTTGGAGCTCACATTCAGTTGATACACATTTGGGTCAGAATGGCGCAACGATGGCACCGCATTTACCTACTCAGTTACCGACAGTCGGCGAGGACATGACTTAAATCCGTCTGATGAGCGTCAAGTGCACTCTAAAGGATTCCACTTGCTGGGGCAAATAGAAAAGCGGCTTAAACGAGTTGCGCAACTAAAAATAAATATGAAAACTATGCTCAGCACTTACATGCAACTCAATTCTAATTAAATGCAATTATTTGTAAAGCTATTAAAGCCGAATTAAATTCAGTCAAGTCGAAAATAACAATAAAATCCCTTATAAAAGACATGCGGTATGCATGCGATAAAACAGACTTTAATGCAAATCCTCTTACACTTGAAATTCGGCTTAAATATTTAATGTCAATGGAGGGTTCAGCAGGCCATGTGTAAGCTAAAAGCAAAGTTCACTGATAATCCAAGTGCAGTTGCAAATGAGCTTTCGACCCCTCCCGACTTTCACAAAGACCAGCAAATACAAGTTTGTGGTGATAAAATTCACTTGTGGAAAGTGATTTCTTCATTTTACCTTAAAATCAATTAAATATGTTTAACCAAGCAAAATGCTCGAATCGGTGGCAATTAAATTTGATTAGCCAACCAAACGGCAAGCATATCAAATTAATGCTCAACAATGTGTGCAACATGATATGTTTAATGCGCAAATATAATTGTTAATTTAACACTCAGCACAAAGTGAAGCTAACGAACATTTCAATTAAGCAATTATTATGAATAGCAATTAATAACTGAGATGAAGATAAAGATTACGAAAGAACTTTTTAAAAAGGTCACAAGTAGAGTTACCTTGAAGTTGAACATGAACACAAAAAGACCTACGCAAAATATAACGCAATGTTAGTGAAAAATGAGAAACTTTGTTTCTGAGAATTACTTTGGGGATATTTGTTTATGTGATTAGACATACTGTGCAGTATAAGCAGCTAATATAAGCGTTAAATAAAGATTGATTAGAGTTTCAGCACAATCTTGAGAGGGAGTACATATAGAGAATTTAACTTTAGATAAATAGAACATACAAAATAGATAAAAGAGCGCGGATTAAAGTTACTATGAAGGACATATGTCTAACTGTTCAACTGATTTAAATAAATATCAAATGCATTTCCAGTTCTTTTAAACCAGATTTCAAACGTATAAAAACAACAAATACTTAACGCAATCTGCTCACAAAGCCTACTCCCCAGACACAATCACAATGCCAGCGAAGCCAGCTTTAGCTCAGCTTGTGCATTTTAACTGCAGCAATCACACACTCACACCCTCGTCTTGTGCCCCAGCTTGCAATTTTCCGGGGTATGCAAATAGCGAATTCATTTCTCAAATGTGACACAAAAGGAAAAACTATTTGTTAAATGGCGTTGGAAACAATTTAGAGACAATTACTCACCTCGCCGTCGTACAAATCGGAGGCATATAGATGATCAAAGGGCAGGGCGGCCAATAAGTCCAGGGCAAACCAGCCACGGAAATAATTGATGGCAATCTGTTTAGAGTTGGATACGACCTCACCTTTGCGCGAGACAAAGGTTGTGCGAAAGTTCAATAAAATATCTGCAATAAAAGAGCAATAAAAGAAAAGGATAGAGGACAGGAAACGAGTAAGTAAGTAAGACACAAGAGAATTAAACTAAAAACCCATATTGAGCTTTGAGCTGAATTCAATAGCCAGCCAAGGGCCCTAAAGGATGATGATGATGAGGATATAAGTGTGGCTAACAGGTTGTCCATATAAATGTAACAAAGCATCAACTGGACAACCGAATGCCAAAAAGGGCAACAGCTCATCATCATCATCATCATCATATGTGGTACTCACCGACAATGAATAGCGCCTCGACAATTACATCGGAGACCATGGTCTGGCGATCCGCTTTGGCAAATGCCGCATTGTAGGGCACCATCAATGCCACATAGAAGGTGGCCACCAATATGACCCAATCCCAGATGCCTTTGAATACACCATAATGGGGTAAAATCAAGCGTGACTTTTTTATCGACTGCGTTTTGTATTCGGGAAATGGAGCCTCGGTTGAATGCATAAAGTTCTACAAAAATAGAATATAAAAAAAGAATAACAGAAAAGAAAGTTTACATCAAAAGTGAATTTCAATTAAATACGCCGCGTGAAAGGATTAAGTTAAATGCACGGATTGCCGCATTAGAACGTGAAAAGGCAGCGGCGAAAATTGTTAATTCAATTAAGGGCACACTCGAAGAAAAAGTATAGCACAAAGAGATTATACTAACGAATTATTTTTAATATATAAAATATTCTTGTAAGCAGAATAGTTTTAAATATGTCTCAATACCTTTTAAAATTATAACTCCATATAGTTCCAATATTATAAGAATAATAATAAATAAATTGAATAAAAGATAATAATCTTAAAGATTAATTTAATTTATTATCGATATTTATCCGAATTTTAACTATTTGTCCTTTAAAACGAAAATTGTTTGAATCATATTTGTTGAATATAATATTTGAAATCAAAAAATTGTAATCGAAACAAACATTTCCAATGCAACAGTGATATCAAAAGACCCTCAAAATTGTTGAAATGGCAAAAAGAAAAGCCCTCTAAATTCCATTTGAATAATACCCTACACGCCGAGTGTATATTCCGAGCCATTACCTTCGACAACAACAAAAGGGGATTTAAAGCCATATACGTTTAATTGAATTTGGGTCGCAATAGCAGATTCGATGTTGTGGTTGGAGTGTGTGTGTGTGTGTGTGTGGTTTGAGTGTGGTTATCATACTCACATTGCCCAGCTTCAATTTGGTTTTGACCCCGCCCTTTTCGGGCTTGTAATGACCGGATAGCTGATATAGAACCGCACGACTGCGACGTCTTCCCATATTACAGCCGGCGGGCACATCCAAATTATTACCCTCACCGGTATCCGTATCGCCGCCATCACCAGACGACGGTCCGCCCAGGCCGGGCAGGCCGCCCAGGCCCAGAATGCCGGCATTGGAGCCGGCACGGAATCTAGCGCCCAGGAGTGCAGCTGTAAGGGCAAAAACTTACAGAGTCGCAACACAATAATTTCAATTGATGCAGCAAGCAGCACACAAGCGAGTTGTACGATTCGACAATTTAATTATATTTATTATTAGGTTTTATTTTATGGATTTGGATATATATTTTTTTTTTAGTTTGGGTTGTTTTTTATGTCGGTTTAATTACAATGATGATGCCGGTTAGAGTAAGAAAAAAGAGCACAAAGAAAGAAAATATGCAGATATTGTACAAATACAGTTTGAATCAATTATATTGTTTACAGTTTTTGTTTAATTCAATTGTTTTAAAATGTATTTAGCAATCGGCTAAAAAAGGCGGACATACACACACACACACACACACACACACACACACACACACACACACACACACACCACACACACGCACGCACACACACATAGATAATGTGTATCATAAATTTAGTAATTCAGCCTTAAAGCGACACAAAGTACAAGCTGCATGTGTTTGTCTGTGTGAGTTTGTGATATTATCTGACTTCAATTCAGCTTTATTTGAGAACTTAGCAATACTACACTATCAACAGCCTGCATAGTGTCGTAATTTACTTAATGCATGGCAAATGCAGCTGGCAGCTATGGCTTATGGAAATACATATGTCAAATTTTTTAGCTCAAGCTCATATTACTTCTGAGTAAAAAGCTCAACAAATTGCAATATACAAAATATTTTAACTAAAATGAATTATATTTTTACAATTATTTTGCCACAATGATTCTAAAGAAACAACTATCAAAATATTTAATTAAAATTTAAATCAAAAATGTTTTTTCAGCTTAAATTCATGAGTCAAACAAATATTTACCCGAAATATCAGTTCACAGCATAAAAATAGAAAAAAGCATGAGAATAAATATAATAATTCACAGCCCGGCTCGAAGGCATGATAAGTTGCCAGGCGTGAGGCGCCAAATACTCATGTCCGTGAATTTGTTGGCATGTAAACAAGCCTGGTATGCATAGTGTATGGTGCCAGGATGAAAGTAAACCACAATCTCAAGCACACAAAGAACCGGGCCGCAACCTCTAGCAGGCTCATTAAATTTAACTTAATTTTATTTTCGTCGTCCAACTCAAAGGCGACGCGTGCTGCTATAAATTACAATTAGCTTGATTGTGAAAAATTTGACCCCAAAAAAAGTAAATAGACAAACAAAAAACTGTGGGACAGAGCAGCATACTAATTATACGGATTTAATTTTCGATGTCGTAACAAAGTGTAAAAATGGTGCCGATCCGGCTTATTAAAAACGTATTTTTTCTTTGTTTTATTACCCAGCAAAGGGTATGCAAATTTTGTATCAAATATGTAACCCATTGGATTAGGAAGTTAAGCCCACTATGCGAACTGAGCTCTCGGCAAAGCTAAAGGGATGAAAATTGTTATAGATGCTTCCTAGTATCCAAGAGAGTGTATATTTTAAGACCTAGATTGGAGAATCGCCTGGCAGCCATAGGAACGACGGATCAAGGTTAAAGACTTTCTATGTTAAATTGAAGTTGATTTAATAGACTTTCCAATTAAACTTATTAAGAGCATGTATTCTATACGCATCAGTTAAACAAGCACATAGCTCTTGCAGAAACATTGACATTTTTCTTTTTATATATAAACGAGGGTATTCAATTGACAAACCGAAAACAACCGCTTTTTTTACTTCGCACAAGGGTCTGAAATAAGCGTAACAAATTTGATTTCGATTTTGAGCCCGTAACCAAGCCCAAGCCCGAACCCGAACCCAAGCCCGAGCGCGGCCCAGCCTCGCTGTCATATCGAAATGCCAATTAAGCTGCCAGGCACCTCAATGATCCAGGCCGTGGGCTAACAACATATTTGGGAGTTACCAACTCCCACATTTCAACAGCACGTAGCGCACGCTCAATGCATACACAAAAAAAAAAAAAAAAAAGAAACGAAGCAAATTGACAGAAATATCGAAGGGAAAAAATATGGCGAAACAAGTGCAAAATATGCGCGATTCAGTCGAGCGTGGAAAATGCTGGGAAAAAGTGTCGCACATGCCGCATTGGTGAAAAATTGTTAAGAGGAGCTGCTGCCGCATTCCTGACAAGCCTAATGATGTGTGAAATGACGGTCATTTTAACTGTCGCTGACGCACGGCTCACATAAATGTCGAGCGAATGATAATTCAATTGCCTTTGAAATCTCGCCCGTTTGCCACATCAAATATGGCAAATTCTTCAAATTTACAGCCTAATTACTTGGCCTGTCTGAAAGCACAGTTAATATGCTGCTTTGACAAGCCTTAATTTGCAATTGATGTGGATTGTGGATTGCCGCTCAATATACCACCAGTCAGCGGCATTTGCTGCAAATGTCAGAGTTTATGCTCAAATTAATTTTGAAATTTTCACAAGCTTACGAATACGCCATATATTCAGTTGATATATAAACTAAGCCGCCTGTATATGCCAAAGGCTCTTAATAAAATCAGAATGATTTTGTGGTTTATTTTTATACGCCAACTAAAGTAGCAATTCATTGTGATTTGCCGCAAATGTCAAGACTAACTAATTTCGGAAAATTTCACAAGATTACGTATACGCCACGTGTCTGAGAAGTATATGCAGTTGACAATTCAAATAAACTTTGATATTTAACTAGAAAAAAGCCCTATAAATAGCCAAGAAATAAACTCTACGCTTAATAATAAAACATAATTTCTAGTCTAATTTCCAATGAAACATAAAATCATACTATATCAAGTCCATAAAATAAAATAATTCAATATGTTAGGACAATATAAAAATTAGGAATATAAAATACTTAAGAGTATAGAATATTTTAAGAATATAATTGTTTATAGCATACATAATAATATCATCACCTCCTAGTACACTCTATTAGAAGAGGAAGGTTAAAGTCTATAAGTCTATTCAATCCAACATTAAACACAATTTTGTAATTAATGTGGTATACCTTACAAAATTCATATATGTTAACCAATTGATATGAGCCCAAAAGCTGTCAAAAACAAATGCATGTTAAGCAGCTGCAAAGCCAAATCAACTGCAACTGTCCTGTTGCAATCGACGTGGCAGCTGTCGCATGCAACAGTTTGTGCAACAGTTGTGCACACCGAGCTGCTATTAAATATAAATTTTTAATAATTATGACAACGGCGCCGTTGCACGCTGTTTATTATGCCAAAACGATGTCATCAGCACTAAATAATTTAAGAGCTCAACTCAAACTGTGAGAACTGTGGAGGAGCGATTAAAGCAGCTGCCGTTGTCTGTGAGCAGCTCATCCATTTTGCATGGCTGCAAGGCTCACAAAAACCACAAAACAGTCAAGTCAGTCAAGTCAAGTCAAGCCAAGTCAAGTCAAGAGCAGTGACAACAAAGCCACGACCACTAAATAATGATGGTAATAAAACTGCAAATGAAACCTGCCAGAAAATGCCAGAGTGCAAGCAACCAAGCAGCCGAACAATGCTCGAAAAGCAGACCTCAAAAACCCAACCCCGACCTCACCTTTAGTTAGAAGCCCAGAACTCTGTCTGCTCACTAATTCGCATTAGTTGGATGCGCAATGACCTACGCGAATAAATTCACTTCATGCGCACAAGCTAAACAATTCTCTTGGCATTCTCTGTTTGCAATTGGTTTTATTTTCTTTTCGGAAGCAACCATTTGGAGTTGACTTTCTGCACATCAATATTTAAGCATGCGTTACAATTTCTTTAGTTCTACCAATTTCGTCCCTGGAGAATAATGGAGACATTTTCATGCTAACTAATTCACCAAATTCAGTTGTAAGCATATTTAATATATAATTAAGGAGGACAAGCACAGATAAATACTAAATGATAAAGTAAATTCAAAAAGTTTTAATGCCTATTACTAAGTTCTCGGAAAAGACTTATTCAAATTTCATGTGCATTTAAATTAATTTGGAATTGCACAGAAATTAATTTATACCGAATATAAGTTTACAATGAATATGTTAAATGTTTTGTATAAAGTTTGTTTTAATTTTTAAAATGAAATTATGCGCATATTTTATGAAACAGAAACTTTATGAGCCACAATTTTTGTTGTATTCCAGTTGAAATTGAATTACATTTAAATTGAAATTGGAATGAAAAGTTATCATTAGGAATCATCTTTGAATATACGTTAAATGGAAATTAATCCGAATAGGAGTTATTTTAATTTAAATTTAACTTAAATTAATTTATACATTTAATATATTCAATTAAATTAATTTAAAATTTGAAATAAATTCAATTTAAACTAACATTACTCTTAGTTATAACTGTTATATCCATTGTACAATTAGGAATTTATATATATATAAAACAAATTTAATTGAATAATAATATGTTGATAGACATACTAGAATAAATACGTAACATATATGAATATAAAAACATTATTTGCAGTAATTTGAATCAAAATTAACTTTAGTTTAATTTAAATAGAGGAAATTATACAATAAAACTACGTAGCGACAAATGTATTTAATCTATCCTGCTACAACGCAATAAAATACCGCAAACGGAGTCAAAAGGTGACAAAACAGAATAAAAATATAACATCGAATGAGTAAGGTATTTAAATATTAATTTTCAAATGCCAGCGAGTTGTGGGAAATGTAAAAAAAAGCTGAAACATGAACAGGTTAACCAAAACTTCAGCATACGCAAAGTGAGTACAAATTCCACAAAGTTGACAAGATGACATGGCAAAAAGGAAAAATAAAAAATGTATATAGAAAAAAAATATAAGAAGACTGAAAAACCGAGCAAGCGCCAACAGGCACACGCACGCACAGGCAATATATATGCATATTCATATTTATATATATATATATATATATATATATATATTAAATATATCATTTTGCCTTTGACGTGGCGTTTGGTTAACCAATTTACAAACTTTTGCACATCTGCTTTATTAATTTATGGATAATTTAACACTTATACTTGGCTATCATGAGTGTGTGTGGGTGTGAGTGTGTGCGTGTGTGTGTGTGTGTTTGCGTGTGTGTGTGTGGGTTGGCATATGTGTTGTTATGCTTGTGCTGAGGATATTGTATCAACAGTTGACCGTGCACTTTTGTGGGCGTGTCAATTGTTAATTATTGCTTGATACTTTGTGCGCGAAATAATGCATTAACTCATGTGAATTTCCAATTTTATCTGCTGCCATGGCCTGGCCATATGCAATATAAGGCTTACAATTTTATTGATTTATTTATTATACTTATTTGCTTATCATTTCTTTTGGTTTGCTGCCATTTTTTGCCTACTTACCGCTATCACATTCCTCGTTCACATTCATCTCCAGCATCTTGGTGTGCGTGATGTCCTTGTGCGAGGCCAGGAAAAGCACCACATCGCGCTTCTCATTCTTGATGGGCACAATGTCAAACAGACACCAAAAGGGAGCACCTGAATAAGGATAAATTTTAAAGAACTTTTTTTACTGAATAACTAAAGTAACCAGGGGGAACAAGTTTATTACTTAAGAAATGCTTTGACCACGGAAATACTGATCAAAATCATAACACAAATAATCAAAACAGCAAAGAATGGGAACATGGAGGATGTAATTGATTAAACGCAAAGCCTACTACATTAAAGGAAATATCAGCTTAAACGACTCTCGTTTAATTGGCCATAGAGGAAGCATAAACAAAAACTGAATTGACATAAATATAACAATTTATTAAATGACCGACGAATGTCAGAAGAGTTGGTATTTAGTCAGAAGAAATAAAAATACGATACATAGCTCTAGTAGTTATTTGTTTTTTCCTGCCTTGTTTGATTTCAACGATTTCATTTGAGTATGTCAAATAACAATTTTATTAATTATACCTTTTGGGCTGCAATTGACCACTTTGAGAGCAATTTGCATGTGGAGCATATTGATTTTCACTTGTGGCTGCAAAAATGCAAAGATTTAAATACGAATTTGTCATAAGCAGCCCGTGGTGTTCGACTCGAAAGCCTTTGTCGCGCCACGGGGTGGAGTTAATTAGCGGTTAATGGTATGCAAAAAATGATTGCATTTCAGCTTAAGTATACCACAATTATATAGCTGCCAGTTTTAATTATGTCGTTTGAAAGAGTCGCTCGAGGTGTTCAGACCGCAAACTGCCTCATAATTAATAAGAATATTATTCTGCTAAAACGGGAAAGCCTATCTGTAGTCTATTAAAAGTTTTAAGCGAAGTGCTAATTAGAAAACTTATAGACAAGTTAATAGCCTAGACCAGTCGATATAATATCCAGGCAAACACTTCCCTAGCCTTTGGTAGTTTGGCTGATTAATCGTGACCTCATTAAAGCCCAACAAAAAATAAAAATAAAATAAATAAAACATGCGATACGAACGTGCAAAAATGCTGCGAACAAATTTATTGTTTTGTGTGCCCACACACAATCACGCACACGTACACACACACACACACACACACACAACAAGTGGGTATGCACACGCTTGCCAGAAGCTGCTCAGCTCCTGGGAGACTACGAGAAACCACAGGCGGCTGCTGTCCATGGAAACTAGTTCAAGGCAAAGCTCCTAACTTAATAAAAGCCAGCTCATGCAGGCCACGCACTGGAAAATTGATGCGGCATCAGAAACAGCAGCAGCAGCAGGCAGTATCTTAAATTAAAAGTCAATACGAAGATGGTTAAAGCTCCCACAGAGTGCCACAGGCAACTCTTGAGCCACTGGCTGGTGGTTTGCCACCACACAAAAACTTGTTGTGCAAACGGCGCACGTGGACGTGTGCCACAATTGACTTACAGCTTTTCACTTATTACACTACTTGTTGTTGTTCTTGTTCTTCTTTTTGTTCTTGCTCTTGTTGTTGTTGTTGCTTGGCCAGCAATTGTGATAATCCTTTTGCAGCTGTTTTCGAAACTTTACACAGTTTTCTGTCACGTGGCAAGCCACAGCTTTTTAGTTGTGTGGGAAAGCGCACACAGAACCAGTTTAAATACCAATGACACTTGTTGCAAGTGAAACTTAAATATTTAATTAAGTGTGTTGATTGCTTTTCGCATAGAAAGAAAGATATATTGTATCAAATTGTTGTAGCAGTTTACAAATAAAACGCAATAGAAGACACTAACTGCTCTCAGTGCAACTTTAAGCTGCCCTAGATATTCAAAGACATATTAAGATACAATCTGTTAACCCAATTAATGCAGAAACGAGACTTAGTCATATATAAAATTAGCATATTATGCAAAAGAACAGCCTCAGTAGTTAAAGCGACCACTTTTAAGGCTTAAGCAGGATATAACGATCACATGAAAGCTTTAAGTTACATTTATTGGATAAGTCTTTAACCTTTAGTGAAAGCTTTAAGCTGTTTCGGAATTGAGGTTCGCTCCTGAGTTTAAGTCAGTTGACTTACTACAAAAAACTAGCTGAGGTTTGACACGTTCTACTGATAGTTTCCCAATATTCATTGAAATAAGTATTTGAGTAAGTCTAAGCATACTTATAATACGACCGCATAGCATAGTCTATGACCTAATAGTCACACTTAGCACTTAGACTCTTAGTCTTAAACAGCGGAAGAAATCATTTTCAAAGTGGACTACCGAATTGATATTATTATTAAAATATGCATTTCATGTTATGCAAAAAAGTATATGATTTTAAATTTCAGTCCAAATTCAATTAGAAGGTTAGTTTAAGAATTATGATCATTTAAAAAGCATTTTTTTTTTTTTTAATGCAATTAAAAAGAAGAAAACGCATTTCCGAAACAAATTATTGTCCGATTCCCGAATCAACGAATGATAAATTTAAATATTAAAGTAGGAAAACTTATAATTATTCAGCCTAAACAAATGAAAAAACTTTGAATTTTTTGGCTTATCAAATATCACAATTCTCGGCTAATTTCTGTAAACAGTTGCTGACCACATCCATCGCAGTTGCAATAATTGCCATATTTTACATTTTGCTGCCACAAACAACTGAGGCATGTAATTTCCTCTTTGTTGCGCGCAAATTACCTCAAATACTAAATGAAGTTTAAGCAAAAAAAAAAAAAAAAATGTTTTTAATTAAAAATGAAAACAATTTACAAGCACAAGTACGCACAATTTCTGGTTCGCTTTTGTTTTGTTGTTGGCTCTTACCTTCCTTTTTGTAGAAAATAACTTCCAACTTAAGTTCCATCTTATTTGAAAGACTTTTCTCAATTTGCTGCTTGTGCTCCTCCTTTGTATCCGGCCCGTAAAGGAAATGACATGAGCAGCCTGTTTCGCGATGTTGTCGTTGTTGTTGCATGGTTGTTGTTGTGCGTTGTCGTTGGCAAACAATTGAGTAAAATGTACAAATACATTGAAATGAGTATTGAAGTGTTGCGAGCTGTTTGTCTGTCCGTCAACATGTTGCCAATTCCCCAGTCCGTCCGTCTTTGCAATTGTCTTACCCTTTTGCATAATTTGCGCGCGTGAATATCCTGTCAAATCCACGAACCCATCCGAGCAATAAACAATTGGATTGCCATTTGCCTGCGCATTGCCGAGCACAAAATTCGAATCTGTAAAGAAAAGCAAACAACAAAGTGAGCAAGAGGGAGAGAGAGTAAGGAGGAGCATTAGGTTTGTCGGATATGTTTTCATCATATGATATCGTTTCTTATATAAAATGGACTACCTGCTGTTCAATTGTCCGACCGAATGCCACTCACAACATTCGCTTTTTGGCTTCAAATAAATAAATTCATAATAATTCTGGGTCTTATTTGCTTGGCTTGGTAACCTTTTAACATTTTGACCCGCCACCAGCACAGTTTATTATTTTAACAAAATAAAAATTTCCAACAAACAACCAATTTAATTAAATTTCAGCTACGCTCCGCGCTCTGGCTTCTTGCTCGTTCTCATTTTTTCTCTATCTGAGCTGAGAATGAAGTAAAATTAAATTCTTGCAATGGCTTTTTATCAGAAAGTGTGGCGACTCTCCAGCTCCAGTGAGAGATGCCAAAAAAAAAGAGCTCCAGCGTAAAAAACGAACTGCAAATGCGAATACATGAAAATCATTTCATGGATATCCTTTTCCAAGCAGAAATAACATAAAAAATATATTAAAAATCATGAAACTCCTTTTGTTTGCTTCAATTTGATGGATTTGTATCAATTGTGCTTTTATATTGGTTAAGAGACATTGCGAGTCCATTTAATTTCCATTTTTACCAGGTGCAAATGTAAATTCTTAAATTAAAGTAAAAATTGTATCTAATGGACTTCGCTTTCTGCCACGATACTCATGTTAATTAAGCTTCTGAATGGTGTTTGCAATTCTAATTATGAAAATGAAAATTGATAGACTCCGTTTTGTAGAACCGCAGCTGATTAAAGGTCTATTACGAGCCAGTTGTAAATAGTGTAGCAAATACGAGCAAATATCATTCGAGTATTGCTCGCAAAGCCCCATTTAAGCCTATTTGTTTGTGTCGACAATTGGCAGTGCCATTAATAATTTGTGTGCTCGCAAAGGGAAAAGCTATGAATACAACCAATATCAATTCGCACTCAATGCAAGACTACACAGATGCAGCCGCACAAAGAGCTGGACGTAAATCATATAATTAATCTATTGAAACCCTAACGAGCATTAAGTTAAATGCAAATCTGACAAAAAAAGAAGTTTGTTAATAATAAATTTGTGTAACATTTGATGCCATGAAAAAGTTAACTGACCTAAAAATACAACTTGACTGCTGGCCACGTTCTCGGCATATTAAATACTTGACTGAGCAGCATACTGTTCGTACGCACTGAATTGCTGACAAGTCAAAATTGTTGTTTATATATATCTATAAAGCAAATAAATATGTATGTAATTTATGGCTCTTGCACACAGTTTGTCAACGCATTAAACTTGTGCACAACAACAATCATACGCCATGTGCGCCCGGCCTACAAATTACTTGCAGGCTTTGGGCCCCTTAAAATGATTGCCTGTCGGCTGTTTATTTAGTATTATGTCTTGAAATCTGTGAGAATTAAGGTAATTAAAATCGCATAAGGAAGCTTTTGGAGAGAGGAAGAGAGAGAGGGAGAGAGACAGAGAGAGAGAGAGAGGAAAGGTCAGCTACGACAGAAATTGCGTTCACTATCTTATAAATACGTGTATAAAGTAATGTTAAATGTCCTGTCGGAATAATGGGAGCTTATGAAAATTACATAGTTGAGCAATTATAGTTTAAGTTAAATAGTAAGCAATAAATTACTAAGACAAATCCTTTAAAACAGGCACTTAGCATAAGCGCATTACTTTAATCTTAAGACAACAAATATACATGTATTTTCGAAAAACGCATAGAAAGGCGATAAAAGGCTAAATAAAATATTAATAAAAAAGGTACCAGAACAAAACTTATGGAACACGCTCCTCCCAGAAACTCATAACTGAAAATCTCAAATCTTAAACTTTATTGATTTCATAAGTAGGACCGTGTTAAAACTATTTTTTGATATGTTATTTATATTAGGTGTAAGTGTAACGAGAGAGAGTATCGAGATCTATACGTATTGCTCGAGTTTTTGAAAATCGCATACAACGGTGATCATTATTTGAGAAGGAGAAACTTAAAGACATATCTACTTGCCCTTTACATACAGCCTACACCTCTACCCTTTTTTAAAGAAAAAATACGAGCGAAGGGTATAAAAAACAATAAATAACTTTATTTGACATTTCGAAAGGAAACAGGAAACTACTCATAACCAGAATCGATTTGCACGTATGCTGCAAATGTCAAATAGTTCGGTGTGACGCATTTGTCTCAAAGTGCAGCTTGCAGGCAAACGAAAGGTTAAAGGACAAAGCAAAATCAACATGCTTATTATCATTGCACTTACAAATTTCTAGCTAATGACATTTCCATTGTTTAAAGCACAAAAGCTTGCACAGAAGTTTGGCATTAAATGGAAAAAACTACAAATCTTATGACAAATGGAAAACATTTTACAAGCTTCCATGCGCCTGCGGCGCCTTTGTGTGTTCCGTTGCCTGGCGACAGGATACAACACACACACACACACACACACACACACACACATATGTAGTTTTAATTTACCAGTGCAGATTTCTATTGGGACACGCATTGTCCTTGCCCTTGTCTGCGCCCTTTCTGCCGATATGTTGTTCCTTGTCTGTGGGCAAACGTCAGAATTCAGAGGTTCGCATTTTTTGTTATTTTTATTTTTGTTATTTTCTTCTTTTTGGTATGCATGCACCCATTCTGTGCACATATTCTGTGATATTTTTATGACTCGCCGCTTGGGCTTATGCATACATGCCGTTATGTCCCGTTTTATCCGTGCCCGCTCAATAAAACACACATAAATAATACATTGAAAATTATATAAGGCTGAAGGACTAAGTAAATATCGTTTAACTTTTGCTTTTTATGGTTATGCTGGGCATTCTAATTTTGTGACGAAATGTGCTACGCGCTTCCGGTGGGAGGCACTTCCGGGCCTATAAAGTATTAATCAGTACATCGCGCTGAGTCGTCAAATTTGAGAATCTATTCGAAGTCGTTCAGTTACGCTGTGTTAATGTCACTTAATATATCTGTATTTCCTGCAATTTCTGCAGGCTATGCTCATGTAGTAGGGATTAGTTAAAGGTTTTATCTAAAGCTTGGGTACTTGTACACAAAACTGTTTTAGATACATCTAGCTAAAACTCTGCATTACAAAAGTGATGCCTGCATATAGTGATAATAATATTCTTTATTATTCCCTATTAATCCCTATTTTTCAAATCATTTTTTGATGTAGTATCAATTACTATTGCACTTTATTTAATTGAAATGTTTTCAAGTATATTAAATCTTTAGCACCCGACAACAAAAGCAACTGTTTGACTCTCACTTACTCTCGTATATAATACATATATATATATTTTTTTTTGTAACTTACGCGTGCCATCGAAGCGTGTGGCAATTGTGTCCAGGAATGTGTTCTGGGGCGCTAACAGCCCCTTGCGGGCTGGCATAGGAATGGTTGCGGCCGGTGCGCCTACAGAAGCGCTGCTTTCTACTGGGCGAAACTGCAAAAAGACAAATGACAGACACTTAATTAAATTAACAAGTTAATTTCGTTGTTAATCATTTGTAGTACATTTCACAATTGCAATTGTTTTGCTTGGATTTTATCATAGCTTATTTGTAACAACACATTCGCGTGTAGTTTAGCGAATATGCAACAACCACACGCACACAAAAGCTAAAGTTTAATTTGTTAATATTCATTTTGTGCCACACTTTGTGGATAAACAGCGGTGAATACAAAATTATTAAATAGTCAGCAGAAAATGGACTACTATGAATAAATATGTGCACCTAGGACGACTGTTTGTGAGGATGTGTGCCAAAAACTAAAATCATTTTTAGGAATAGACCAATAATATAAAACAACTGAATGTAGAATATATTCAGGCAGCTTATAAAAGCAAGTGACAGCAACGAGAAGGAGCAAAGTAGCGAGTGGGCAAAGCGACGAGAAATTCAAATTCGGGAAGTAGATCAACAACGTCACCAGTAACAGCAAGGAGAGAACGTAACGAGAATAACGAGAATAACTGGAATAATAACCAGAAAGGAATACACAGGAGATAACCCATCCCCATGTAAAAAGGAACGAGTAGGAAAAGGAAAAAGAAATATAAATGGCAATAGCCCCACTAGAGACAAACAAAATCCTAAATTGCAATCTAAAGAGCCTCCCCAGACCTTGAAAGCCAACGAGTAACAATAACGAGTAGCAGAAAGTAACAACTAGCAGCACAACGAAAAAACTTGTACTATAACATTTAGTTATTACCATTGTATTTATTAGGTACCTTATTGTTAGCACAGCTACGTGGAAGCTTTAGTTATTAATTATGTGAAATAATTCACAAGCTTTTCCGCACATACCCTCTATAACAGCAAAGCATGGGTATGTAAAGCTTATGTTGCAAATGTCGCACGCAGCCTGGTCAGTTTATTTACCGTTGACGGCCCTTTAACACAATAAGCCAAAGTCGTTGTGGAAAACATAAATTTTACTGACGTTTTTAATAAATTGTTTCATTCATTTTTTTTTTTAACGCCCACGGGCAGCAGGAACAGCGGTTACCACTCAGGTGCCGGTTCATGGAAATTCTGAGTGAAATTCCGAGAGGCAGCAACAGCAGCAACAACTGGCAACAATAACCGAGCTACCGCAAGACTGACAGCTGTTGCGCCAGAAAGCATCGTTTATATATTTTTTTTTTTATTATTTTATTATTGAATGGGAAAATGAGTAAATGGCATTAAATTTCCAAAGGCGACAGGAACGGATATGCGTGTGTGTGTGTGTGTGTGTGTGTCAATGTCAGAGAGCGAGAGAACCAGAGCGAGGGTTAGCCAAATGTTTAGATTCTTATCATTTACCTTTGACATTTGATGCAAGCACCAAAGTGGCAATTGATTAAGGTTTATGGTTATGGGCGAATGGCATTAGCTGAAAATAATACGGATTTTGGCGAGGGAAATGTAGCAAGAACCAAAAAGAGAGAGCGGAAGAGTGTTTGGTTAGAACCTTAAAGCTTGATTTACATCTTCAATATAATATATTCACTCAAAGCTTTATCGCTGTCTCTAGCCTACTAAATGTTTATAATTATAGCATTAGTTAGTTAGAAAACCTTAACTTGATAATTTCTTAAAGCAATTAGGAACCGAAAGCTTTAAGGTTAAAAAAGCATATGCTCTATCCTCCTATGAGATACTCCTAAGCTGTTATGCTGCTTTGACAGCGAAATCGAAAGGCTTTCTCGTTGTCTCTAGCATATTTAAAGTTTATAATTATCGCATTAGTAAATTAGAAATCTTTAACCTGATAATTTCTTAAAGCACTTACCAACAGAAAGCTTTAAGCTCAAAAAGCATATGCTCCATCCTCCTATGAGCTACTCTTTAACTGTCATACTGCTTTGAGAGCGAAATCGAAAGGTTTAATTTTCAGCTGGTGTCATTGACACACAGCAAGTCGTTCAACACGCCGACTTCTCATCAAAAATTCAGTCAAGTGATAAGCGACTATGCGGCATGTGTGCTTGGCACTGATAACAAACGTTGCCTGCCACAGCGTTAATAAGGCCCATGGTAATAGCCCGCCCGGTTAGCTAAGCCTCATGTGACGCAGTCAGGTGAAAATTATGCACACAACTTGCCAACTGCAGTTGAACAGTAAATGCAATTTTAATTAATAAGCTAAACTCAAAATCCCTGGTATGTTTCCCGCTGTACCAAATGCTGGACATAATGTCTAACCACAAAATTTTCATATCCAACATATCCGCTCCGGGGAGAGAATCAGGTGCAGGGCAACCACTAACATATGGCTACATGAATCTGGTTAACCCACACACACAGGCTTCAGCCCACACGTACATCCTCACGTATGCTACTTTAACTGACAGCCGGGCAATAGTGTTCCAAGTGTGTGTATGTGCAATTTCCGTTTCCGCCTTATTCCACATGATTAGACTGATGATATGAGCACTCTCCAGCATGAGCTGCTCATGTGTTTGCCAGAGCATTGGCTGAGGATGCCATGAGCATACTTTGCGTTCACGTTAAAAGGTTTGTTGGTCAAAACTTTGCACAGGCAACGGCAAAAGCAGCAGCAAAAAAAAACAACATTTAAAACCAATATCAGAAATTCGAATAACGAAAAAATTAAAAATGCATTGGTAATACAGAAGAAACAACAGGCATGCACCACAAAAAACTCTTTAGTTCAGATAACTAAAATATATATTTATTTATTTGATATACCAAAAATCACAAGCCGTAATAAAAAAATGGCAACAGGTAAAACAAACTTTACAAAACAAAAAACTTTTTTTTCAATTAAAATAATAAAAAACTTTAAAATGAAATCCAGGAATTCAGCAAAGTGTTGAAAAAGTGTTGAAAAAACTATACGAATGCTTTACAAAAAAAACTCACTTACTCTCAGCTATGTGAAAAACATTTTTGTTTGCTTTCTATAACAAATATTTTTTATTTTTATTTATTTTTTTTAATTAATCCCATGCCAAAAATCACAATTAATATAAGTGGTGGAAGTGGTTCTTTGCAGAGCAAACAAATCATTTTAATTTTAAAATAAAGTCCGTCTACATTTAAAGCAGCAAGCTGAAGAGTAATGCAAACTCCTCAGCTTATTGACCAGATACTTAGCGCAGGCTGCTCTGCCTGTCGAGCTACTTTAGCTGAGCACCCGGCCTTTTTGAAGTCAAGTAATTTAATAACATTAAAATAGATTGCACAAATAAATATGCAACAAGTGCAGGGCCAGCGGCAAACGCTTGGAGCCTGCGCTCATTTGAACAAATTTACCTTAAACTCTGGGCAAAAAAATGAAAACATCTGAAAACGAACCAACAGGAACCCAAACGTGAAAACGCGACTAGCATTTTTAATTCCAATATATTTATATATGAATGCGCATGCATACTATATGTGGGCAGTGGACGGCAGAACGTGCGTCACGTGCAACATATAGTGCGGCACGGAAATGCGATAATACATTTCGCAATTTTTTTTTGTGCCACAAACTTCACACACTTGGCTGGCCGCAGAAAAATTGCAGGCAAATGGTACACTTTTTGCGGGTAGCGTTGATTAGATGGTCTTTTATATGGAAGATTGGCCAACATTTTAGCCAAATCTGGCAAATTTTCTAGAAATCTTTTGAGTAGAAGCTGATATGTCTTATTCTGATGCATTTGACAGCTCCAGTGGAGAAAAATATGTCTATCAAATTTCATGAAAGTAGCTTTACTGAGACACACAGATAAAAGGGTAGATAAATATATTGACAATGCGAGCGACATTTGAAGCATTCTCAGTTTCACAACATCGATTCTTTAGACAGTATAAATTGATACACTTTTACAAATATTTAAAATAATCGACAGCATATTTATATTAGGCCCTAAGCCAATGTTTTAAATCCTACATAGTTCTAAGCGTCAAAAATATTTATCAACAGCCTTATCATATATAGACTATACTAGTGTAAATAACATTTAAAATGAGAGTTTTATTTAACACTAGCGATGATATCGATAATTGCAATGATGGATTATATAAATATCTAATAAAAACAAGTAAGAGGTTCTAGTCGGGAGCTCCCGATACCCAAACCCTCTTCTTCCAACATCAAATGCATATATATATTCTATTTTAGAAGCTATATGTTAAGTTTGGTGACTCTAGCTCTTATTATTTACCAAAATTGCCCAAAAAACAGGATATTGATTTCGATTTTATCGATTGCTTGGAAACAAAGTAGGTTATCGATTATCGGAAACAAACTCGATCTGCGCAGGCACTAGGAGGACTTACATCTAAAAAGAGACCAAAATGTCTCTAGCTCTTATAGGTTCTAATATCCTTTTCGTTCATACATACGGACAGACGGGCATGGCTAGATCGACTCGGCTATTGGTGCTGATCAAGAATATATATACTTAATGAGGTCGGAGATGCTTCCTCCTGCCTGTTACATACATTTGGACTTTGCACAAATACAATATACCCTTATACCCATTTTTAATGGGTTCAGGGTATTAAAAGCCTGGAGTAATAATATAACAACTGCAACGAATTTCCATAAAAGCCCAGAGCCTCATTCCTATCAAGAATACCTAAAATAAAGAGTTACAACTCTCTTGAGAACATATTCAAAATAGTTGCCGTTAGGGTACACAAAGTTCGCAACAAGTACCTTAATTGGCATGGAATTTTTATTTTTATTTTATTGCAACAGTTTGCCACATGCCATTTGCTTAGTTGCTTTTCAGCGATTTGTTGGCATTGGCAGCACGAATGGCCGCTGGGCTACAAGAGTTCGTCCCTTTTGCCGCTTCGATGATGCTGAACGCGGCTCTGTATGAAGCCCTTTATGATCTTATTGCCATTAACGAGCACTGCGAAATGTATATGCATATCCGATTCAAAACTGAAAGCGGGCATATTCTGCATATTGGAGCGAAAGCTGCGCACATAGATGAGCTCGTCCTTGGGAAAGGGACAACGCTTGGGCACATTACTGAAGCTCTCCATTGTAAGACGGCCGAGCTGTATAAACGGTATCTGATTTTTGTTGGCCAGCAATTGGCAGCCATTGATGTTGCTCAGGTTGAACAGTGTAAAATCCGGACCGTTAACTCGTGGCAGCACACTGGCCATGTTAACAAGAAACTTTGCCACAGGCTGACGAAACTTTAGCTCAATCGAGAAGGTGCGACGTCGCCAGCTTCTACCCAGGCTGCAGTTCAAATGGGTGAGCAACTTTTCGGGATCATCCGAACTGCAGCTGCAGTTGTTAAACATCATAAAAAACTTTGTCTGCGGTCAGTTTGGAATTAATATTTAAAACAATTACTATATGTATACCGTTGCTAACCATGGCGCTGGCAACATGCACGGCCATGCTTAAAATTAACAAAAGCACGTAAAAATATGTTGAATTCATGTAACCAAAGGCAACTTAAAACAACGAACAACTAAAAAACATTTAAAATGTACATAATAATTTACCTGAAATATATGCATATGTAATGTGAACAATTATGCACTAATTGCTTTAATAATTACACATCATAATTATTAGTATTTTTTATAACAATAAACCATTAAATATGATTAACAATCTGCTTTTAAATGTGTTTGGGTCAAAATTATATTTATAAATTTGTATATGAAATCAATTAAAAAGCGCAGCACAGCTATCTAACGAGATATTATAAAATTGGCTTGATTTAAATAATTATCAATAACCAGCTATTCAATTTTTTAAAAGCTCCTTAGTATGGAAAAATAAATGAAACCTTTTTACATTTTCTAGGCTTATAAAAAGGTAATTTTGTAAAGATTCAATTCAATCTAACGCGATAGACGGAGTAACAAAGATTGAAGATCAGATCAACTTATTCCCCATTTTCCTCAATCCCCTTCATTGAAAATATCTCTCATAAATCTTTATATTTACAGTCTTTCGCTATTATGCCAGCGCATAATAAAACAACAACATTTTGTGCATGTCAAAGGAAAAGAGTATATCATACAGAAACAATGTCTTACATCCATATCTAATTTATTAAATGATAAGAATCCCATCAGTTATATAAATCAAATGTTCAAATTTCAAAAGAAAAATATAAAAAGAAAACAAATTTAAAATTAATCTCGAATTACACAGGATAATTCAAAATAAGACAAACTTGTTGTTCTTAAAATATTTTGTCTCCTTGACAACTATGTGTACATTTTAATAGATATGTCGGACTTGGTTTCATTTGATTGCAATAAGTAAGCGGAGTAAGAATATTAAAAATAAGGTAGTAAATAAATTATAAAATAAAATAATAAAAAAGGTTAGGAATGTGTTCTATGAATTATAATATAATCGAACATTAATAAGAATCATTATTATTATTGTATCTATATTAGTAAGAATTACAATAAAATAATAATTCTATTATTTCAATGCACATATTCGCATACAGCATGCACATAAACTAATCCAATTTTAATGAAATTTTCACACAGCGATAATACAAAACAAATCTAAATACGCTTTGATTTTATATATAACGTTCAAAGCATGTTTATTTTACCACGCTGATAAACATTATTTATTCAGTCGCACATTAGTCAAGCCTCAGTGGATGACAATATTTACTGGCATTATTTGGCGATTTTGATTAACGAATAAAATTTACAATTCAATTGCTTTTGTTATTGCTTAATGAGTTTAGTTTGGAAGAAAGCGACGAAATGTACGTAACGCCCTTGGCATTTATCGCCATTATTTTTGGCTATCGACTGGTCCCACCGATTGCGGCCAAGGTGCGTATACGTAATGGTTAAGCCATTGCTTTACGCAGTTTTTTATGTGTTTGCAGACGGACTTTGAGCTGCAGTTTGAGAATTTTACATGCATTCGCGGCAGTGCTTCAAAGGCAAATCCCCTGAAGAGTTTCCATTGCGGTCTCAGCAAGAATCCCAAACGGCGCACTATGCACATGGAATTCGCGCTCCTGGAACCGCTTAACGAGCACGAGTTCCACATGCTCATTGTAATACCACGTCGCACAGTGGACTTTGTGCTGCTCAATGTGACCACAGATGGCTGCCAGTTGCTCTCGAATAAGAATCAAGTACCGCTGCTGCGCATCGCACGCGATATACTTGACCGCTACAGCAATTTCCCTCGACATTGCCCCTTTGAGCAGGGCAAGGCCTACTATATGCGCGGCTTTCGACTGGACCTGAGTCTAATACCAGCTGTTATGATGGAAACGCCTGTCTCCGTTCAATTTGGCTATAAGCGCCGCCAAGTGCAGCTGTTCCAAGGCCATATTGTGGCCCATGTACAGCGCACCAGTATTGCCAAGAAGAAGAAAGATGCCTAAATTGTGCGGCTTGAAAAAACAGAAATATATGACGCATGTCTCAAGCGCTACACTGATGTTCTAGTAAATTCACGCTTGAAAATCTCTTCAGCAGAATTTACTGTGTTTCAAATAACTTCTGTATTGATTTAACGATTCTTATGAAATTTCATGAGCAACAGATTCCCAGAAATATATATGATACCAAAAAGCAACACGTTTTGTTTCAGCAAGTCAGAACTTTTGCCATCGGACTGCTAGAGACCAAAATACATTGCAAATTTCCGATAAATTTCTATACTCAATTTTCGACCTATGTAAGATTCATGAAAGCAAATGCAATTTTAAGTTATAAGATCGTAGAAGTAAGCCACACAGCTAGACGGTTAGAATTTCTTAACTAAAGCTATAATTGTTGAGAAAAGTTAAACATTTGGCTGCACAAACGTAAAATATCGTTTTACGATAACAAACTCATGAACAAGTCACAGACCGAATGGGAGAATACACAAGTTAATTTGGATATGCGGCTTCTGGCTTCTTGTTTAGCCAAAGGATTAGCTCTTTTTAGAGGACGGCCCGTATGCACAGATCAATGAACTACAGACAAACTAGTCTAAATTCGTCGATGCTAGTCAAAAGAAAGAGCTATAAACATTGGCCACTGTGTGTCTGGCATAAGCTCGCACTACTTTATGACACCCTTTTGATGGCCAATTTTTTTTATTGCTTGCAGGGTATGAAAAGTTGACAGCCGCAGCAGCAGTACATATGGCCTCGAAGTTAATATAACAAAAAAAAAAATAAAACAATAATAAAAAAAGCCACCTGTCTGGCGTTGACAACGTGAACACAGTCGCAACACCTGATGTTGCAGCACTTAGACACGCTCTGTCTCTGTCTCTGTCGTTGTTGCTGTCCCTGTCACTCGTACGTGCTGCACTGTGTGGCAGCAATTTGTTCCAAGCCATTCAACAAATGTTGTTCAATTACCGTTTGCACACACACACGCACACACCTGCACACACACTTTGTTGCAGCCGCTAACAGAGCTATTGTCTGTCTGGTTGCTGCCACATGGCGTTTGACAGTCGCAATGACAATTGGCAACTGTCAACTGGCAACAGACAACTGGCAACAGACAACTAATAACATTTTCATCCGCCTTGGACTGTTTGTGCCTAGGGGGCGGCAACAATGCTCCTAGCTTGGGTTCGAACTCTGTTTGTCAAATGATTTGCTACAGTTTCCCATTTGTGCACTTCCGGCGTCTGTCACAGGTGCTAGCTACATGTTAAAGTTGCCATCTAGCTTTTAATTAGACGTTAGAGATTTGCATGTGTTGCCTACTGCCACTGTCAACCAGCTCCCCAGCGACCCTTCAGCATTGTTTAACTTAACTGTCAGTTTAGCAGCGGCAGGAGCAGCAACTGCTGTCAGCATCGATTTTGCAACAGTTTGCAGCAAGTTTGACTTTGGCAGCTTGAAATACCCCCCTTTGAGACAGCTAATTGGACTAGCTTTGATTGCCTCTGCGGTTGTTGTTGCTCCAGTTGTTATTGTATTTGCCCCAGCTGTCTGCCGCCTTTGGCCATTCCCTAGTTAATTTATGAAATTTCACACATAGCTACAGCTCCGAATTTATTATGCATACGATTATTTCATTATGTCCATTAAGCAAAACAATTAAGTAAAGCTCCTGTCAAATGCGGGCATTACCGCCTTGACAGCATGTTTGTTATGTCAAATGCTTGATGTTAAGTTTCATTTCTGTCAAGCTTCATTTCCTTTGTTGAGTCTTTGTAATTTTGAAGGCATAAAATGTAGCCATGGTTTTTAAAAATGTTTATAAGCATTAAACATTTAATTTGATATTAGTCTCGTTTATCCAACCAAAAAAACAATGCAAGTTTATGCTCAAAATTCAAAATATATATAACTTTTTACCTAGAATAACAGACTTGGACGATTATATCTATAGAAAATATAATATTCATAGGCATCTAAAGGTTGTTAATTTTGCGCTTACTTTATATAGTATACTTTTCAATAGATGGAAAAAAAGGGCTCACTAAATTTTAAAATAATAATAACGAAGAGAATTTCAACAGATGACTGAAAAGATATAAAAACACTCACAAAAGATTTCCCTGTTAAAGTAGATATAGTTACCTGGATTTTATGAGTATTTTAATAAACTGTAGAACATTTAAAAAACCATTTGCAAGGGTATTTAATCGCGTCCCTCTTGCCCCATTTACCTGTGTTGCATATTTAATTTTTACCGCTGTTAACCTGTTGAAAATTCTCAACTAGCTTAAAAGGTCTTCATTATTAATGGATTTTCTTTGGGATATTTTGGTTGTCTGTTGCTTTTGCTGTTGTCTTTGTGTTGGGTTTTGTGTTGTTTTTTAATGCGAGCAAAAACGAATTATTGATAAGCCCTGTCCGCAAATTCTTGTGGTTGCGCCTGCCGCCCATACCCCGCCCATCGCCAACGACAGCAATGATATGCCGCAAAATGTTTAAGACATCAGCCTGCCCCGCCCCGCCCCGCCCAGCCCCGCCTTGTCAACGCCCACAGGCAACAACCGACTCTTCGCTTAACTGCGACGCATAATTAAGGCAACCCTTTCCGATCATTTTACGAGCTGCTATATGGCATATGATGGAACGGGCAGACTTTTGTCTTTATCGACCAGCCACAAAAGTTTGGCTTTTCAACTTTTTGCCATGCCATAAAAAACTTTTGCCAGTTTTTCACATTTTTTTTTTTTTGTTTGTTTAACTTTTCACATATTTTCATTTTTTTAAATTTGAATTTTAGCTAAAAATGCAAATAAATGGTATATACATAATTAATAAATGTTAGTTGCGGCATTGTCAGTTGCTTAAAGGCATATCTGATGAAATATTACTTTGCATATTGTGAATGTATCTGCCAGATAGCAGCAAGAAGAAGAAGAAGAAGAAGCAGAAGCAGCAAAACACAAAACTTTGACATGAAAAGTCGTTTTCTTGTTGTGGGCAAAATGGTGTAAATTCATCTTTAGCATTCACAAACTCCCCGCCCCAGACGACAAAGCAAAGGCAAGGCGAGGCGCGAAAGCGTTGCACAGTGGTGCGAATATATGGAATGCCCGCACGAAAAACTACAGATCTGGTATTTTAAGCTTGGCATATTTGACATCAAATCGAAACTATGGAATTGGCAGCAAGGATTATTTCAGGCGTGATAGATTGATAGCAGCAATCGATAACTGATTGATTATTTCAAAGTTGTATGCAATGTTCAGCAATCGGTAACTTGATAACTTTCCTGTTACACATTTCTCAAACGCCATTAAAATTATTTATTTAATTTGCTCAAGTTTTTTTTGTTGTACTTTTATACAAAATTAATCGATAGCAGCAATCGACTGATTATTTTTGAAAATTATAAACAAAGTATATATAGCAGTAATTGAATACTTGAAAACGCACAAATAACTGGTTATTTAACAATTTTATTCTAAGGATTATTCAAATGCTATGCATTTTATTTTTGAAATTTATACCTATTTGTTTTTTTTTTTTTTTGTACTTTTAAACAAATCATATCGATAGCAGCAATCGAAAACTGTAAATGCATGCATAGCAGATTGATTGGCTATTTCATTTTAAGGATGCCATGCTTTTTTTTTTATTTGTCAGACTGTGCGTCGTTGCCACAACTCTGCATAATGTGCCACAGAACTCTTTGCTGTTGTTGTTGTTGCTGTCAATTTTACAGATTAATGCGCGCACATTTGAACGCCTTGGTCATAGCCAGCAGCCCCACGCCTGGCACTTACATTTATTATTGACAATGGCAAAAGTTTTCGCTCTGGTCACGAAGCGGCAAAAATTGATTCGCACAAATGTTTTAATCGCCAAAAGTTGTTCGCCTCTTCTATAAGGACTGTGCGTTAGTTACGCTTTCTGCATAAATTTATGGCCTTGCAACACTAACACTCAAATAAACTCACATGTATGTGAGTTATATATGGCTTAAGGCCTGCTGCGCATACATATGTTGCCCAATTCTATTTAACCAGTGCCACAGGGCTTAAACAGGGGTTCTACTTTCTGTACGAAATGGCCAGGCATAACGACAAAAGCGACCTTAACATAATATTTTGAATATAATCGCGCTGTCCGTTCGCCCTATGGCAATTCATAATTTTCAGGCCATTTTTCTGCATGAAAATTCTACTCTTTAAAGTTCAAATGGGTTAGATGAAAAGTTATGCGACCAAAAGAAAAATCAAATAAAAAAAGTTATTCTTATTTTCTTTTAAATGAAGTTTATGCTTCAACTTGAGCCGCAAAGATTACAAAATTTAAAGAGCTTGCAATATGTTATACAAAATTAATATGTTTCCCTTGAAAGAGCTTTGCAAAGAAAGATGTAGCTTATAAAAGAAATGTCAGAAAACCATTAATATATAATTTTCTTGCTTGATAAATGTTCATTTCTTCAAACGTTCAAATTTGTATATTTATAAAGTAGTTTCGTATTAAAAGAATGTCTCTAAATGCTTAGAGCTAGTAAGGAACAAAAATTATAAAACAAAATAAGAAAACCGAAATTTGATATATATATACATTTGTGTACTCCTAACTCTTCAAAGAAAACGAACATTGATAGAATTATATTTGACAACAGATCACAATTGAAAACCTTTACCACAATTCTGAGAAACGATTGGAAACGGTCACAGACACGATATTAAAAAAAATCTATGGCTTTTAAGAAACATTTACGTTCGCTTCTTGTTTAACATATTGTGGCCAGTCATAGAAAAGGCTTGTAATAAAAAAAAAGTGTATAAAAAAGACGTTTACCATTGTTTGAAATTTTAAAACTTTATAACACAATGTTTAATGTCTTCTAGAAAAATTTAAAATATACTCTTTGAAACGAATCGAAATCCTAATTTATACCTTACTAAGAAGACCCAAATATTTATCAAATAAATAAAAAAAAGGCAAGCCGTAACCTGAACCAAAGCATATTTTCTTCAAAAATGATTTACCTCGAAACAAGAAGCTCTTCAGGGAATTGGGAGTAAGAAGGCTGGTCCATTCAAAAAATAACAAGGGCTCCATCCAACCTTTAAATTTATCAAAACATATTTGTTGGATTCCAGTTTAGAGTTAAATTTGTGCGGCTTGCAATATTTTCAGTTAAACGAAGAACTTTAATGTTTAGAAAAGAATTGTTTCTTAAAAACTACAAATTTGCACTTAGATACAGAGCTGTGAAAAAATAGACCCGCGAACGAAACATAAATGTAAAGAGTTTTTTCGAATCGTGATCTAAACAAGCGACAAATTGTTTTGGTTTTGCAGCCACGAATGAAATAAGTATTTAAATAATAAATGCCCGAACAACTCGTTGCTTATCACGCATTGTGGGAACATGTGAAATAACATAAAAGTGGCGCCTCTTCCACTGATAAGCATTTTATACTCATGCCTAGGCACACAAATATAAACGTATTATAGCTAAGAGTCCTAATATGTTTGACAAACACATTCACTTTCATAAGAGATAGTCATATCTATGTGGTCACTGGAAATGTTTGTGGCTGCCTAAAGTAACAGAGCAAAATGTTTGATAGTTTTAGCCGCAAAAACTTATCAACTTATTTATAAAAAACAAAATAAAAACAATTTAAAAGAATTAAGTAGTTTGTGGTTAGCGCCAAGGAGCTATAAAAATGCCAGTGGCTGCCTTCAACTTTCACAGTGCGCTGCAGCAGCTCGTGAGGGGAACAACTCTTTCCTAGTTTACCAGGCATATTGAACTCTTGCCCATCAAAATGAATACGGACTTGAAGGCTTTGGAATTGTTGTTCCAGCGACCATTGGAGCCGGTGTTCACCACCCGTGATAATGGCAAGACGGTGCTCGATCTGCCCGAAAGCGTCTATACGGATCGCTATCGCAACAACTCGGAGGAGGTCTCGAATCGCTTCAGTCTGAATGCTGAAACGCGTATACCCGTGCGGGAGCTGGCCAAGAAGCCGAATCTGGGATTCGCATCCAAGTTGGGCCGAAAGAATCAATTCTCCTTGTTCAATACACGGCACAGGGAAATTGCCGGCCAGCTAATCCAATTGTATCTGGATGCGCCCAATTTGCAAGAGTTCGTCGCCCTGGCTGTCTACACCAAGTGAGTGATTGAAGTGATTGAAAAGTATATCGAGTATATGTTCCTATAATTTTGCAGGGATCGAGTCAACCCAGTGCTGTTCCAATACAGTTACGCAGTGGCCATTGCTCATCGTCCGGATACGCGCACCGTGCCCATTCCCAACATTTCGCAGGTCTTCCCAAGCAACTTTATCGAGCCCTCCGTTTTTCAGGTGAGCTAAGCAGCCTCTATTGAGAGCCTGATTAAGGGTAAGAAGTGTGTAACACATAGAAAGCGACATCTCCGAACCTATTAACTATATATATATAGATTGATATATTCTTGATCAATATCAACGGATGACTCGATATAGCCATGTATATCAAAAATAAAATTCTTCAATGCAAATCTTTTTGTTTTTCAAGAAGGCATTTACATACTCTACCACACTTCTTACCTTCAAATACTTCTATGAAATATGGCTTCTTTAGAAATAATTCGTCTTAAATAAAACTTTTCTATCAATGCCTTTCTCAACCTAAGGACTACAAGGTTATATTAATATTCGTCAATATACGATTTATTTGAATTTTTCGAACAGGAAGCGCGCCAGGAGGCTTCGGTAATTGCCAAGAGCGGCAATCGCTCCATTTTGGAGATACCCATCAATTATACGGCCTCCGATCGCGAGGATGAGCAGCGTTTGTCCTATTTCCGTGAGGATATTGGCGTCAACAGCCATCATTGGCATTGGCATTTGGTTTATCCGGCCAGTGGACCCGTGGAGGTGGTCAACAAGGATCGTCGCGGCGAGCTCTTCTACTACATGCACCATCAGCTGATCGCACGCTACAATGTGGAGCGTTTCTGCAATAATCTGAAGCGCGTAGCGCCACTCAATAATCTACGTGACGAGGTGCCCGAAGGCTACTTCCCCAAGATCCTGTCAAGCGTAAACAATCGCACATATCCGGCACGTGTGTCCAGGCAGCTGCTGCGCGACGTGGATCGTCCTGATGGCAATATTGAGATCTCCGAATTGGAACGCTGGCGTGATCGCGTTCTGGCCGCCATCGATCAGGGCTTTGTCGAAGATGTAAGTTAATCGAATTATGAGTTTTGGAAAGCAGGATATTAATATATATATCAAATACAGGCTCAAGGTAAACGCATTCCGTTGGACGAGGTGCGCGGCATCGATATTCTGGGCAACATCGTTGAGGCCTCCAGCACGCTTTCGGTGAACAACCAGTTCTATGGCAATTTACACAATCAGGGCCACACTATCATCTCGTTTGCCCATGATCCCGACAACCGGCACTTGGAGGACTTTGGTGTTATGGGCGATGTGACCACAGCTATGCGCGATCCAATCTTTTACAGATGGCATGGATTCATCGATAGCGTTTTCAACAAGCACAAAGCCCTGCTGCCGGTCTACAATGCCACCCAGCTGGGCTTTGAGGGTGTCAACGTGACCTATGCGGAGGCACGACTGGGCGCTGCCAATGCACGCCCAAATACGCTGCTCACCTATTGGCAAAAATCGAATGCCAATTTGGCTGCCGGCCTGGACTTTGGACCAGTGGAGGATGAAAATATTACAGCCTCCTTCAGGCATCTGCAGAACGCACCCTTTACCTACACGTTCAATGTGACCAATTCGGGCGCCAAACGCACCGGCACCTGCCGCATCTTCATTTGTCCCAAGACCGATGAGCGCAACCAGCCGTTGCGCCTCGAGGAGCAGCGTCTCATGGCCATTGAGATGGACAAGTTTACGGTGGAACGTAAGTAAAGAGCAATAGAAATATAATAGTTCACTATAACCTGCTTTCATTATCAATGGATAAAAGTGAAGGTAAAGTGAATTTGTGCATTGAACAGGTGAAGGGCACAGTAAGAGATTTAAAATCTGAACAACGAGCTGTCTCCCTTTCCGTCAGCTTAGCCGTATCGACCGAGTGTTCGAGGTCAAACAAGCTTTTCTTTGATAGCTTCAACAAAATATGTCCAGACTCTCTATTTCCCTATTCCCTAGCTTATACAAATCCGTCAGTAAACACAAAAGTTATTTAAAAAATATTTTTCGTAGTGTGAAGGGAAAGAACAGGAGCACAGCTTTAACGAGGTTATGAAATTGTATAGATTATAGATTACAGGGTATCTTTAGTCGTCGTCAAATCTTTGACATTTAGCTTGACTTTAATTATCTTTTCTCCACACAGTGGTGCCCGGTGAGAATACCATACGCCGTGAATCGACCGACTCCTCGGTGGCCATACCATTTGAGCGTTCGTTCCGTGCCGTTGGGGCTAGTTATCAGCCCACTGCGGCAGATGAGCTGGCACGTTTCCGTTTCTGCGGCTGCGGTTGGCCGCAGCATCTGCTGCTGCCCAAGGGCAAGCCGGAGGGTATGCAATTCGATTTGTTTGTCATGATTTCGGACTATACCAACGATTCGGTGCAGCAGTTAACCAAGTGAGTGGTTCTGTCAGTATTGAACGACAGCAATTACTAATCAAAAACTTTTACAACACATTCACAACAGCACCCCGAACGATGCCTGCAGCACTGCCTATTCGTTCTGCGGCCTCAAGGATAAACTGTACCCGGATAGACGCACCATGGGCTTCCCCTTCGACAGGCGTCTGCCCAATGATAATCTCAATGAATTTGTGGCCGCCTTCACCAATATGGCCAAGACCGATTTGACAATTAAGTTCAACGATCGCACTGTGGGTTAAAGCCGACACACTTATATATCCATATTATACCTATGCATATCTATTCACATTATATATTCTTTAAAACGCATTAATAAAAGCCGCAACGTTTTGCAATATGCTCAATATTAACCTTGCTTTAAATATAGCATACTTTTATGCACGCTTGCATTGCCCTCGCTGCAGCGCTCAGCTCCTAACGGACCTGTCGAATACACACACACGCGTAGAATATGCCTTTCTCGGTTGCGCTCATAACAGTTTCTATTATATGCCAGCTGAGCTCAGCCCTGCTGAGCTAGTGTTACGCCCATTTCTCTTCGTTTGCATTGGCAACAACGTGACCTTGCATGGAGTCTACTGAGGAAGGCGTATACTACTTATATAGGTTGAAGCTTACGCTGTTAATATAAGTATATCATTCTTATTAACATTATGTAAGCGCAGCTTAGCTACGATCTCTGTTAAGCGGCTATTATGGATGTTAGTATTGCTGTCACTTTCTTGCAGCCTATCTAGCGAAAGGTGCAGGACTGCAGCGCCAGCTTTCTAAGCTTTAAACACTATACATACTCTTGCTAAGGGTATCATTATTTTGTCTCGAAAGGCATATATTCTCTTTATAGTCAAGTGCGTCCGTTGCCATAGAAACGATCGGTAACAAACTAGGTTCTTGTTAGAAGTGTTGTTGAGATGCCTTTACCAAAATGTTAAATTACGTTTACATTGTTACAGTCAACTTTCTATCAATTTAACGATTGGAAATAGTTTCTTGTATATGTCTAAAAGGGTAGTTAATCATCGGCGACTGTCAGCACTTCTAAGTATAAGCTCCCAGGCCTGTAGCTTGTATTAAAACCTCCCAGGCTGGCAATCAGTTTTATTTACCCCATATTCTTAGGCAATTATGTATATATATATTTTCTACAATAATCAAAGACGCAGCCTGGTAAATATTTGCCTTGAATTATTTAATGATATTTATATCAATGCTGATTCTTGGCCAGAAACACAAATATAGCCAGCACAAGCACACACGTGCACGCACACACTACCGTCCACACAAACACATACAAAGCCATAGTAGCACGCCCACTAAATGGTGGGTGGATAGACGTTTAGGCAGGACAAAGCAGAGCAGGGCAAGGCTAATCCTATTAGACTTCAAAGCCGTTTCGCTCAACAAACTTTCGCATTGGCCGTGGTCCAGACACGCTGCCCGCCCCCGTTCTCCGTCGCCGTCCGGCCACCTCGACGCTTTTCTTTTCTATTTCTTACTAGTTGCTGTTATTGTTGCAATATAGTTTCTGGCAAACCGCTGCACGTGTTGCGCTTATTAACTTTCTTTTCAGCCTGCCACACGGCGATTGCCACAATTAATGCTGCATACTGCGAGGCGTCCAAGTTTTGAGTGACTCGGAAATCTACAAGGTAAACTTTGGCTTGTAACTGGACATCCGTTGGATTTGGGGAACGACACACTAACACATAACAACATACAGCTGTCGATGATAAGAGAACAAATTTATTTTTAAAAGCTTTTGGCAAACATTTTAGCTTATACCTCAACTGGCCAAGCAAGACAAGTTAAGTGCAAGGACTTAAGAAAAAAAAGCTTTGATGTTGAATGCGTTATACGTACCACAGCTTAAATATTTTGAACATAAAATTTTTATAACTAAACAGGAAACGTATAAAATTTGAATTTGTTAGACTTCAAAAAAGCCTGTTCAATTGATTCAAACTCAAAAGGTTTTGATACTCTCAACATTAAACAGAGTGACATCTTTATATACCAACATCTACGCTTAACGTTGGATTTGAAGATGGCTTCCTCCCGCCTTCATATCATAATATTTTTACATTTCATATGAAAACTTTTTGCATTACTTAAGTTGAACCAGTTTTTTAGTCTTAAGCGCATTTTTCGAATAATTTACAGCTGTTTACATTGTAAACAATTCACTAGGATTTGCTGCTGCTTCTATTCCACATCCCACAAAATCAGCAAGAATTTAAAACACAATTAAATATGTGAATTTAAAAACTTCTGTCCATCGTAAAAAATGTGCACAAAATTCTTTAAAATTTTTGAAAAAGGTATGTGCTCTTAGATTAAAAATTATCTGCAGTCATCTCTAGCCAAAGCTACTCTGCATAAAAATAGAACTCATAAATTTCAACTTAAAATTTTCATTTTTCTTTCATACTGACATATATTATTACCCTGGTATTTTTTTGCAATCCAAAGTCCGCGCTTACACACAATTTATTTATGTAAAAAAAAATTTAATAAATAGACAAATAGAAAAGAAAACAGGAAGGCATTTCATGTGGGCACATTGAAAAATACTTGAATTCATTTTGTTAGCCCAAGGCCAATTTCTGGGGGCTGCCAATTTGGCATAACTTGGCCAACTTTATATAAGTAGTAGCTGAGGGCCGGTAGAGGTCCTCTTTTATCCCCATGTGTTGGGGTATTTGTTATTTTATTTATTTTATTTTTTCGCCCTGCTCTGTTATTTGCGTTGGGCATTAATGTTGCCTACGTGCCGCGGCTGTCCTATTTGATTTTGATTTGATTTTATTTGACTTGGCTTTGCTTTACTTTACTTTACTTTGCCTTACTTTGCCTTACTTTCGGTTTTGTTTATGCAAAAATATTTGGCAACTTTAAGCCAGGGCTCTGGCAAAATGTATTTTAAGTGCTCGCACAGAGATTTCTTGCACGCATATGTGCAACTTTCGGGTCCGGGAGCCCAGAAAATCGTAATAAATATTAAAGAGAATTTCCATTTGCTGTTTGTGTAAACAAACTTACGAAATGTTTACTTTATAATCTTTACACACAAACTTAAAGATAATTAAATGCAGATAAAATTGCTGTTCAAGCATCCTTCATTATTAATTCACAAAAAAAAAAAAAAAATATATATATATATATATATATATATGTAGAGCTTGTGTCTGCTGTTTAATTGAAAGCCTGTCGGCGATATTGTTGCACACAATTTCATGTTTAATTTCTGTGTAAATTTTCATTAAATCATTTTCACATACTGTATGCACACAAATGAAATTAAAAGCAAGTCTGACAGGCTGCTCAAATTGCCCAGAGCCTATTAAAAAGTCAATCAAAAATATAAACACAAATGCGTTGGCAAAACAAGAAATGCACCAAGCCATAGAATACTTGACTAAGGAATACTCTTTGCTCAGGATTATAGCTCTATTAATCAACAGTTAATAGTTTCTACCAATATGCTAAAATATGCGTGTGCAAAAACTAGTTAAAAACTATGTGTAATGAACAGATATTCTTGTTTCTATTGAATACAAATTAAAACTAAAAAAAAAATTTGCTTGCCTTTACAATAATTTAGATGGACAGAGAAAGTATTTCTACAAACTGTGGCTGCCCGTAGAAGTGCTTAAATGCATCTCACTATATTTTTATTAATAATAAATTTTAAAAATATGTACACCCCTTGAAGACAATTCCTATTTGCAGATATGTGAAAATAGAGCAGCTCGAAAATGCAAAATTTTTTGAAAATATCTCTGGAAACAAAAGATTTTGCCATATAAAATCCTACTATTCCTCTTTTATAGTAGCTATTTTATGTAGTTGATACGACTTTACAAGTATGTAGGGAGCATAGGGAAACTTAAGAATGCTGAATTTGGGGTATCTTAATATCTTGATGAACAAAAACGTTTTTGTTTTTTACAAGAACCTACTTTTACAGCGATCGTTACTATGGCAGCTATATGATATCTTGCTCCGATCCAGCCGGTTCGGACATTTGAACTCCCTGAAAAAATAGCTTTAAAAGTGGAAACTAGACTAGTTCTCATAGAAACAGGCAGACGGACATGACAACATCAACTCGACAGTTCATGCTGATCTAGAATATATATATACTTTATGTGGTCGGAGATGTCTTCTTCTATGCGTTACACCTCTCATGACAAAATTATAATACCCTCTACAAGGGTGTACTTATTTCCACTAAAAAGTATGGAATACCAAACTTTGGGTCGCTAGTTCTTACAGTCACTGAGCTCGTACAGAACCCCACATAAACAATTTATATAGTTAGAAAAACATTGTACATTCGGCTCACAATTGCACAATTTAATGACACCCATTCATTAAATGAGCAGCTACTATATGTATGTAGATCCTATCTGTATAAGATTTTACACATGTTTAGATTAAACTATAAGAAGACCTTGCAAGTGCATTGAAAATTATTGAAAGTAAGACCGAAACAGCTGCGAGTGGTGTTTGCAAATTTGTGCCTAAATTTAGAATTGATTATTTGGTAATTTGGCCAAAAGTCGAAATGTTTTGTTCGTCTATTTGGCGAATGCTCACACGCCTTGAGAAGCTGAACCAGAAACATGTGCCGATGATGACTTAGGATTTATGTACTACGTACAAATTTATGGCTATGGGGACATGAGCAACTGGTTGCGGCAGCTATTTGTGCTATTTTTGCCCACGCTTCAGGCCGTAAACATAGGCCGTGTGTCCCCCCAGTACATATGTTATATATACTATGCTATTTTAATAATATGGCCAAGTTCATTCGCTGCCTAATTGCGCATAAGCCTAACCGAAGAGATGGGGGCACCAGAAGAACCAGCGAAGAAGAGTCGACTCTTGTAAACGCATTCAGGCGCGCTCAGTGACTAGATAATATGCGTAGTCAATTTGAATCACACGTACATAACGTTCTACTCACAGACACACACACACACTCATACACGGAGAGGCATTGGCAGGTTTATGTATTGGCAATCGGTAATGCGAAGCATTTTACGGTTTTATGGCCAGCCTTAATGATTGCAGCATTTTTGCACAACAAAGCGATTCCGATAGCAGACTGAAGCAGCAATGGCAAGGGCAATAGCTGAGCATAACAGAAAAATACACATACCTTTACTTGTACCGTAAAAGAGGCTATGCCAGACCAAAGTTATGATATAAGTAGATTTTGAATATATAAAAACATGTTACAAATAAGCTGCTTGTGTTTACATGATATTATTTAACATACAACTGTTATGCAGCTTGTTAACATTTCGCTGTCAAATTAATAGTATTAGCATATACAACTGTTAATCGGAGTCTCTGTTTTTTATTTATCTAATGCTGGGTATGTTCAAGTCGTGCTGCTGTTATTAGTTATTCCTACTTGTTCTATCATGAACATGCTAATTGTTTGCAATTATGCTTTAAGCTGGCTTCACATTACAATACGCCATAAAGTATGGCATAGATGAGAGAAATCGAAATGGAACAGACCATTAAATAAGCACGTTTCAGGACAGTGCTTGTATGCCATTCAAACTGCAGCTATATCCTGCTCAAGGACCTGTTGTAGTTGAAGCAACAGCAAAAACATGACGAAGGCCACTCAACATGCCGCAAATGTTAAATTGAAGGCCACTAACAGCTGCGCCAACTACTCTTAATGTAGATTAATATGCTAGTAAATAACAGAAAATGTTAATACCTTTGAATTAGTTAAGAAATAAGTTCGCTAATGACATATTTATGCACATAAATACATATTTTTTAATTTGACAACAACGGGCAGACCTGTCGCTGGGGAATGCATTTTTATTTTTGCTTGTACAATTTTTAAATATTGTTTTAAGCCATTCACATTTTTAATTTCTTCTGCTCTGTTTTTTTATAGTATATTGAATGTTTACTCAGCATGTCCACGCGTTTTCAACTTTTACCTTTCGGCTGTTAATATTGAAATTAATTGGTAATAAACGAGCATCGCCTGTTTATATTCGTCAGGCAGCGTCATGGCCTCGCTTTTGTTTATCGCCTCTCTGCCATTGATTCCAACACATGCCAAGCAAAAATTAAAATTGAAAATCACCTTTATCTGCCGTTTTTTGCAATCAGATATGAGAATGAAAAAAATCCAAGCACCTGTGTTATTTTAGCGCCAATATGCGATATGCTTTATGCACACACGACGCAACGAGTATAAATAAATAAATAAACTACTACAATAACAAACATTGAATTCTCTGGCCCACAACGAAATGTAATCGAAATAAAAAAATACTACCCCAGATCTACTCTAGGTTTATTTGCGAGTCTGCAGAGTCTGTCTTTTTAACATAAACAAACTATTTATACAATTGATTAACTTAAGTTTTTGGATCAATGAACTGTCAAATCTTGTGGAGAAACAATTTAACTTAAACAATTTTGTAAAAAAGAAATAGTATTTTTCACAATGAACTGCAAACTTTAGTTTACATAGGCAGCAACATATGTTCTTCTATGTAATTTAACAGAACAAAGTAATTGATAATCTTATTTACAAATGCATCAATATTGATTAAAAAATAGACCAAATGTCATTTGTTGATCGTTTACCAGCCTGTTAAGACTTCTTGTTTCTGTTAAATCACAAAACTTATACATTTGTAATTCTATTACAAGGCTGAGCTGCATTTACGAGTCCTTTATTTCAGAATCGTTATTTATAAAATGTTATTTATTTACTTAATCGATTAGTTTATAAGACCCTAACGTCTTAGCCCTGTTATTAAGTTAACAGAGTATTTAACAGCAAAGACGCTAACAGTTTCGTGTAACTACTACTGCTAAAATGTCCTCTAAGCTTAAAGGTTTTTATATTTGTTAAACAGTTGCACATTAAATATAACATATTACGCCCTCAACACGTACCCCCATCTGACATTTAAAGGCCCAGAGGCACATTGAAGCTTTATCCGTGTTACACACAATGCGCATAGAATTACAGTAATTCAAGGCAGAGACAAGCTAAAAATATTTTATATATACAAACATATGTGTGGGCAGAAGTGTTTGTGTGTGTATTTATGTCTGCATATGTAAAGTGAAGGCTTGTGTGTGGTTGGGTGGGTGTGTGTGTGTATTCTGCACTTTTGGCTCGTTGCAACGAGGAAAATGGGAAATGCAAAAACAAAGCGTTTTCCAAGGCAGACGCACAGCTGTCATTATAAAGTTTTACCGTGTGTGCAAAATAAATATATAAAAAACAATTTAGTTGCTCCAGTCGGAAGTATAAGACTAGGAGATACCCTAATCCCAGAGTTGAGAGAACTTTAACTTACTTTTTAACTTAGCTCTAAAAAATTTCGAGTAATTACCCATTCTCGATTCTTATCGATAATATGATAATGGGAGAAGATATCTAAAAGCACGATTAGCTTGCATTGCTTATGAAATATGAGAATAAACACTTTAAATTTCAAGTCTCTAGCTTTTGCAGTCTTTGAGAAATGGCTCAGTTCGACTCAGCTCTTCGTCCTGTTCAAGTATATATATACTTTATGAGTGAGAAGATGCTTCCTTCCGCCTGCTACATACATTTGCACAAAAATGTTATACGCATTTTCGCCCTTTTTTAGGATACAAAAATATGCAAATATATGCAAATATATTTTAATTTAAGGAAAGTGCAAGGTAGTACTTAACCACAAACAGTTAAATACTTTGCGACCCACTAATTTAATTAAAACGCATAAAAACTGTAAGTCTTGAAACCAGTTCAAACTGAAACGAAGCGTCTAACTGAAACATGTGAACTCATATCAAAAGTGTTCCGAATTTAAAGTCAAGCAGCAGAACAAATTCACAGTTCACAAAATTGCAAGTGATGCGTAAATAGACAATTCTTAAGAAGTAGAAAGTAGAAGTAGAACTAGAAAGAGAGTCCATATATATACATAAGTAAAATATCGCAAAATTATTATGCTGAATCTACGTCGCACATTAACATCTATCAATCCGTACGAGGTGCAGACCCTAAGTGGCCGGCTCCTGAATCGCCAATGTCTCAATCAAAAGGTCAAGGCTGTCGCTCAACAATTGGTGTGGAACTCTCAGCTACAGGATTGCAATGCATTTCGCAACTGTTGGCAATTTTATGCCAATGGCCAGAAGCCCGTTTCATTTGTTGAGCAGCAGCGACGCAAGATGGCAAATCGTGGGTTTGTCGATCGCATCAAGAATCCGAATGCAGCCAAATTTTTGCAGCTATTTGCAACGTCCGAGTTAAGGGTCCAAGGTTCTAATGTCTATGATCAGATGTACGATGAGTTCGTGAGCTGTTTCAAAAGCCCACAGCCAGGACCGTGCCCAACTAAAAAAATTAAACGTCATCTTCCACGTAAAAGTGTGAAAGTTGTAACAGCCGCAAGGCCTGCAACGCGAAATGAGGGCAAGAAGTTGAAGCCAATATTTAAAATAAATCCAGCTCTTTTGCCCCAGACATCAAAGGAAACTGTACCGGATAAGCGTAGAATTCGCTTTAAAGTAGATAATATTCGTAAGAAACCAGGAATTATTTATAAAAGTTGGATTTCAACTGTGGGTACTTCTGCTGATACATCCAGAGACGATTCACTTGAAATGGAAACAATAGAGATACCACTCGAGGAGATACAAAAACATGAAAAACCCGAGGGTCCAAAAACTGATGCAAAACCCGACGAGTTACAACAAAGTGTGAAACAGGAGGGCTTGAAAGCCAATGTACGAATCGCGGAGTTACTGCAAAGTGGGAAGCCCGAGGGCTTAAAAGCTAATATAGGACCCGCGAAGTTACAAACCAATGTAAAGCCCCAGGGATTAAAAGCTAATGTACGGCCCGAGGAGTTACCACAAAGTGTGAAACCCGCGGGCTTAAAAGCTAATATACGAATCGCGGAGTTACAACAGAGTGTGAAGCCCGAGGGCTTAAAAGCTTATGTAGGACCCGCGAAGTTACAAACCAATGTAAAGCCCCAGGAATTAAAAGCTAATGTACGACCCGAGGAGTTACAAGAAAGTGTGAAACCCGAGGGCTTAAATGTAGGGTTCGCTGAGTTACAACCCAATGTAAAACCCCAGGGATTAAAACGTAATGTAAAACCCAAGCAATTAAAACATAATGTAAAAAGCGTAAAGACAAAACATAATGTAAGCTTCGAAAAGAAACTTCCGGAAAACTCAATCCCAGAAACACCAGAGCCATTAAAACCTCCACGAACCTCCAGTGTACCGAATATTTTAGAGAAAGATTTAACAAATATTTTAGAGAATGAAGCGCAAAGAACACAAAAGGAGATCGAATTGGCTGAAATAGCAATGCTAGAGGAACTAGCAAGGAAACGAAGAAAAAGACTAGCAAGAGCGCATTCAGAGCCCAATTTAAAATCGCACAGTTTTAAACATCATAAACACCATGCCAAGAGAAAGAAAACCTTTGTAAGTCTTCGAAGAACAGATACTTTGAAAATGTCTAGCAATGGCAGTAGTGCTCGTAGCACATATACCAGGAATATGTTGAACTTTCAAAAACAGTCCAGATTACAAGACCTATTGAAATTTCGATTGTCCACTACACCAATAAGATACAGTTCACAGTCAATTGCATCGCGCAAGTCGTATGGAAGAGGCTCAACCATGTCCAGACCCTCAGTCAGGTACAGAGCCTCACTCAGGAACAGAGCCTCAGCCATGTCCACATCCTCCGGCCCAGCACCTACCCCAGCCGCACGCGCTGGCCCAGCACCTACCCCAGCCGCACGCGCTGGCCCAGCACCTACCCCAGCCGCAGGCGCTGGCCCAACACCTACCCCAGCCGCACGCGCTGGCCCTACCAATGCCTCAGACACTGTCTCAAAACACCCCCCTAGCCAGATGCCGCTACCGCTGCCAATAGTACATGGGCCAATTAAGAAGAAAAAACAGAGATCTTCCATACCCTCAATTAAGCCAACCATCTACATAAGTAAAAAAAACCGAAAAATTAAAGAATCGTCACTCGACACAATACTGAAACACAAATTTGCAAGTCTATACTTGAAAAAATTTGGCTCAGATCCGTTGCCGATGGATATGACGTCCATTACTTCGATTGATTCTGTTGCAAAGCCCGTAGAAAACGATTGGGGTTTTATGAAGCTGCCTAAACTGCCATCGAGCATTTTTTGGAAACTATCTTCGTCTTTTCATGAACCGTCGTACGAAATATTTGAGAACTTCTTAAACAAACATCCACCGATTGACGTTGAACAGCACAGTTCATGATTTTATGACCAATAATAATATTAACTTTGATATGTTTGATACATTTCCCAGAAACTGGCCACTTCCCTTTGAATCAAAGCTTGTACGACGCATGCGCAGCGAAAAACGCAAATGTTTAATCTTGCCAAAAACATCCAGAAAAACTAAAAAGACGGAAAAAACAAGGCGGAAGAGAGTATATCAAGAGCCAAAAACGGAACCAGAACTTCTTAAGGTACCCAGCTGTGAGATATGTCGCAACTTCAACCAAACCGAGCCCGATCAACCATACATGATTGAAATGAAAAAGCGACAGGCATGCGACGAGCTCAAGCGATATTATAGACAAAGATTAATGGCACAGTCCCCAAACCCATGTGCGCCCGAGAACCCATGTGTTCATTTTGGTTCTCAGCCGAAACTAAATGATATGGAAGAGAAACTGCGACAATTCCGCGACGAACTCAAGAGATATAGACGGAGATCACCACATTATAGTCGACGATTATCAACATCAAGCTCACAAATGGCTAGCGACTGTTCACCCCAGAAACCTTGCGTTCATTTTGGTGCCCAAACGGAACCAAGCAGCAGGCACAAGCAGGCTGAATCGCTGCGACCATCACAGGTTCATTTGAACTGGCAACCAAAGCAGATCGGAATGCACAAGCAAAAGCAAACAATGCGGCAAAAACTGGTTGAGTGTTACAAGATGCTATGCGATTGTGAAACGCTTTTAGATAAGAAACTAAAACAGATTAAAGATGACAAGCGTTGTCTTTAAACTCTAATCCGTACTGTGTTTGAACTAATTCGTTTAGCAAAACGAACTAGTTTAAGCACAGCACAGATTATTGGTTGAGGATCGCAGCAGTCTTTTATTTTATAGAAATTAGTTTTAAATCCAGAAAGAAAAATAAAAACGTTTTTTTTAAGTACATGTTAAGTTCCGAATTCTTATTGCAGTTGAGCTAACCAAAGCGAGGTTAAGATTATATATTTTATGCCAATCAAAATGACAGGCATTTGTGAACAACCTATAAATGTAAACACATCTAATTAACTTTTCTTTTCTTTTTTTTAATAAAAATAACATCATAAAAAAATTCGTTAGTTTAAATTGCAAGTGCAACAACACCTGATAGATGAACGCATTGCAGAGACCGAATAGTCTGAGCGTTCCCGTCAAGACCGATCGCTTTGGTGTCCAGCCATTGCTGTTGAATCGGGAATGTTTGGTTAAGAAAATCGAGATCTTATCGCCCCTGATCGAAAAACTACATTGGAGAAGTAATAATCAACTGTTTTGTGCCTATTGGAGCTACCTGGCCGACAGCTACAAGAGGCAACAACAGGATATACTCCAACGAATCGAGCAAAATGCGGAGTTTTTGAAAAATATTGAAAATAAACGGACAGAATCCTTTTGGAAATTTCTGGTACCCCGTAACAGGCGTACTGGCAATGAACTTATTTTAAACGATGTAGCCGCTAAAAAAGCTGAAAATACCATCTATGAGGAATTTATGGAATGCTTTAATCATACCGGCACCCCAGTGAAGTCTCGCAAACGACGATCAGAGTCTTTGTTATTAACTTGGAGACGCGAGAAAGTTAAGGCTTTAGATGCGCTCAAAGCAACTAAAAATCCATACGATATTGAGCAAATCCAGCAGAAATTAAAGCGTTTAGAGCAGTTGGAGGAGCGACTGAATCCAACTCAACCCTATCCCGAGAGGCTGTATAAACAAAAGAAAAAGTACGAGCAAGTGCCAAAGATTCCACGCCCAGCGAATTGGGCAATTGAGTCTATAAGGCCTCAAAAATCTTCAATTAGCAGATATAAAAAGAAATCTACAAAACAAATACAAATAGAAAGAAAAACACCCGAAGACGAAATTGATAGTCCAACGTTGAAGGAAACAATTGAAAAGGAACCAGAAAGCCGACATTCTTCGTTGAATACCAAACAGCAAAGAACAGCTATTAAAGAAGAACAACTGATGAAAATACCCTCGTTTAGTAAAAACTTGCACGAATCTAATAAATATGAAATTGATCAAATAGATGTCCTTCAAATAGAAGTCATTGAAGATGTCCAAAGCTATGAAGCGGAACCAAATAAAGTTAACTATCATTTACCTAGATCAAAGCAGAAAGCTAAACACATAAGAAAAGTAAGGCAACCATCGAAGATTGATGATCTTCAGTCAAATGAGACTAAAAGAAGACTAACACAGAGTGCCATTAGTCTTTTTACATTCAAGCCGAAAACAAAACGTAAAAAAAAAATTGATGAAAGAGCAAAGTTGAAGAAACATGAAAAGAAAGAGACGGAAGAAAAACTGAAAGATATTCACGTCTACATAGCTGAACAGAAACGCAAGCGTACGCCCAAATATCTAAGAAAAGTGCATAAAAGCTTGGAGCAGAAAACGGAAAAACTACCCACCGATGAAAATGACTCCAAAAAGGACGATGAAAATGAATCCCAAAAGTTGAAAAGAACTGAGGCAAGTCTATTAGCAATTAAACGATTTACAGAGGAACTAGAAACAATGTCCAAGCGTAAAATTCCTGAAGTAGAACAGAAAGAAGAGAGCCAACGTAATGAAAATGACAGAGTAAAGGTAAATGAAGAGAATGTGAATAAAAAGAATGAAGAAAGAGTTAATAGTTCAGAACATACACCAAACACAGATAAATCTATCCAATTCGTTGACCGAAAAAGGAGGCGAACAGCATCGGAAAAACGCTCGTTAAAGACGATTAAAGAAGAACCAAGGAAAGGTTCAATGTCATTGAAAGCCATCTCAAGGACCTTGCCCTCAAAGCCCAAATTGCCAGCAAAGCTATCATATTACATTTCACAGCAGAAGCTGCCGAAAACCAAAATACCACTTCGCTGCAGCACGGAAGATACCTTAAGAGGAACGTTTGAATCAAATAAAAGTGGCAGCAGCAAAATAACGTACGAAGGCGAAGCTGAAGACTTGAGAATGCCATTAAGCAATTTAAGATTGTATACCATTGATAAAGGTATTGTGTATACTAATCCGTATGAGGAGCGGCCACAATATGGTGGTATACTGAGAATTATAGAACAGCCACAAATGAAAGTCTCTTTGACGCCATCAACTACGACGGCCAAGACAATGCATCGTACCTCAAGACATAAGCTATGCGAAAACAGATCCACGCTCAGGATTGCTCGTCACAAACGTCTGACCAAGACCCATATTCCAAGTATGTCGCTCCAAGTAATGGAAACAGATGACAGAAAGAGTCCACTGTTGTTGTCCGATCTGGTAGCCAATACACAAAAATCTCAAAGCCTGTACAATCTGCTGCAGCAGTTAAATCCAGTGGTGGACAGTGATAAAGCACAGCCCCAGAAGAACGAAAAAGAAGCAGACCCTTTGCCTAAGCCTATGCCTATGCCTATGACTGTACCTGTGCCCAAGCCAAAGAAGCCAAAGAAGGTTGAAATCAAAGTTATTAAGACGCCGCCTGTGGAATCGCCAAAGCCCCCCCACACCTGCATTGCGTGCAGGATTTGCGCTCAGCTAAGAAAACGTCCGCCGTTGCCAAAGCATCCCTATATGGAGCAGATAGAACGACAGCTCAAGACCCTTGAACTGCGCTCCTACTATGCGCAAATGATGCTAAGCAACTGTCTGCGGGAGAAGCAGTGCCAGAAGCGCCAGCATCTGGAAAACGAGCTCAATTTGTGTCCCATTTAACGGGGAACTCTAGAAATTGACCAAATACCAAAAGTGCCAGCGGCCTTTTGCGGTTAAGTCAAGTTCTAAAGTTTCCAGCTAAAACATTTCGAATTAGAGAGTAATTGATCGGCCGTTTGACAGTTCATTTCCCTTGCAAATTGTGCTTAAGTTTTATATTCATAATTTAAGCTAATTTTACCAGAGATTTTGACTGTCAAAGAGCTGAGCTTTCAATTTACACAATCGCGACGAAAATTTCAAATATTCTGTGCAAATTTGTGTCTGTAATAGTAAGTGTGAAAGTATGTTGTCCATGTAAGAAATCATTATGTTGTGCAAAAATACTATTTCTTATAATTGCCAATAGTATTGACTTTTAATTGGGTACGTAAGACTTCAATTTTTCTATAACTATATATTATTCTTTAATTACTTGTCTGCATTGATATTCTATCGACAGTCTTCAGCATCTATATACTATCGATAGTTGTCATCATCGATAAACTATCGATAGTTGTCCGCATCGATATTCAATCAATAATTTGGAATGTAGGAAGCTTTTAAATCTTCTAAAAAATGGCCTCTGTCTGAAGAAACTCTCTACTTAAAAGAGTAGAGAGAGAGAGCAAATTTAGAACTCTCTTTTAATATATCTGGTTACTGCTCAAACAACAAACCAAATCAAAAACCACTTAGAGTGCTTTAGTCGGAAGTGAACCTTCTTCTGCCAACACCAAATGAGGCTCGCCCCTGTTGGGGGGATATTTATTTATTTGTGTACCTATTCGATAATAGAAGCTACATGTCTTGGCAATGGGGCAAGGTAAAATTGTCATACTGCGCGGGAACCTACGTTCAAAATTTCAAGTAGCTCTTATAGGCAAGTAACAAGTATTCAGTAGCTCCGACAGGCAACCAGATGGAAGTACGGAAGAACAGACAGACACGCGGACATGCTTAGATTTACTTTACATAGATTTGCATAAAACCCATTTTGAATGGGTTGAGTGTATAATAAAGTTATCTTAAATATATATATGTTATATTTTTTTAATCAATTAAAGTTTTATTCCTTGGTAATAGAGAAAGGATTTATTCTTTTATGTGAATAAATTAAAGTTTCATCTAGTCCATATAACAAACATTTTGTTCTTCAACCAAAAATGTAGAATAAATATTGAAATGTTGTTTTTTTTTTTTTGCTTTTAAATTATATGATAAAACACATTTATACTGTTATTTAAAAATTATAAGTAACAAATATTTAAAGGTTTCTCTACAACGTTTTTATTTTGCGCATTTGCCTTGCAAATGTCAGGCATAAATGTCAAGCTACCAACTGTTTGTATATTGTCAGAAGCATCACAGCATGTCTGAACTGTGACCTGCCCCTGCATTGTACTATGTCCTTTTTAGTTTTTTTTTTTAACAGTTTTTTTTACAGCCCTGCGAGTAATACATAGTTTCCATTTTATGTGCTAGTTTTTTGCAATTTTGCGCGTTTACAAGCCAGCAAACAAAAATAATCGCAGCGGGGCAAAACAAACAAAAACAAAAACTATGGCTAGTCAGAAAAGTCTACACCCATTCGAATATACCCTATATGTACTTGTTTCAGTCTGTTTTTAAATACAACTCGAATTGCTTTTCAGAAAAAAATATCAAGTAAATGGTTTCTAGTAGCAATTTTAATGGATCTACACCAATGCAATCCAATTTTAATATTTACAGGGTATACAAATCAAAGTGGCAACTGCGTTAACCAAACAAAAACTCGGTCAAGTGCTTTGAATAGCATCAAGCAAGGCAAAATATGTGCATAAAAGATATATGCATATAAAAAATGTAAATAAAAAATGAAACAAGCGAAAACTAGTTCTTGTTTCTAGTTTGTTAATTTTTATGCTAAGCAATGACCATTTATTGTTGATTTTCAACGCTGCGCTTTAAAGAATTAAAGTCGGAGCGAGAGAGACGGAGAGAGAGAGATAAAGCGGCGCGCGCGCTGAAAAGTATGCTATAGAAAAGTATGGAAAAGCTTGCTGCGAGGGCGCGAACAGATTATGCCTTGGGCTTGATTAGGGGTTAAGGGGGCTAAGTCGGTTAAAGGGGGGGGGGGGGGCTGCTGCTGATATAAATGATGACAGGTGCTGGCAGTAGCTGCTGGCCAGACCAGACCGGGCCAGGAAATTCATTTACGACCAATTAAATGGCAAACGCAATGGCAAGAACAAAACGCAAATGAAAATATGAATTGCGCTCTCTCTCTCTCTCGCACTCTCTCTCTCCCGCTCTCTCACTATCTCTGTGTGGCACCTAAATTGCTTTTACTTATTTAACGAGCGGCCTTAGCGCTATAAGAATAACATAAAATAAACACTGTCACTTAAACGCATTCAATTTGTATTTTAATAATTAAAACTCTAATTGTTTAATTCCCCTGGACGACTGTGCTAATTGTAATTTTATTAAATTCTTCAGCCTGCAAATGGAAATTGAAATACATTTAATTGGACCACAAGCCGCAACAACATAAAATGTCCATTCATTGTAGTTGTACATTTATTAAAATCTATTAATTGGTTCAGAGCCCTATTCCCATCAATTACAAATTAAATAAGTCTTTCAGGTTCTGGTGTGAGAGCCTGTTGCACTATAATCAAGTGCTTGCGTTCTTTTTGCACATAAGTCCAATTAAATTATTGTTTAATTGGTTCGAACCTCTCGACTAATATAATATATACAAATTTATGAAGCGATTTATTCTCTCGATTCGTTGCGGTTTGATTCATGAGCAACTGTTTGGAGTTTCATATGTATATTGAAGAAGTAAAGATAGATAGATATTCTAGACTAAATTTAAAGCAATTGCCACAGCATCTAACTGACAATAGAGATGCTTTGGTTGGTTTACAGGTTAAACCAATTTAATTCCAATTTAAATACAGCCCGAGGGCTCAGCAGCCAGTGCCATGTCACATCAAAGTGAAGCCACGACAACTTAGCTACAGCAATAATTAAATTGCCAATGAATTTTAATGTATTTCTTATAATTTCGGCGATTTAATTGTATTTGTTTGATTTTCAGTTTTCATATCATTTGCAAATGAAAAAATTGCAATTTCCGCAAGCCAATCGCAAACAGAATTCAAGTTATGAGCTTTTCACAATTTGCCAATTAGATTGAGCTAAGCCAAAATTTCGCTGTGCTCCAACGCCAATCATGCGCCAGTCGACCCACGTAAATATGATTATGATGGCAGCAGCACACACGCACACACACACACACACACACGGATAGACACATACACGCAGTGAAGACGCACGCATAGACAAGCATCAATCAATCATACGCAGCGTGCACCGTCGCCATATCAAAAATGTCTTCATCGTGATGTGGCTCAATAATCACACGCACCAAAAATAATGTAAAAAAAATGAAAAAAAAAGGAGGCAAATTCGCGAAGAGCACTCGCGCACACTCACACACACACAGCACACACACACAGTCGCGCGCGCTGGGGCACATTTCAATGCGCCTTTGAAATGCAAATAAGTGTGCGTAAAGCGAATTTTGTACACAAGTCGCAAATCAAAATGCACACCTACCTGTGTTTAGACAGCGACGGGGGAGGGCGTTGCGGCGTGTTTTGGCCTTTAGGCGGCCTGTTTAACAGTTGTTGTAATTGTTGTTGTTCCTCTTGTTGTTGTTGTCGCTTGTTGCTTCTTCAATTTTGGTTGTTGTTGTTGTTGTTGTTGTTGATTTTTGTTTAACCGAAATTCACATTCAGCAAATTTGTTTGAGGTGGCATGAAAAATAAATCAGGCAAGAGACATAAAAAAAAACTCAACCAAAATGTAAAAACAAAACCAGAACCACAAGCAACAGAGAAATGCGTGTGATACAATTTGAAAAAAAGGTGATTGAGCATGAGTACAGTGAACGCTCGCTTTAATAAACAACTATTTTTGTGGACAAACACATATAAGATGGCCTTAAGAAAAGCTCGTTTTCTTTTCAAGTTTTCTAGCTGTCATTTAAATATTAAGTTCACTTTGGGCTGTGAGCACCAAAAAGTTGACAGGCCAAAGATTTCTGCCCCAGGAAGCTGTTCGTTATGCGAACTTTCACTGTACATGCGTAAATGTGCTTAATAATTTCGAGTTACTTCTAGAGCTAGCTGCCTATCAATGTAGCTGACTGCCAGCTACAGTGACAACTGCTACATGTGCGACCTCTAGAGTACATATATGCGCATACAATACTCTACAATATTTATGCGTAGGCTGTTGCTGTGCGCCTTTGTGCGTGGCTACATATGGTAATTTTTTTGTTTTATTTGTTGTTTCTTTTTTTTTGCGCACATTTTGTTAGCACGTTTTTTGTTTTTTTTTTTTTGGTTTTGATTCAATTGGTTTTGCTTGGGCGCCAAATTAGAGAAGTGATTTTACAATATGTAGACGCAGTTGAGTATATTATTTTTATTTTTTTTTTTTTTTGATTTACGGTTTCAACACTTTGGCGAGCAAATAATGAAAATTCAGAATCCAAAACGAAATATCAACGTTATTCTGTTGTGATTTTCTTATTAATTGATTATTTTTGTTTTTGTCGAGTTTTATGAAATTGAATTGCGGCATTTTTGTTTTTAATTTTGTAAAACCTTTAATTAAAATGCATTTCGGAGCATTTAAAATGACTTTAAAAATACGTTGGCAACTTTGTTGCCAGCAACAATTTGGCTTGCACTTGAACTAGTTGCCCAGTTGTCTGACTTGCTTTGTACACTCTTTCTCTCTCTACATAAATATTGAAATGTGTGTGTGTGTGTGCGTCCACTGATAACGTTTTGGAGCTTGAGAATTTTTGGTAGTTTTGATAGACGCGCTGTTCCGCTACCTTTGATTTGCCACGTCCGCTTTTCGAAGACACTCAACAGCAACTGTTGCAAATGTCGAAAAGGCAACTTGTGGCTGCTGCGTTGCAGCATCTTAAATCGCCGAGCTTTTTGTGAAAGCTCTTGTGTGGAGCACAAAAGCAAACTGTTGATTTCGCTTGAAAGAGAGCGCAAAAGAGAGAGAGAGAGAGAGTAGAAGAGCGAACTTAAGAGCGCGAGCGCTGTTCTCAGTTAATTGCATTTAAATATTTAGTTCTTAGACTATACTCTATTTTGAGTTTATTTCAAGTTCTCAGCATTAAAAGCTTTTTAGCTATTATGCGGCTGTTAATAATTGAGAATTTGATAATAAAGTAATTATGACCTGAGGCTGATTTGGTGTCTAATAGCTTGTATTCAATGTAATAAACTGCAGCGTGAAAGTTAAGTGTTGCAAAGTGTCAGAAAATAAATAAAAAAAACTGATTCAGACAACAGTTTTGTAAAATTGTATTAGAATTCAAAAATTCCACTTGTAGTAAATTTTTTAATTATATATAAATTTAAAAATTCGAAATGTTTTCAATATTTTTTAAATCATTTTATCTTTAAACTATGTTTAAACTTGTCTGTGTTGCCCAATACGACATTTGTATCTTTTTTTTTTTTTACTTACACTTTTTACTAATCAATTTATTTAATTTAAGAATTGACAAAGAATTAAATACAAAATTTATTTCGAACAAAAAAAATATGTATCAATCAGCTAATCAATATTTTTTAAAGTTATTTAACTAAATTTTATTTAAAATAAATGCATCTTAATTACTTTTAAAGTGTTGAACAATCAAAGAAGACGAATCAAAGATTTGGGATAGTGTTTGAAAATGTTAAAAGCAATGTTTTAAGCAACTTGATTGCTAATCAAGTGTTGAACAATTTGAGAAAATAATCAGTGGCCTAATCCACCATTTTTCGAGAATTTAGCAATAAACGTGAAAGGTAAGCTGCGCTTAAGTGAAGTATTGCACAATTTAACAAAATATGCAATTCACAAATTAAAATAATTAATTAAACATATTATGAAATATTTTAATCAGTTGTCAACGTAGATAAAGCAGTCGAAGTATATGGCTTATAGTCCTATAAGCACTCAACTAGTAATAATTTAACTCTGATATTATCAGTTATTAGCTGTATTTTATATAACTCAAATGCGAAGTTCAATTGTTTTAAGCACTGCTCAAAATAGCTGGCTTTTAACCAGGCTTTCATTCATGTGTTCTTATTTTAGTCTTAAGCTGCATGCATGTGTGTGTTAAGTTAACCTAATCGACACTTGTTCGTCTTAGGAAAATCACACTCTCATACCTCTTACACACACACACACACACTCACACAGAGAGAAAGCTTTTAGTGTTTTTGGCCAGACAAAACGCCCACGTGTTATAGACAAGGCCTCGGACTTGAGCATCAGCAACAGCCACAGGTGCAGCCGCAGGAAGTGTGCCTGCCCATAAACTGATGCCGACGCTCAAGGCTCGGGGCCATGTGATGCCCGTGCAGTTAAAGGACGCACGTTTGGCAAATTTGTGAAGCAGAAGGACGCACGCATGGCTAATTGATAGAGCAAAGCTGTGCAAACAGGCAATAAATTGTGGCAGACACTCCGGCGCACATGGCCAAGAGAGAAATTTCTGCTGAATTTGCTTTTTTTTCGTTTTTTTTCTTATTTCACACGAATTCACCATGCTTCAATAACAAAGCTAGCGAAACTCGGTTATGCGCGTTAAAATTAACTGATAAACGGCGCAAAAATAATCAAAAGGTAATTAAATTAAGCCCACAGCGAAATTTAAATCAAGTTCAGAGCTGCGGCCATCTTGGCAACATGGCGCTGCCTAGCCTGTGTGTGTATGTGCGCGTATGTGTGTGTGTGTGTCAGTGTGAGCTTGAAAGCTTGTCAACATGATTTTTTTTTCGGCTAGAGTTTCGCGCTGTTTCGGCTGCCCGTTCATTGACTTTTTAATTGGCTAATTACGAGCGTAGCCCAATGGGCGTCGGTACACGCGCGCGTGTGTGTGTGCGTCTATACGCGCGCGCGCGTGTGCGTGTGTGTGTGTGTGTGTGTGGTGTTGTAATGCTTTGCTATTTCTGTATTTGTGCACTCTTTTCTAATTTTAGTCGCGCTTCATTGTTTCCAAGGTCCTTCATTGTTTCCCTTATGCTAAATGCACAGATTTATCTATAATTAACAAGCGCAGCTATTGATTTTGGGCCCTAGTTAAGCTGCTTGTCGTAGCCATTCGCACGTGCATTTGGTAATGGCGCATTATCGTACTTAATATACTTATATAAATATACAAATGCAACACTTACCTTTTCTCAGTTAACACAATAATGCTGGCAAGCACATATGGTACTTGTTCTTTATGCAAACCAAGGGCAATAGATCACTGTGCAGTTTAATGTAACACATATTGTTTTAAACATAACTAATTCACAAAAATTATTGCATTAAATTAATATTAAACACCGGCTTAATAACTGTGCTTGATAGAACTTGCATAACTATCGAAAGGTGTCTGTTTCAAAGGCACATAAATTTTGGTCATCGATAAAAACGATCGAGCCCACATCGATATGACTGTTGCAGCATATGGATCCTGTTTAACACTTGCTGTCTTTGGCGCCATCTAGTGCCAAGTAGCATAAGACATTACGCTCATGTAGGTTAAACATTGGCACTCACCCATGTGGTACATTTACTAAAGACATACACCATGTGCTCTTTTAAAATTAACTTTATTTATTCACAAAAATAAAACGTGTGGCTATCAAAATACTAACAATGACACGTCAAATACTCCAAATAATCCATAGATATAAAATACATATAGCATAGAGAAATTCTAAACCATGCTTTCAGCTTATGAGGAGCCGCTCTGTTAGATGAGGAGCAATTCTTAACTGTAACAGCCGCCAAATGCTATCGATAATGCCAGATAAGAGCTACCCCCGATATTATCAGCAGCATTGGCGATATTTGTGCAGCTCTAACATTCTTATCGCACATCCCTAGCGCTTTATACTGGTTGCTTTTTGTTGGTTGTTGTTGTTGTTGGTTGGAAAATACAATTAAAAATTGATTTCAATATTTAAATATTCAACGTATCAAGGTAAGTGCAAATAGCGGCACATTGTGTGACTAAAAATCATACCAAACGCTAAGAAGCTGTCGAAAAACGTGTTAAAGGGCTGTTTGAAAATAGCGCGTCACAAGTGTGTGTGCGTGTGTGAGTGAAAATGCGCTAGCGTACGATTAAAGTACACAAGAGCAACTGTTAACGCATTTTTCCAGCCAATCTATGCAATAACTAATTTTCTTGTACATTTTCTAGACAACAACAACGCGGCGGGTGTCGGCGGCAAAAATACCGAAGAAGCACAAAAAAGAAAAATTTGCAAGGTGTTTGCGTCTGTGTGAGTGTGTGTGACAACGACGAGCGACGACTTTGCTGCTGCTTCTGGTGCGTGCGCGCTGTCGCAAGGGACCAACACACACACATCAAGTATTTGCCATAGTATTGGTGTATCCTTTGGCATTTCTGCGAGCTTGGTTGGACGTGCGAGAGAAAAATCGCTTTAGCCAAATCATAAACAAGTGCAGCTGAAGTCGTTTTTAAAAAGCAAAAGCACACCAAATACAATGGAAAAGAGAATAGAATTGGAGAGACGCGCACGCAAGGCGAACCAGGTAAGTTTTTTACATTAGTGATTGATATTGTGAAAAGAAAGCAGGGAAGCGACAGAGAGAAACAAGCCGAAAAAACGCGCAAAATTGAATTTTTTTTTTTGGCTGTGATTACACAAATTTTCATTACAACGTGCAAGTGTGTGTGTGTGTGTGCAACAACAACTACGCCATCATGTAAATCTAGTTTCAATTTGTGCCGTTGTCGTCGACGCCATAAAAAAGAGCGCAAAGCGCTGAGCAAAGAAGAAGCGGCAAATAACATCCATCGTTGAAAAAAAAAAAAAGAATTGATCGCCATAAGCAAATTCACACATAGAGCTGTATGTACGTACATGCGCTAAATGTGCGTGTGTGTGTGTCGCGAGCAGTGTTGCCATGTGCGCGCATTTTTTTGCTTGTGCTTTCCTTAAACACTGCCAAAGACTGCACAATATCTGATTATTACATTAAATCATGTAAATAATTACTCAAAGGTGTGTGTAAATAAATAAATCTTTGACATAATGTATACATGTTAATGTGCGGTGATCGCGATACGCACAAAGCAAAGACGTCCAACTGAAATTGCGCCAGCTGGCAATGCTTCTATAATCTGTTGTTGCTGCCGCTGGCTGGCCGGCCTTCAATTGTGACAAACACTGCAATAAAAACATGTACATACGTATACGTATACGTAAGTGTGTGAGTGCGTGCGTGTGTTTGTGTGCCATGCTGCTTGTTGTAATTTCAGGTTATTTGATACCAAAATGTATCTATAACAACGTTATAGCGCGCGCATCATTCATATGTACGCAACAACGCCAAGAACCGCACACAGAGGCGCACACACACGCAACAAAGACGTGACACATACATACATACACACAGGCTAACAAGAAACGTGTATGCACATAATAATCGACACATTCTCGCCAATGCCGATGGGTTGCCAGCTTTGGCTATAGCTGCTGCTGAGACGTGCACACACAGCCATATTGACTGCGCAGTCATAAATACCCTTGCACATACACATACACTCACACACATTTGCTTTCGCAGGCTAGACTTTTCACAATGCAAAAAACCGGCCGCCCCAAACGGTACATGCACTGTTTACATGCACTTCCCTCTCCACAAATGCATCTATCTCTCTCTCTTTCTCTCAAACACAGCACAAGAAATGCGAAAAAGAACAGAGCAGAGCAGACAAACCTGTGTCTTTTTTTTATTTTTTTGTGTGGCACATTTGCTGATTAATAAACATGCGCTCTGGCAAGGCCTACTCAATCAGGCACCCACACCCCACCCAGCCAAAGCGCGCCCGTCGTATTGCGAACAGAGGCCCAACTACAAGTACACCGCAAAGCATACACACACATAGTCAAAGTTAAGCTGATATGCACACGCTTCATAGCTTAAGCTGCGTGCGTTTGTATTAGTGTATGTGTGTGTGTGCATGTAACTGTCCAGCAGAACAGATGAGAACACGCTGTACACTACGAAAATGTCGCCAGCCATTGTTGCTATTGCATATAACTGTAAATATTCATATATGTATGTACATATGCTCGACTACTATAATTGGTCCAATCAGAAAACAATCGAAGGTAGCCAGCCATACATATTCAAAGCGTATGTCAGTTTCTTATCAAAAAGACACAACCAAAAAAAGTTTGTCTGTTTCTCTTGCTTCTAGGCGCAACAACTACCAAACGTCCGTATGTCAACATATTTTTGTTTTTGTTGGGGCTGGCGCTGCCGGCTTGTTTCATTCCAAAAATTACAGGACTTGTGCTGTTTTTTTTTTTCCTTCCACATCCCGCCCTTCAGTACTTCATAACATTTCATTTCGTTTCAATTTGTTTGTAGCACGCGCGCGCCCATTGCGCTGCCATGCTATCGGCACTTGCTCTTTGCGCTGCTCTTTCGATGCCCATTTTCGCGCATTCCGTTTTGTGGCGCGTACGTCACACGTACACGCACACACATACACAACGGCTGCAAAAAATTCTATTACATAAACGCGTTGCCACTTTTTCAGCTTTAGCTGCAGCTGGGTGCGCAATTTGTTAAATCATTGTTGTCTCAGCACATAAAATTGTTTTGATTTTACCATAGCTTATGTTTTAGTTGCGCCATTTTGTGTGTGCGTTTTCTTTGCAATCAAAAAAAATGCTTTGAGTTTGATCGATTTTTTGCGTATGTATTGTTTTTCATTTTGAGTTTTTTTCTTTTGCGCTTGTTCTGCCACACGTTCACACAGACATGGCGGACTGTCAGACCCGCAACATGCTGAAAACACGGCCAGTGTGACCAAATTGTCTAACACGAAATATGCCACTTTCCGTTAAGACAAAAATTACTTGTAGAAAATACCAAAAGAAGTTAGATATTGAAACATCTATGTTTTTCTTATTTGCACACAGATCACAGAATTGAATCTGGACAACTGCAGGAGTACAAGCATTGTTGGCCTTACAGATGAATATACCGCCTTGGAAACATTAAGTTTGATCAATGTGGGCCTCACCACACTCAAAGGTTTCCCCAAGTTGCCCAATTTAAAGAAATTGGAATTATCCGATAATAGAATTTCGAATGGCCTCAACTATCTAACGACCAGCCCACGATTACAATATTTAAATTTATCTGGCAACAAAATCAAGGACTTGGAAACGTTGAAACCATTGGAGGAATTCAAAAATCTGGCTGTCCTGGATCTATTCAATAATGATGCCACTCAAGTGGAAAACTATCGTGAGAAAATCTTCAAGATGTTACCATCTTTAAGCTTTCTCGATGGGTAAGCTAGATAACTAATACAAATATTGATGGAAATTAATCAATTTCTATATTGAACAGATTCGATTGTAACGATGAGGAGGCGCAATCGGAGGGCGATGACGATGAGGAGGATGATAAGGATGACGGTACGTATACGCATCATTCATAGATGGCATTTATCATAGGGGAAACAACTTATTTCGCTGTTCGCTCAGCTCTATGACTCTCGCTGATTGGTGTCAGCTTGTTGCCACATTCCATGTCCGACCTGTTTAGGATCTGATCTGTTCAGTTATCGTATCATGCACATCTCAACACACAGATTCTGTCGCCTTTCAGATGAGCGCAGTGCCTTCTGTGTTAATGGTTTAGAAATCGATTTAGACGAGCTCGAGGCATTGGAGCAGCGTGTTAAGGCCAAGAAACGTTTGCAGGAAACGACAGACGGTGCCAGCACGTCCAAGCCGCCTGCCGACGACAATGAAGTAGACGAATTAGATGAATATTTAAAAGAATTGCAGCTAAAAGAATCGACGGCAGCTGCCAGTCAATCTGTGATAGAGGCTAACCCAGCCTCAGTTCAGCCCCATCCAAGCACAAATTTTGCAATTTTACTCTATTGGTTTTTAGCAATATTAAATCTGGCAAATGCCGCCTATTGTAAGCATTATGCATTCTGATTTTTAATCAAACCTTACGATTTTGCCGATTGCTTACAGTTTCCGGCTACGATGATGGCGACAGCGATGAAAGCGACGACGAGGACAATGGCGATGTTTCACTCTCGGAGGTATGTCAAGATTCCAAAAGATTAGTGGATTAGTTAATTAACTAATCAACTGAACAATTTCAGGTCTATAATGATGATCTAGAAGAAGACAATTCCGATTGGGAGGAAGGTGAGGGCGGCGATGACGATGAGGACGAGGATTCCGATATTGATGAGGCCGATGGCGAGCCAAATGAATCGACTGCATCGGTCAATGCCAATGAGAAGGATGCTGAAAAGCCAGGTGAGTGATGAAAATTGAACAATATATCGAATTATTACTCATATTTTGCTTCTTTAATTCAGCAGAAGAGTCGCAAGCCAGGGGCAAGAAGAGAAAGCATGATGGTTAAACAGCATGATCTACAACTGTATCGTCTTTGTACGTTATAAATTTAAATATATATACACCAATACACACACACATACAAAATTCAGCAACAGGAACACACATCATATTTTGATAAAACAAAAGTGAAAAATAAAACAACAACAAAGGAAAGAGGAGAAAAATAAGAAGAGGGCCCCATTAGAAAAAGATTTAAACAAAAAAAAACTACATTTGTTTCGTTACATTTTAAGCTAAATATTCTAAACACCCGACAAAACAAAACAAAATGTAATAATCAAAAGATAAACAAAAGATGGTAACTATTAAGGGAATACTAAAAACCACACAACAATAACATAAACAACACACACACACACAACTATAGCAAACGAACCCAAATGTGGAAGTTCTACAAATAACAAACAAAATAAAAAAAGGGAAAATAAAAAAAAAACACAAACAAGAAAATAGATGGTTCCAATTAAATTCTTTTGGCAATTGAATTTGCATTCTGAACACATTGTAAAATTGCTTAGCATTAAGTTAAAAGTTTACCAATATATGATTACAAAAGTGTAAAATTAAAAAGAAAGCCCACAATTTACATGATGATAATGTTACATTTGAACAAACAAAATTTGCTAACTTGCGCCTAAAGATGATTCCTATCCGTTTTAAATTGAATTATTTTTTAAAAATCATTTGCTGCTTCTATTTGGTTTCGTGTTACAAACAAATTCTACAAACATAATTACTGCTAAGAAGGATTTTTAACTAACTCTTAAGTCATTCCTTTTTGAATATATATATACACACACACACACATAAATTAGTTAAGCGCAATTATAATTTATACTTCCTTTTATAATATGATAATGTCAACACAATTATTATTCATTGTTACCCACATCCATTCTCTATATACACGCAAATTTGTTTAAACTCTAAACATACTTTTAAGTACGTAAACTATATTATCAAACAGATTTGTTCCCAGTTCTTCAAAGGCAGTAATAGCATGTTTCGATTACGGCAAGTAAATGCAATATACACAACATTTTAGACAAGAATATATATATATATATTTTTTCATTTCATTAAACAACAACTATAAATGCAATACGTTTGTTCAGGTACAGGCAAATTGTATAAACACCGAAAGCGAAACCGAAATACATAAAAATTAAATAATTTTAAACAACTTGTTTCACTGATGATACCCTATAAATTGCATATAGCGAAGAAATAACGGCAAACGGTGTACCATAGCACCAGCGGCTGCCGCCTTAGAGGGAAAAATGTGATTTAGCTTGTTCTTAATTTCGTTTTGAAAATAAAAGCTAACTGCGTGAAACTATCGATGATTGCGTAATCGAAATATCAGCTCAATATATGGACGGTCGTCAGCACTGTACATACAAATGCACATTAACCAACACTGTACAGCACTTGAACATGCGCAAAAGAGGAAGCAAGCGTAGCACATATGCGGAAGCGAGAGAGTGATATTCAGCCAACGCTGACTACAACGTCGCGACGCTGTCGACGTCTCTTTATTTGACGTCGAATCGTCGCAGCGGCTGGCTGTGTTAAAATATACATACTAGACAAGTAGACTGCGCTGCCTGCTGCATTCTTGGAACAAATTTCACTGTTGGCAGCGACTGAGGAATAAAATTGAACGTCGACGTCGCGACGTTTCTTCCTCGAAGAAGACCAAATCAAAATAAAAACAAATAAACTATAAAGGGTGCGTGCGCGCCAATTATTTAACAACAATTAGCAAACGAAAGAAACAAAGTGAGTTTTAGTTGCTTATATTAATGGCAATTTTGATAAAGTGGCCAATTTACATGTACACACACACACATATACACACGCACGCACATGCACACACTCACCCACTTGCATATATGTATAGGTAGTATATTTATTAACGTGCCCCGTGTTTGTGTTTCTCGCAGTGCACACACTAAGTGCAGCCATCGAAATGGACAAACTGGATGCCAACCTGGAGCAGCAGTTTGATCTCAATCTGATTGAGGCGGTCAAAATGAATCCCGTTATATACGATCGGTCACATTACAATTACAAGCATTTCGTGCGTAAGGCGCAGACCTGGAAGCAAATTGCCGAAACACTCGGCGTTAGCGGTAAGTGAAATTTTTGATGCAACTGTTTGTAATCATCTTGGCGAAACGGGTCCGAAGCGAAGGGTGCAACCAGCCCATACGCTGTGTGGCAAGTGAAATTGGTTGGGTATCAGCCGAGGCAGCTGGCGACGACGATGTCGTCGTCGTCGTCGTCGTTGCCGTCGTCGTCGCTGCAAATTGATTAATTCTATGTACGGTTAAGAGGTATGGTTGTTTAGGAGGGGAGGACGGGTGCAGAGTGGGCTGGCAACAGAGACGGAGACGGAGACGACGACATCGTCGGCAGCGGCAGCAGTAGAGGCAGCGGGCGTCGGCAGCAGGCGGGCAGAAAAAGCAAGTGTACAGAAACGACGCAAAAGTGAACGGCGTCGCGGCGGAGACGCGACAGACGATTGTGAAACGACAGGAGCGCATTTACTGCCGCGCGGTTATCAGCCGTACTTAAAATGTGCACCAATTGAATTAACTGATATGCCAAGCATTCGTTGTTCCCTAAATATTGAGCAATTCTTATGTCAAAGCACCGTTTTGTATATAATCAAGTGGAATCATAGATTTAGGCGCCCTGCTTTGGGCGCTTCAGCTGCGCTCCTGGCTGCGCTGTCGACGGTGTGTGCGCGCAGTCAACATTTTTGAAGTTGCTGTACTTTTGCGTCGCAGTAGTTGTCTTTGTCGCACACACGCTGCCTACGCCAGCGTTTATTTTTATACAACTGCCACTGCTGCCGTCGCTGCAGCTGCTGCCGTTGGTGCTGTTGGTGGTTCACTCACACACTGATGTGAACTCACGCACACAGCGACAGGCAATCGTCGACCAACCGAACAGCTTTCATTTCATTTCATGAGTGTATACCAACGAAAAAAAACCCTGTTTCTTCCCCCCTGTCTCAAAAAATGTTTTGTTTATATGCAGTGGCCCGATTTCAATTTTGGAGCTTTTCCATTAATGAATTATGCAAGCCAATTTGAAGGAGAAAAAAATTTGAAACATTTTGGCGCCAAGCCGTTTGAATGCAACAGAAAATGTGAAGACGACTCTGGCATCAGACTCTCTGCCTGGGCCGCTGCTGGCGTTACCAATACCAAGCGGGCAGAATCAACTCGTAGTTGTAGTCGACGTCGACAGCAGCAGCGGGCGCGCGCGGCTGCCACCAGGCCGCTCGGAAGCTGCTGTCGCTGCTGGCGTGCCACGGATTCAGCTTCAGCTCAGCTGCTGCTGCTGCTGCTGCCGCTGCTGCTACTGCTACTGCTGCTGCTGCTGCTGCTTGCTTCTGTTGCTGCTTCTGCCAACAGCTAACGCCGTTGGTTCAAGTGTCTGCGGGGGCGGGAGAGACAACGGCGTTGACGTCTCGCGGTTTGTTTTGGTTTGCAATTTGACGCACATATGCTGACGTCTGGTGGCGACGGCGTTGCCACCCACCAAAGAAAAGCTTGACAACCGAATAAAAGTAAACAAACTTTCTTATCAGGTTAAAATTCATGAAATATTTATGAAAATTAAATATTTGTGCATTGAAAAGTGAAAAGTTACAGCCGTTTATTAGATATTCTGTTGTTTTTATTTTGCAGAACAAAAGTGTACAAAGCGGTGGAAGAGTTTGCGCGACAAATTCGCGCGCGAAATGAAATTGTGCCAAGAATCGCGCTGGCGCTACTTCAAACAGATGCAGTTCCTCGTGGACTCCATACGGCAGTACCGTGAGTCGCTGCTGGGCAAGTGCGCCAACGGCAGCCAGAATGCCAACCAGGTGGCCGATCCGACGCAACAACAGCAGGCACAACAGCAAACCGTGGTGGATATATTCGCACAGCCCTTCAATGGCAGTGCAACCACATCCGCCCAGGCACTGACGCATCCGCACGGTGAGTCCCCTCCCAAAGAAAAAAAAAAAAGCCTTATTAAATAGGACAAATTTCAGAAATAACTGTGACTGGTGATGCACAACTCGCCACGGCTGTGGGCAAGGATCAAAAGCCATATTTCTATGAGCCGCCGCTGAAGCGTGAACGCAGCGAGGAGGAGCATAGCGACAACATGCTGAACACAATCAAGATATTCCAGAACAATGTCTCGCAAGCGGTCAGCGCCGAGGATCAGTCGTTCGGCATGGTTGTCACCGATATGCTCAACACGCTGGGCGTGCGGCAAAAGGCCGAGGCCAAGGTGCACATCATAAAGTATCTGACGGATATGCAGCTGCTGGCACAGCACAACAAATACTAACTGTCGAGCCGTTTGTAGCATTACCAGCACCGTCAATTGCTGCAACTGCTGCAATTGGAGAACGTGCTGGACGCTCGATGGTTAATGTAAGCAGCTACATATAACAACAACAACAACAACAACAAAACAAACAAGATCCCAAAAACAGGAGCCGCCTGTTTTTTTTAGCAACTAAGTCTTAAAAGTCAAACTAAAGTTTAAAATTAGTTTTAGAAAGAAAAAGAAAAAAACCCCATACACACTTCACTTACATCTACATAATATACATAAAACCGAACACATACAATTACGTAAGCACAAATCGTATACATATATTCTTACGTGCTTTGATCTGTTGTAGTTGGCCGCCCCTTCCGCCCCCCGTTCAATTCTCTTACCCAGTTTGGAAGTGTACAAAATGATAGGAAACTGGTTCTAGAAGTATATATATATTGTACGTAGTTTTTTGAAACAATTTACAAATGTTTTCCAATTACTTTGTAATACAGCATATTGTATATTTTTGACTACCATTTAGTTTAAACATGCGCCATCGGGTTTAGTTTTGTAATTTGTAATTAAGTCAAATTGTAATCACAAAAAAAAAAAACGTTATTTTAATTTTTTAAGTTCTGTTGTAATATGCTAAAAACGCTTGAAATTTACATTGAAAGGCTTTAATTAAGTACGACCCTTTTAAGAAAACAAACATATATATACACTAAAGCATATTACACAATTACATGAATATATTTCCGCATATTTACATACATATTTTTCTGTAAAAACAAAAACGGTTTTAAATTAACGCTGAATATTTCAACAAGTTTACCATAGTCGTGTATATTTGCCAGCAATATTGAACAATTTAATATTGTTTTACCAATTCAATTTACCTAAATGTTTTTGATGTACATGGAATCACTAATTGTGCAATTATTTGCAATAAAAACAAACATAAGAAACAAAAATATGTTATTTTTACTTAAAGCGGAAGGCGCCATTTCTTGAGAGATGTGGCAACCCTGTGTAGGTTGTAAACAAAACACAGCTGATCCGATTGACGCTCGCTTTGGCCAACACATTTTTATATAATGTCCGCCGCAAAAAGTGAGAATGCTGAGACAAAAGCGTCGGAAAACAATGCAAAACTGACTGACACATGGGCCGTAAGTAATGCTCTGTTATATAAGGTACAAATCTAAAAGTGCAAACACAACAGATTCGCCCGTGTCACCTGTACAAAGAGGAGTACGACGATTGCACCAGTTTCAAGGCGCGCTTCCATCAATATTTCATACATGGCAAAGACGCTGACTGTTCGCAATGGCTGAAGGACTTGCAGAACTGCGAGCGCTATGAGCGATCCAATGGCAATGATATTGAAGCTGGTGCCGCGATAATCAAGAGCGAGGAGCAGCGGAGAATCACAAGATTGCGGGCGCACTACGCCAACGATACGTGGGCAAAGCGTAAGCAGCCGCCGGTGGATTGGGCCAAGCCGCTGCCCGAATGGCTGGAGAAGCGCAATGAAAACACCTATTTAGAGCTAAAGCAAAAAGAGCTGTCCGGCCTGGCGGTAGAGCAAGAGGCACAGCGTTCCTATTGCGCCATCATGTAGGAAATAAAAAAAAAAAAACTAAACAAAATGAAAAGAGAAGGGTGTTTCATCATATCGATTTTACAGCAGTCTGGCAACATCGTGCACACAGCTGTTTAGCTCTGCGCGTGTTGCGCTTGGGGGTGTAGTTTTTTTTTTTAGCTGGCGCTGACACAATTTCTGCTATACATATTTCATCATTCGCAACTTAAGTTCACTGAAAATGTTGAAGGGCTGCACATTAAAAGTACTTGATGTTAGAATTCTACAGCGCTACATTGAATCAAGGTCAGCAGGTAAATGTTAATTATATAATACAAAAGTCTCGGCAATCCTTGTCTAGCATGTTAACTGTAAATTCAATCGAGTGTATATATATAAATATATGCTTACATGTATAAATTGTTAAAAAACTGTCGTTAGCTAAACGTAGCCTTTTCCGTTGCAGCTGCCAGCAGCAGATCAGGACGCGTAACTATACCGATGGCATCCAGCGCTCCTACATAACGTTCAATGATTTTCGCAACAAAAACCGTTCTTACACCAAAAAGGAGCTCGTCGGGTGAGTCAGTAAAAACAATGTAAAACTGCTCTGGTCGGGAGTGACCGACTACAAGATACACTGTGCTCATCGCCAAGCTGTTGTTACACACATTCGCATACACAAACACGCACACAGGCACGCGTGGCGCAGGCTGCGCCCTTACCCACTCCAATGCTCCCGGCTTAATATCGATTTGTATCTCGATTTTGCGTTATCGATAACAGTTCGAAAAGTTTCGAAGTCTCTGTCGAGATGGACAGACACATTCGCTTGTGGTGTTGGAAAAGCTTTCTTCTGCCTGTCACACACACACACACACACACACACACACTCGTACACTCACTCTCACCCATTTAGAATTGGATCAGGGTATATATGAAACAAACACACTCTTGCAGTTACTCAATGCAGGACATGTACAGCGTGGTCTCGGATGTCAGCAACTATCACAAGTTTGTGCCCTATGTCAAGAAATCGCACGTGCACAGCACACACGGCGGCGGCTTCAAGGCGGATCTGATTGTGGGCTTTCCGCCGCTGAACGAGGCATACACATCGCGGGTAACTTTGGAGCCGCCCAGCCTGGTCAAGTCGGAGTGTCATGATGGCCGGCTGTTCAACTACCTCCTCAACGAATGGCGCTTCAGTCCCGGCCTCAAGGACATACCCAATTCGTGTGTGCTAGACTTTAGGGTAGCGTTCGAGTTCAAATCCTTGCTGCACAGCAATATTGCCAACATATTCTTCGATCTGATCTGCGATCAAATGGAGAGCGCATTCATCCTGGAAGTCGGTCGACGCAGCGGCCCACCCTCCATACGCTCGCATGTGCTCAAAGCGAGGCGATCCTGACAAACGACCCCAACGACGCGAAACATGTCTCTCCATGCTGTCTAGTTAAATATTGTATTTAGTAAATGGAAAAAAAAAACACAAACAAACAATTATGTTGACAGAGGCGTTTTCTATATATTTTTGTTATAACAAATTGTAAATAAATTGATTAACTCAAAGAAATGGTGTAAGTACTTGAATTTCATTGAACGTCATTGAAAAAATCATTGTTTTAAACAGTCTCGTTTTTTAGGGATTTTTAAAATACACAACAGATAATTTGTTAATGACAAGGTTCAGTTCTTAATTGACAAGTGTTTAAATTAGAAATTAAATATTTAATTATGTTAACTATGGAATGGCATCGTTTAAGTCGAGAAATTCTCAAAAAGTGGCCGTTTTACTTTTAAATATAACTAAAACTACGTTTATATGCGTAAACAGACGATATGTCAAAAAAGCATAAAACAATCAAAATCAATTAAATATCTTAAACATAAATTACAAAGAGAAATATATAAAACTTTAAGCTTGAAACAAAAATCAAAATCATGCTATTTACAAAAACATTTACATTAAATTGACAATATCGCAACAGTTACTCAGTTTTAGGGGGCAGTTAATATTTTGAGTTGGAACAAGTATTCCCATATATAAACTCTATATATATGTATATCTATGCATCTAACAGTTACTAACTATAACTTGAGTGTGTCCTAGATTTATGATGCTAAGCTCTCTACAAGTTAACTTTATACAAGAGGGGAAGGGGACGATCTCTACTTGGAGCAGTAAATAAGTCGACTACCATACAACAGTTAGTGAAATTAGAATACCCTTACAAATGTCTGTATGCATTGTTTGGGTATATAGGCTACGACATGCCGTAGATAACATTGTTTTATAGTTAGTTTAGGTTCTTTTCTGATATTGTCCAGTGAAATACGCGTGCAACTACTTAGGAAACAATTAGGCTAAGGTTCAACAAATGGTTATAGATGCAGTTAGCAGCTAATGATTATGCAATAGAAGGTATATACGAAGTAGATAGGTACAATTCCTTAATTACTAACGATCGTAACTAAAACAAATCTTATAAGCACATTTCGGGCGCATTCGAAACTAAACTCAAATTCGTTGCCAGTCGCGAGCGGATTTGTAAACTCTAAAATTGGTAAGGGATGCGGCACAAAACGCAACCATTTCAAATGGCCTTTCTTTTTCAGCGTTTGCTTTACAAAAAATATCACTTGTTGGGCCGTTTTTTGAGCGGGCGAAGTGGCTGCCACGAGGCGGCAGCAACCGCTGCCGCCAGCTTTCTTCGCTCTCAGTTGTGCTTGGCTCGCTTTCCAAACATATAGCCCTTCCAGCGTTCGGCGGTCTGTGCGATCAGCGGATCACTGTCAATGGTGGCCAGCAGCAGCAGCTGATTGACGTGCGTCGCATGGTAGTCCCAGCGTGCCAGATTTGGTGCCACGCCCAGACTCAAATGGCGCAGATCGTAGCTGGTGCCGGAGCCGGTATCGTACAGCAGCAGCATCTTCTTCAGCGAGTGCATGCCCTGGGTAAACAGTTTGCCCGCCTCGCGTGCTATTTTGCCGGGTGCCGTGCTGTTCAAATCGTAAAGACCCAGCAGCGAATAGATGAAACCATTGAGCACATAGGATGGTGGCGTTGTGGGATACTCCTCGTACCTATAGCAGGCATGTTTAGAATGAATACGTGAATAGGTCAAACATTTTCCGGCGTTGCTCCACTTACCAGTAATACTGCTCCATGAATTGCGCCAAAACGCCGCCGTCACGGGAGTAGACGCGATACGGCTGCAGGCCCAGCGAGGCTGCCTTTAGGTAACGCACATCCCCGCCAGAGTGCCAATAGGCGCGCGCCAGCACTGAAATGGCATGACCCTGACCCATGGCCGATATCCAGCCGGGACGCAGCTCCGCAAAGCCATTGAGGCTGCGGCGCACCGGATTCACCCAGCCGCCCGTCTTGGCATCCTGATTGTGCACAAACCATTCGGCTGCATCATAGAAATGCGCCAAATGATCGCTCGTCGAGAGCGTTATATTGTCAAAGAAGCCAATGCCCAGAAAGGCAACGGACAGCACCTCCAGATCGCTGCGACGCACCTTCAACGGCGAACGCTTATCGCCCAGGACAATGCCCTTCTGCACGTCGATGTGCAGATCGCGTGTGATGTGGCGCCACTTGTTTAGGGAACCGCTGCCCAGGCCGTAGTATATATTCGACTCCTGGACGCTGAGCAGCAGCTCGGCAGCAATGTAGTGCAACTTGTAGCTGTGCTTGGTGTCGCGATTCAGCACGGTGACCATCAGGCTGCTGCTGTTGGTCACCAGCAGCAGATCCACGCTGAGCACCAGATCCTGCGTTTGATTCACCTGGATGCTAATGGCGCTCTCGTAGCCAATGGTCGTCTCGAACTGGACAATGCTCGTGTTGAACTTGTGATGCCAGATGCGTGTCATATTGCTGGTCTTGGGCGTTGTCCAGTCCATTTGGTTGCCATCGGCGTCCTCGAGCACATGGACGCGCGGCGTCGGCTCTGTCAGGTTTTTGCTGTAATGCGCCAGCGCAAATTGTGCTATCTGTGTGGGATAGAAATAGCCACGTTTCTCCCATTGCGTGCTCACGGGCACGCCCTCCGCCGCACTGATGCACTTGACCCGATCCCGCACCTCCACATTGTAGTTCTCAAAGTACATAAAAACGCCGCGTGTCTCGTACTTGCCCTTGGGCAGATTCACTTTGGCATTGCTGTGCATCCAATTGAATTTTGCCGGATCGCTGCCGCTTCCACTGGTCGTCACAGCGCCGCTGACATCGAAATACTGGCGCAGAAACGAGAAGGGCACATACACCTCGTTGGCGTTCTCATCCCGTTTGCAGTGTATGCTGTACTCCTGATTGATGGCGCACTCAATATCCTGCAGTGGCGCCGACAGCTCCTGCCCCGCAGCCGAGCTGGACAACGATTCGACTGTCTGTCGCTTGCCCAGCTGACGCACAAAATCAGGCGAAAAGCTAAACGCAGCACAGCGCATATAAATGCCCAATGTTATGACCATGACAGCCACCGAGAGCAACAGCAGCACAGCTTTCAGATTCAGACGCATTATGAAGAACACCAGGGGCTCACGCTGCAAATGATGTGTTATATATATGTATATATTATAAGAAGATAACAGTGCTTGCCTTATTGTATTGTGGCTTTCGCGGCGTCGCTTCTCTCTGCTGTTGCGACGGCGGCTGCGGCTGATTTCCTAGTGCGTGGGCGTCATAGGCATCTTTGGAGCTTGCATTGCCACTGGCATGCACTGACAGATACTCGGACATGCAGATTTATGGGCTGGTCACACTTTTGCGAGCCTTTCCTGTACCCTTTTATGCAGTACTCTGTAACGTCATATTCTAAATACAATAAAAGGCACACAGACGCACACACACACGCTCAATGCTGTTGTTTTTGCACAGGTAGCTGCTGCATTGATTGGTTGAGGTTTAACATGATGGCACAATCGCACGGCTTTATAAATACTACACTGCACGAGCGTTAAATGCACCTGCTGTTGCAGCGATTTTGTTTGGATATATTTATAATATGGCAACAGCTGGCATACCACAGCAAATAATACTATTTATTTCAGCTGGTTTTTGTAACAATTTGTATGTGTTTTCTATTCATTTATGACTTTTTCTTAGCACTCAGCACAACCGACACACACACTAACAACTGCAAAAGCAAACACAAACACAACTGCAATGAAGACGAGGAAGAGAGATACCTAAGTTTATACGGCAAGACACGAGCGTAGTATAGCTCAATACGTAAAATCACCAAGTTTATGTTTAATGAAATTGTAATTTATAGCAATTTCATGATAACTGACATGAATAAATAAACAAAAAATATTTGCATATTTACCTACACTAAATAGTTTTTTTTTTAACGAAACTAACTTTTGTTCCATCTCTATTATACACCACCATGCCAGATCATAATAAGCATTCAGGCATAAACGCTGTAATATTCGTTCGAGTGTTTTGACAGCTGACAAGGGTTGCCACACTGTCAAACGGGTTGCTGTGCTTTGTAAACAAAACAATTGAATATATTATGAAAATCTCAGTGCAATTAATTAAATTAACTTAAAACAACGCCAACTTAAGGATTTTTATTAAACATTCCGAAGTTGCTTGTGTCCAGACGCAGAAGCAAAAATTTGAATATATATAACATGCCGCTTGACAGCCCTAATCAGAGATAAATCAATAGCGGCGTGATTTGTTTACAAAATGTTTTACTAAATTTTTAACCTGAATCGCAATGTTTAGAATTCATTTGGAGAAAAGTGCAATATGTTTGCTGCTGCTGCTGCTGCTAAAGAGCAAATCACTGCCGGCATCAGCCTCCAACGGCGATCGCACACAATTCTATCACAATTGTCGGCAAAATTGCGAACGCACAAACTGTTCCGCTGGCAAGTAAAAGATAATCCTTAGGGGTCCCACATGACTAATGCCATATTTGCAGACGGCTTGGAAATACAAGAACAGGCCATCAGCTTCTATGGCCAAACGATTTTCGATCGCATCTTTGGCTGGAACTGTGCGGACGAGTGCTCGTATGGCTGCATGTGGCGTACCGTGTTTGCGTTCATGGAACGCGGCTGGCCCATACCGCAATTCTATGGGAAGTGGCCATTCCTGCGTCTCTTCGGCATGCAGGAGCCGGCGTCAGTTATATTCTCTATAGCAAATTTTGTTATGCACTTTCGTATGTTGCGCAAATTTCGTGAATCAGTGCGTTCCGACAGTCCCTGCTACATGCTGGGCCACATCTTTGGTTTGGTAAGGGTCTAAACGGCTTAGCTTGACGCTGTATTTGCTCGAACTCTGCTCATTTCTAGGTATGCCTGAATGGCTGGATATGGTCAGCGATCTTCCATACCAGAGATTTTCCCATTACCGAGCTGCTAGACTATGCCTTTGCGTACTCCATCGTTCTGTGCTCCTTCTACTGCATGTTGATGCGCATGTTGCATCGGTACTCGCTATTCCTGCGCGCGGTCATCACGCTGGCATGTGTCTCATACTACATCAATTATTTTGCCTACTTGAGCACGGGCAAATTTAATTACTCCTTCAATATGAAGGTGAACATTGCCACGGGCGTGCTGAACGCCGTGGGCTGGTTTGTGTGGTGCCAACGTGTACGCTATCGGCGGCCCTATTACAAACGCATATTACGCTTCTATGTGCTATTCGCGCTGGCCATGAGCCTGGAGCTGCTCGATTTTCCGCCTATACTGTGGATTCTCGATGCGCACTCGCTGTGGCACTTGGCCACAGTACCTTTAGTTCCGCTCTACTACGAGTGGGTATACATTAACAGATCATCTAAATCAATTACTTAATATTTTACGATTGCAGCTTTTTGATCGAGGATTGTCAGACACTGCTGAAGGAGAAGGAAATGACAGGATCTTATTCCTACTTTAACAAGGACATTTAGATCATTAGACACACATTTATCGATAAGTGGTCGTTATACTCGTATTGTACTGTATTGTAAATTTATTATACATGACATAATTCTGCTACATTTGTCCGCATTGCGATATGGTAACTGGCAGTTTGGGCTTGTTGTTGGGTCCCGTCGGCACATTCTCAATTTTACGCATTATCAGCAGACCATCCAGTACGCGTCCAAAGACCACATGCTTGCCATCCAAAAAATTACACCTCGCACATGTGATAAAGAACTGACAGCCATTTGTGTCCCGGCCACTGTTGGCCATGGCCAGTAGGCCAGGTGAGTCGTGTTTCAGCGTAAAATTCTCGTCGCCAAATGTGTTGCCATAGATGCTGGTCACCCCAGTGCCATCGCCTTGCACAAAATCACCGCCTTGTATCATGAAATCCTTGATGACTCTGTGAAAACTGGCGCCCTTGTAGCCAATCGGTACTCCATCCGGTCGGTACTCGCCCGTGCAAAATTGTCGAAAGTTTTCCGCCGTGCGCGGCACAGTGTCTGCAAATAGCTCGAAAATCATGCGCCCAATTTCCTGCACAAAATATTATAAAATTAAATTAATATGTATATGAGCACTCGTGTGCGTTGTTGTTGTTCATTTACCGTTGTGCCCACGGCTATGTCAAAGAACACGACGGGATTGTTTGAGCTGCGCAATTGTGATTGTATTTGATTCCAATTTGGCATATTTATTGATTAGAATTGATGAAATGCAAACGTTTAACAATAAAAGGCGCCGGTTGCGGTTTGTTTACGTTCTGCAGCGATTAATAACTATTAATCGATAAGAAATTGTGCAGTCGTGTCCTAGTTATCGATATGTGCTAGCCGGCAATCGCATAAATCGTTCAGCTCTGCCCGCACATGTGGCTGTTGTTTTATTAATTGCAAGTGTTTTGTTTCGCAGACCGCTTAATTAATTATCTATAAGTTAGTTGTGTGCTAGTGTTAAGAAAAGTGTTAAAAGCCTGAGGATTCACATTTGTTTAAGCTGCGGCGGAAAGCGGGAAGGCATTAGCATAAGCGGTAAGTCTCAATGTGTTGCTTTTATTGTACCCTTTTAGTTGTTGGCTATTTTCTACCCGGGTTAATTAGCAAAGTTCCCGCTGTTTAAGTGCACTTTATATTATTGACAATTCGTTGTTGATGTTTGTTATTCAAATTCAATCACACAAGACAAATCGCACGCAAACCAATTGATGCCCATCAATCGAGGCTGCTGTCGTGTTGTTGTCTCGCTTGCACTCAAGTACTTTCGTAAAAGCTCGAACAGCTCGGTTTAAACTTGGCTTTAACTGTAAATCGTATAACAGTTCAAAATGTAAACCGCAAAAAGCGTCGGTTTTAGTTAAATATATTTATAATACAAAAATGCGCATATCAAATGCTAAGTAAATGTTTATGTTTATAAATGAGTGGTTTTTTGTTGCCCATGAGAGCTTTAACATACGATATTAACATGTATTACGTGTGGTAATAGGAACCCAATAATAAATTAAATGAAATTCAGCAGTGCAACTTAAAAACTATATAAATATGTACTTAAATTCAATTAAGCAAATTCAAATCGTACGATTTTAGGTACAGGCCTCATTTCAGCGCGTTTCTAAACGTCAATAAAAGCAGCTAATACTATCTAAATATATGCATTTCTGTCACATCAATTGCTCGCCTCGTCCGTGTCCACATCCGAAATGTCCTTCAGCTTTGTTATATTGTTGTTTTGATTATCCTCTGCCGCCTGCTGAAAGCTTTGCTGGATCGTTTTGGGATCCACCACCAAAATAGGCGTACAGCCATCCATGAGGTGTTCGCTTTGACTCTGGAACTGTTCCCGCGATATGCTGCGGGTGAAGGAGAAACGCAAGGACTTGGTGCGCGTAAGGATCTTCTTGATGGGCGGCTTGCCGGTTACCGCCACTGGCTCTGAGCTGGTGCGTTCCGTTTCGGGTGTGGCCGGCGCGGAGCTGATCTCCAATTGCGTATCGCGCAATATTTCCTCCGCAAAGCCCTTGATCTGGCTCCAGGCATCCAGGATGTCCTTTTCCGTGGCATGCTCGTAGGTCACACAGAAACGTATCACATAGCGTCCATTGAATTTGGCCGGCGTCATGTGCATCTTGCCCGAATGATTGATCTGTGCCAGCAGCAGATGATTGGGCTCATCGCCGGTGCTGTGAGGGTTTTAAGAAAAGGATAATATTGTAGAGGAATTTCTAGATTCGGGGAGGGTTTTTTGTTGAACTTACCGCATGCGAAAGCACACCAGACCCAGGTGCACATCGTTGCGCACCTCAAAGCGTTCATCCTTGCGTACAAGCATCTCAAACTTCTTGGCCAGGACCATGTGATTGCGTATGTACTCCTGCAGTCCCTTCACGCCATATGTGCGAAAGACAAACCAGAGTTTAAGCGCGCGGAAGCGACGACTCAGTGGAATGCCATAGTGTCTGTAGTCGACGCCATTCATGTGCTCGTGCCGCAGATACAAGGGATTCACATTGAGCGCACTCTTCAGGGTCATCACGTCGCGCACCCACAAGGCGGAGGCATCGAAGTTGGTCAGCAGCAGCTTGTTGGGATTGGTATTGAAGGAGTCCGCGTACTCCAGGCCAGCGGAGAACACGCGCATCTCGGGCAGAATAAAGGAGTTGCCTGCGTAGGCGCCATCCACATGCAGCCAGATGCTGGACACCTGTCGGCACACCTTGCCAATCTCAGAGATATCATCGAAGGCACAGCCTCCGGTGGTGCCCACCGTGGCGACCACAAAGAATGGCGTCAAGCCCGCATTCACATCGTTCTGTATGGCCTGCTGCAGCAGATCCACGCGCATGCGTCCACGCTCGTCGGCATCGATGATGCGCAGCTTCACCAGCGCCATTTTGGTGGCCTTCTCCACGCTGGAGTGCGCCTCGCGGCTGGCATAGGCAATCAAATTGGGCAGAAAGACGCTGTCATGTACGGTGGTCTGACCTTTCAGTTCGCTAATGGCGCGTGCACGTGCCGTGATTAGGGACACCAGCACACATTCAGAGGCGGAACCCTGCAGTGCGCCGCCTCCGGTGCTGCCGGGCGCATCCGAAACGAATGCCTTGGGCAGACCCAATGCCTTGGCATACCAGTTCATGACAATTGTCTCCAGTTCCGCGGCAGCCGGGCAACTGGCCCAGCTGAAGCCAATGGAGCCAATGGCGCTGCTCAGCATATCGCCCAGCACAGAGGGAAAACTGTTGCCCGATGGGAAATAGGCAAAGAATTTCGGATGATTCCAGTGTACAACGCCCGGCATTATCTTTTGCTCAAAGTCCTCGAGCACATCTTTAAACGATTCGGGCGATTGGGGTGCGTCCGCTGCAATGTAAACAATTAAAGGCGGCTCGTTAGTTGGCCCTGGTACCTCGTGTCTTAAATATATAGTAGATATATCTTTTAGCGCCTATAAAGTTGCTGCTAAATCAGCGCGTACCAATATTTATATAAAATTTGTTATTTTTGGCATTGTGCGGAAGATCGAAATATCAACAGTTCAGCACACAAATCTTTATCTACTTCTACCTGAGATGTGCGTGCGTGTGTGTGTGTGTGTGTGTGTGTGTGTGTGTGTGTGTGTATTCGCATAATTAATTGATTTGTTTAGTTGAACTATAGAGAGATTGTGGTGTTCGTCAGATGTAAATATTTAGCTTAAATAACTGCGCGCAATTCGCTTGAAATTCGCTGGAAAAAAAAAAGCTGAAAATCTTATGACCCAACAGCTTGATGCCCCAAATTGAGCCCACGCCTGAACCAAAAAAAAAAAAAATAAACAAAAAAGAAAAAAACAGTTTTTTATAAAAATTGTTTTCTTTTTTGTTTTTTTTTTGGATTTCATGGTTACCATGTGGGCTTCCAGAGAGCTACAAGTCAATTCGCATTGTTTGCTGACAATTAGTCAACATGAATCCATAAGTTTCTGAAGAGCCTGTTGAGTTGAGATATTTTTTGTGGTCTGACTTATTTTCTTTTTTTTTTTTGAATATATTGTGTGAAGTGAAATACTTTTGTATTTGCCATTTTCAATTTTCCATTTGCTAATTTGTTTAGAAGCCTTTGACTAATTGTTGTTTACTTGCGCTAATTTGAAGCGATCTCTCAAGAGTTTGGCCCGTTTGACTGGCAACAATTTTTTATAAACAAATTGGTTTTGTAAATTGTTTGGGCATCTACGCAAAACCAGTAACAAACTAGCGCAAATATTTTTGAATGAATTTTCAAATTTAGGCATTTGCAAATTCCATTGAGTAATGAGTGAACATATTTATAGTTACAACAGCAATTTATGCGCGCATTATTTGTAATTTGTTTGTAAATAGATTAACTTAATAAACTGTGTTATTTATATTTTGGAATTCTACCCAGCTGCGCTTACCAGGTAATAGTTTTTTCAAATATCCCGGATCCAATGTGGGCGCTACATCGCGCTCTTCGATATTGCTGCCATATTCGCATATATAATCGATCACCTCCTTGCCGTATTTGCGAAACTCTTCGACGTTCATTTTGCTTAGTTAGTTTGTTTGTTTTTAATCAGTTGTAGGATTTTTCAACTTGTTTAGCACTTGTTTTGTGTTTTGTATTTATTAACACCCTTTTGGAATTTCTAACACTCTTCTTGTAACACAATGCCCAAAGCTAGGCAACACTTGTATGCTCTTTCTCGCTCGCACACTTTAATCCGTTTGCCTACGTAGTGCTTGCTGCAGCTTCCTTTGCGCGAATGACTCGAAGTTCGTTACTGCATTCGTTTTTATAACGAAAACCAAACATGCTCTCCTGAGCGAGCTTTGCACGCGTGCTCTCTTTTTCGTTCGCTCTCTCTTTCGCTCTGGAGCATTGGCACCTGCGCTTGTTGTTGTACATGATTGTCGTCTTCTTTCTTTTGCGGCGCTCAAATTACTTGCATTGTACTTTGCCGCCTACTTTGACGTCGTCTCCGTTGCCGGCATCATTTGGATATCTGGGAAACCCGCTTTGCCATTTTGTTCAGTCGCCTTAAGCCTCAGTTCTCTACGCGCGCGCTTTGTGTGGGCTGTCGCGGTTAGACTTGAATTCAATTAAAAAAAAACCCTGCCGGGAAACATATATGTATTTTTTGTTTGCCATAATTATATGGCTCGGATGCGAAATGAAAGGTTTTTCGTGCTGCGATTTGGAGCTGATTGAGTCTTTATTAATAGCACATTACAGTTAGCGATTTGATAACATTTTAATTGTGAAAATTATATGAATTAAAATGCATGCTACGGTGATTTCTGTTGGGTAAAATAGAAAATTATTTTGGGGTAGCCGGGAAAGTTTTGGATAGTACAGCGCATATTGTTTACCTTCGGTGATTCAGATCAATTATTGGCGTAGGTTTTTATACAAAAATTATAAAAATGCACAGGTTCCCCTAAAAAATATTACGTATACGTAATCAAATATTACGTATACTTTTCAGTAAATATATCTTAGGTAAATTTTTAATTTGAGTAATTCAACTAGCATAAAGGTTAAATATTAAATATTATATTAAAATTATGACGTATACGTAATCAAATATTACGTATACTTTTCAGTAAAAGTAACCCCAGTTAAAAATGTAAGTAATTTTATTAGAATAAAGATTAAATGTTATATAGAAATACGTTTCGAATTGTGATCTTAAGTTCATGGTCTACAAGTTTTTTATCATTAATTTGATTAAAATTCCAATCAATATTTGGTATCGAATTAAATACAATATTTTTTCTTATATCAGCTAAATAAGTATCATTTTAATATCTATACATATGATCTTTAACTGACAATTAAAGTTTAAGCCACAATCATCTATTATAATGATTGCTTAACAGAAGAAAAATTGCCATCATTAAACTCAAATCTAGCATTTCGTCGTGTATCTTTGATTTTAATTAATTTTACACAATAGCTGCCACGCCTTCCAGATCCCACCAGTTTCCAGTTTTAGCTTTACTAATTATCGTTTCTTCTTGTTCCCTCTTTTTTTTTTTTTACCAACTTAAGGGGAATTTTGTGAATTGGCGCAAGTTTCCAACTAGCATTAGAAAACGTGCAAACAATAAGCAAAAAAGCGCTTAGCTAAAACGCAAAAAGAGCTTTTTATGCGTATTTAAGTAAGGTTGCCAGATTTTGATAATACTTCAAAGTTTTTGTTCAGCTACGGGGAATCACTTTTGGCACATGGGACAAATATGGCTGCAATTAGTTCAGGAGTAGGGCTAAGCAGCAGGGCATAAATATTATGCAAAATGGGAAAAGTGCTTAAATAATTTTAAATTATTTTAATATTAATATTGCTAGATTTAAATATTTCTATTTAGTAGGAGAATTATGTGCTTTTGGCACCAGGCATAAAATTGTGCTAATAAGTTGTTCTAAATTAATATTCATTAACGAATACGGATAAGCAGCTGGGAATAAACATTATACAATATGCAAAAAAGTGTTTAACTAATTTTCACCAAGCTCTTCGGCAACGGGGAATTACTTCTAGTCCATGGGACAAATGTGCCAAATAATTGTGCAAATACGTATGTTGATCTAAACTGTTAACATTTAACGAGTACAGCTAAGCAGCTCGTATGTGTGTGTGAGTGTGTGTGTGTGAGTGTGTGTGTGTGTGTTGTGGCATGACGAATCCCTCCATGAGGCAGCTGCTGCAGCAACAGGCTGTGACGTAGCTGCCACTTCGTCTGAATCTCCGACCGAGCATATATGAAATCTAAACAAATTGCAATTTTGCAAATATCATTTTGAATGTGTGGGTGGGTGGGCGTGTGTAAATATATGAATGTATGCTTGTGAGTGCATTCATGAATGAATGAATGCGAATGCTTTGTATTCTGGCTGGTTGTGCTAATTAGCTAAGTTAGTGCCCTCGCCGCCCCTAATGCTTATACGATTTCATCCAAACCCGCCAGGTTCCATAGTTCAAGTAGGTAGCTCCCGCCTTTAGACTCCGCGTAATATGCATAATCAATCAAGCTATGGCAAGAGTCTTGCGTGCCGCTTGACGCTGATTCATTCGCGCACGCGCCTTTTGGTGGGCAAAGTGCGGGTCTCGAGAGGCATTGACAGGGCATGACTTGGCGCATTTTGTTTTTGGCCCAGCCTGACGATCTGCTTTTGTCGGCTTTATGCTCAAGCTCTTCGCCGAGTCTCGGCCCGAGACTTTCATTCACAATGCGAATGACGTCGTTTGTCTAAAAATAAGCCGCGTATTCAGTTTACGCGGTCACACTTCAAATTGCTCGAGGCCCAATACCAATACCGTCCATCCGCCTTCTATGTGGGGCCTGGCACCGTCTCTTTCGCATTTATTACCAAGTTTCGCCGCGTCTGGCTCATTAATTATTAGATATTATGTAGTTGGCACTGCCAAACACAGCAAGTTTCAAAAAAAAAAAAAAAACCTCATGGGTCATCTTTAAAAATTTTCGTTTATTTTCGTTTTATTTTATTTGTCTTTGGGTTCTAGTTTGCGGTTCAAGATTTGCTTTCGTCATTGTCAAACCGCTTGACAACCATATTATCATGTTCTTCTTTGCGTACATTTTCGAATTTCGCCAAATCACGAGTTTGGCATTTCGTTTGTTTTGTCCGTTAGATTTTTATGCTAATGTCTCACATTAAATTGCACAAAATCTGACGCTTTTTTATGGCCATTTTGTTGGCGTTGCTTTGTGAAATGATTTATTCGATTGTGTTTTGAGTTTTATCGGTGGCAGTAGCTTTAACATTTATTCGCTTGTTAATTGAAAACTTTTGCGCTAGCTGTTGTTATTATTAGAAGATTTCATGAATTTCTGAAACTTGTGGGTTAATTTAATCATCTTAAGAGTTCAGTTCCTGGGAATCGTTTAGGCAAAATGACGCGAGCTTTTTAATGGACATAAATTCAAATTTGTTCTGTGGGATAGTTTTTTTTTATTGTTTTTAAAGTGTTTGCTAAATCAAACAATTTGTGAAAAATTTTTAAATATCGATAACTTTTATTAATAGTCAAGTATCGCTAGCATATCGATATCGATAACTATGATACAAAACCGAATTACTGTTAATTGGAACCGCAACCGTCTAGAGATCATGTTTTGTTTTGTTATCGATAACATTCAATTGCAAATGTGTTATCTTGATCTGGTCTTGATCGATAAGAAATAATCGTTCACTAATAAATTTCTCAATCATATTACCTTTCTGTAACTTGTCAGGCTTTTTATGCATAAACCGATTTCTTTGTAACATTGCCCCAAAACTCATCATCAACTATGAACGAATACTATCATGTTTAAATGTGAATTCATAAAAAAGTTTATCTAAAGTCCATTAAATCGCAATGCGTGCACACTTCTGGTGTCTGTTGTTCTGTAGCTTTTTGGGAACCTATCTTGAGGCTGGTGTTAATAGAGCTTCAATGGATAAGCTGGGCTTTCATAACTACAATGAGATTGTGCGCGATTTAATCAAGAACTGGGAGTCCCCGATTATCTATCTGCGCCAATTGGGCTACCTGCCCAGCGACTATGAGGATACGTCGAAAATTAAACCCAACTTGGATGCACTGATGAGTCGCATCGAACGCGATGAACAGCACGAAGCTGTCCAAACGGAAGTTGACAAACCCAAAGAGCTGGATACCAAAAAGTTGCAAGTAAAAAAGAAGCGAGAGATCGTGCGGCGTCAGCAGAGAAAAGGCGGACGACGTCAGCGTCAGGCAGCTGACACTCAGACCACGAACTATCCCAATATGGAACAGCTGATGGCCATGTCGCAGCAGTCCAATCCGCTGGGGATTGCCGAAGCGCCAGCCACAGTGGAACACAATCAAAATCTGCAGCAAAAGCCAGTGGAACAGAATGCCCATTGGAAGATGCTGTTGCTCAGCGAGATTTTATCCCATCAGCGGCAAGCGCGGCCACATGTCGATGGAAACGAGGATGTGTTGAAGCGCCTCGTTGCAAAAACAAGTCCATACACAGCCAAGCTGCAGCAGACAGCACAGCAGCAAGTGGCAGGCGTGCTAGGCAATAATGGCAACATGCCCCAGGTGGCAGTCATGCCACAGTCATCGGGCGGACTGCTGCCAAGCGATAATACTGGCAAGAGTGCATTAGCCAATCGGATGGGCGGCACAGCCGGATCCGGAGATTCCAGCTCGATCAGTATGTATGGCACACTGCTTAAATCCATTGCTAAACCCGATATCCATTCGCCTCAATCTAGTCGCCCGGATCAGGCGCAATCTGAAATCGACACTAAGCCGGAGATTGAAGCGCCGCAATATCTAAATTGGGATATCAAGAATATGCGGCTCAAACAGATCTCGCCAATTGCCAAGGATGCGTATGTCGACAAGCTGGTCCAGATCTTTGTCAAAAAGCAGGAAACAATGGACATCTTACAGAACATACAAAAGCCGAACTTATAGGCAAAGCAAAGCAACTTCTGTTCACATTTAAATGCCATATTTATATATATGTATATAAATATATTTGTATATATATTTTTTTGCGATCTTCCCTAATTGGTATGCAGTAAATTGTGTTGAGGCATTCACCAGAACCTGACTCATATTCCATTTTTTGCCGCGAGCAGCAGAAGAACAATTGTTAATCCCATTCATACAACGTCATATCCATGGCATCATCCGAATTGCGTGTAAATTATGGTTTGTTTATAGCCAAAAATTACGGTAGTAAATCAGAAACCTAACATACACATATGCTATATGTTTACGATATTATCTTGAGCGTAATTGTGACCGGCACAATAACAGCTGCCCCGGGTTCCAAAATAACACGATGCCTCAGCGAAAGTTAAGGAAATGCTATCTCATAATAGATAATCAAAGTGAATCTTTTTTAGTTTGAATTTGACATCATCTTTGTTCTAAAATTATCAAACTGCTAATGCTTTCCATTGAAAACTATTATTAAAATACTTGGCAGTACACAGTGCGGATGTCATACGGAGGCGTAAGTTCTATTTAAGATTATCAACTAGTAGGTTTACCAAGGATAATGTCCTTGAAACTATCACAGATATAATATGCCTCAATTTGCCCAGATTGTAAAGGTACAAAAGGTATATATAACAAGCGGATACTGTGAAAAATCTTGCCATGGCCGAATCCTAGAGGTTTAATTCATATCATTAAACAGCGAGAAGGTAGGGATATCTATGGCACACCGAAGATTTAAAACCCTTATAGGCGTTTGCTTTACGGCTTTGCAGATATGCGATAATACCGAAGCTCGTCAATGCTGAGGTTGGTGAGAATACAGAATATTTTGTCATAAAAACACTAATTTTTCTTAAGATTCTTTCTCTAAGGCTATATAATATTGTATAGTATAGATATGTATTTGTAGTATATAGCCAACGTAAGCAGCATAGTTTCACTTGTAAATTCCAAGATTTCTTGATAAACATAAACTGATCTTTCCAATGGCAGCTATATGATAAGGCAGTCTGATGTTGATAAGATATATCAACTGTCCAGATTATACATACATTAAAGGGTTGGAGATATCTCCTGCTACGATTGAAAAAGTGAAAAGCGAAAGACCATATTACAGCAATTAATTTATTTATATATTTTAATAATTTATTTAATCAGCAAAAATAACATTAAACGGTGCATAATATGCTATTATTATTATAATAAGTACTTCATAAATAGAGCTATTGAGAGCAGCAACAAAATTTGGGGTTGACCGAGATATTAATTTAATTAACTATATATTAATATTTACCATATATATGTTGTACTGGTTATTTATAAGGAGTGATCGGTATTGTAAATTGGTCTAGGATTCAACTAGGCGCCGCAGTTACTCATGAAGCGCGCTTTGAATAGTTTGTCATAGTTTTCTTCTTTTTTTTTTTGCATTTTGTTTTTATATAAACGCTTCAGTTATGATTCTCCCGGGCGGAGGAGGAGGCCTTCCGCAGCGCCAGAGGCGACTTTCGCGGCGATTGCAGCTGCTGTGGTTGTTGCAGCAGCAATTGTTGATGTTGTTGTTGTTGCTGCTGCTGCTGTTGCGCATTCACAAAGCCCGTCTCGTTCTCTGGCGAGGGCGAAGAGCCGGCGCCGGAATTGCGACGCGATGAAGACGGCCGCACATTGGTGTCCAAATGTCGAAAACTGCGTGGAAAATGCCCGTCAAGCAATTAACAGTATTTGGAGTGAAACTCACCGCAAAGAGCAATTGCTGCCCTTTTCCTCATTGTTGCTATTGAAGAGAAAGGCCAGCGGCCAGGATATCCACGAATTGTGATCCACAGAGCTTTGGGTGCGTATTATGGGCGCACTGCCGCGACTCACCACCGGCGAGGGCAGCTCCATGGAGAGCTTGGGTGTGCCCGCCTTGTTGATAGCCGGATTATAGATCTTCGGATCACTGACCATGCGCACGAAGAACGAACGCTTCTGGGCGAGCGTGTCCAGTTTCTTGCGATTGATTATCTCGCTTATTTCATCGTGCTGCTCCTTCTCCAGCAGCTCGTTGGCCACATCGACAATGATATCCCAGGCATAGTCAATGTCCTCCGCAGTGGCATTCTGTGCCACCGCACAGAATCGTATTATATAACGATCATTGACGCTCGCCGGGACCATGTGTAGTTTCCCCGACTCATTGATGGTGCTCAGCAGTTTCTCGTTCAGCTTGTCGCTGCCCTTGAGGCGAAAGCAAACCAGTCCCAGCTGCAATTCGACAATAAATTAAATCATTTTCAATAGACATAATCGCTATTGTTGCGACGAAACAAAAGAGTTTGGCTGCAAATGACATTGCGTATACGCAATGTGGCCAACTTATTACGTGATGTGGTGTGCTTTGGTCATGAAAAAAAAAAAACGGCCAATTGAATTTAGTGGCTAAGAAACGGGCCCCAAGCAGCTGTCAATTGGTGCGTCATGTATTACTTAAAATACCCTGTACTCTGTATAAATGGTCTAATAGGGGGGTATGCCAGACGTATGCCAGACGTATTCTCTACTTCCCTAAAGTGGACATGTTCTTGTTAGCTTGGCCGTGTCTGTAGTCGCAGCTGCTTCTTACGTCTAATATGTTTTACTATCGTGAATTTATCTCCCAGATGACACTTTGTATTATATTCCCGGCTTTTCCGTTTTCTTCTTCTTCTTGCATCGGACGTCCGGCTCTCTTCTTTTCCAAGCAAAACTCTTTCTTTTCCACGAATTTCATTTGCAATTGGTTAAGCCCGAAACTATTTTCCAACATCTCGCTTTTAGCGCTCTCCCTTTTGTACATTTTAGTGCAGGGTATGGGCTGACCAAGCACTGCCGCCGAAATCATGCACACTTCTTATTTTTCTTAGCCCGTTTGGCCTGCCTTTAAACAAATTTTGTATGCCAATTATGCCAAAATACTTCAGTTTCGATCGGAATTTGGCATTTGACGTGCAATTCCGCACGTTCGTCTTTGCTGCTGGTGTGAAATAGTCAAATTTGGAAATAGTTTACGAGCTCGCTCTCCCGTGTAGCGAAGACAAATTTCATAATTTGATTTTTAGTTAAGTTCAAGTGAATGTTATTTGCGTCAGTCTTGCGCTGGCAAAACAGCCAAACTATTTTCTACCAAGAAAACAACAATTTTGATAAATGTTTAACATGCACAACAATAGTTCACACACACACACACGCCCGCACACCCACACATTTGGCTTATAAAAATCAAATATAAAACTTGTTGTATAAACAAAAAGTGCTTTGAACTCGTCTAATGATTAATTGCTGTAATGGGCGCAGTCCAAAAACCAAAATCCAAATGGACAAATGCCACATTTATAATATATGTAACTCACCTTGACTTGATTACAGATCTCGAAACGTTTATCTTTGAGCACCAGCTCCTCAAAGCGTTTGGCCAATTTGATATGGTGTCGTATATAATGCTGTAGTCCGGATATTCCATACGAGCGCAGCACAAACCTGTTCGCATTAAGATATAAAATCAAAATGTGTTTATCATTGAAAAGAAATGGAAAGAGGAAAGAAATGGCAGCTTTACTCTCTGATAGCTCTTATATAGAAGTTCATTTTTTATAGGATTTTTGAGCGTTAATTATTATTCCCTTTTTTTGGTATTAATACAATGCCGCAAGCTTCATTTGAAATTGTAAAAGTATTAAATATATATATATATATATATATATAAGTATTCATGCAATACAGCAAGCTTTATTTATAATTTTAAATAAAATATCTATAAATATATCTTTCTTTGGTATCAACACAATACCGCAAGCCCTTTTTAACATTTGAAATGATTCCATATTTCTTTGGCATTAATACAATACCGTACATAAATATAAAGCCTAGGTTCTAGTTTGTTTGGCTGACACTAAGGGCATCGATCAGCTAGATCTGTTGGATAGGTGCTTTTAAGTCTTCTTCTTCTTCGTCTGCTTAGCAGGTTCCTTGCCAGGATGATTATGAAGCTTAGAAAAGTAGCTCGCTGCTTGTCTGTTAACCACGTCGTCTATCATTGGTACCTAAAGGTCTATTGCAATGTCTCGTGCGAATTTATCATTCGGGTTCAGAAATTTTTTGCAAATTCTTAGATATGGAAACCTTATGGATTACCTTATAGATTAAAAGATAAGATAAGATAAATAAGTATAATAATCGAATACATCAGTTATGCATCAGAATGTACCCGAAGTTATATGTCTGCAAGGGCATTTAATCTTCGGCATCCTGAGAATATTTTTAGTTCCGATTAATAATTGATTATGAAGAACATAATAGAAGACATCTACTTTAGCTCAAGCATATTCATTTAAATGGCAAGTTATTTACAGGTATTTTTATTATACAATAGCTCGTGTATTAGTGAAGCGTTTCTTGCGAAATCTTCAAAATAGTCACAAAATAAACTGATCATGGTGTGTACCAAAAATCCAGATCCCAACTTGAGTTGGGCATAGTTAATTTATGCCTCTTCGAGCATATGGTTGTCAAATATATTTTGTTTTTACAACTAAATCGCAAGCAAATATTAAAGGCACAGGTGCTTGAAGTCAAGTGTACTCATGGCTAAGCAACAAGTTTGGCACTCGAAAAACCAAAAAATTAATAAAAATATTTGACAATAGTCAACAAAGTCATTCAGGCCTGACACCCAAGGGTCGGCTCTTAGATGGTCTTTGGCTCTTTTTGGACGGGCGCTACATACCACAGTTTCAATGAACGAAAGCGACGGCTGAGTGGAACTCCCCAATGACGATAGTCGATGGCCGCATCCGAGTAGCCGTGCTTGAGATACAGCGGATCGACGACCAGAGCTGATGTCAGACGGATGCGATCGCGCACCCAGAGTGTTGAGCAGTCGAAATTGGTCAGTAGCCATTTGTTGGGATTCGTGTTGAATGAGTCAGCATATTCGATGCCCTGTTTATTAGCATACCGAGAGCTGTAGAGATGTGTATAGGTAGACGGATATCTGGTTATATATATATATACCTTGAGAAGGGGCTTCAGCTCGGGACAGATGAAACTATTGCCCGCATAGGCGGCATCGACATGCATCCAGACGCAGGGAAACTTTTTCAGTTCGTTTCCAATTTCGGGCAGATTATCGAATGCACAGGAGCCGGTGGTGCCCAGTGTGGTGGACACAAAGAATGGCACCAGACCCTGCAGCTCATCCTCCTCCATGGCCTCGCCAATGGTCTGGCCACGCAGGCTGGCGTTCTCATCGGGCTCCAGAATGCGCAACTTCACAAAGCATATCATGGCCGCCTTCTCCACACAGCTGTGCGCCTCCTTGGAGCAGTAGGCCATCAGCTTGGACAGTAAATGACCCTCCTCCACGAACGGATGCTGCGCCTTGAGACGCTTTAGTGCCTGTGCACGCGCTGCCAGCATCGTGACCAGCACACACTCCGACGCGGATGTCTATGCCGCCGGATCAATGTCAAGCTATAAGTTTTGGCCACCAGGCTCATGCAACATGTGTTTACCTGTATGACGCCGCCGCCAGTGCTGCCCTCCTTGAGTGCCAGAAAGTGATCCGGCAGACCAATGGCCTTGCCCAGCCAATCGAGCACTATGGTCTCCAGTTCGGTGCAGGCGGGACTGGCCGCCCACGAGAAGCCAATGCAGCCGATGCCGTCGCCCAGCATATCGCCCAGTATCGAGGGAAACGAATTGCCCGCCGGAAAGTACGCATGGAATCTCGGATGCTGCCAGTGCGTTACGCCTGGCATTATTTTATCCTCCACATCGTTCATAATTTGATCCCAATCCTCTGGCTCATGCGGTGCTTCAGCTGTTTAACAAATGTGGAATTCGTTACGATACGCAATTTAAGACAGAAATGAAATAAGAAGAGTTTGCAGAGAATTCCATGTTGTTTAAGGGAATCAAAAAGTCAATTCTACATATTTTATAATTAAGAAGGGTTTATAGGACCAAAAATAATATTGGTTTTTTTACAGCTACCTTTTCGAAATATTCAGAGTTTAATGACTTTAGAGAACTTCGAGTTCTTCTATATTCTCGCAAACTTTATTAATTCAAAAAGCATTGTCGGAGTCAAAAATAAAAAAATATATTAATAAATAATGCATTAACAATTGAAATAACAAAACCAAAATTTAAAGTTATTTAAAGAAAATGTTCTCCTTAATAGTTCAATCTACTTGGAAAAATGCTTATTTTCTTCTCTTAACACATTTCTATAAGAAAATGTATAAGAAATGCATTTAAATATACTTATATAAAACATTTGCTGGCACGAGTTATCAATTGTAAAACTATTTACTGCCACTTACATGGTAACAGATGCCTCAGATATCCGGGCTCCACGCTGGGCGTAACGCGCCGTTCGCCCAAGGTTTCCAGATAATTGCAAATGTATTCGACCATTTCCATGCCACGTTTTCGAAATTCGGTGCTATCCATATTTTTGTATTATTCGCTCTTTATTTTTGCGATATATATATATATATATATTTATTTCTGCAGTTTCTTGAGCAAATCAACTTGTGAGCGTATTGGAAAAAATTATAGTAAAAATTGTAGCTTATAAAAATATATTTTCTAAATGCTAAATAATATTTTTAAATTTATGGCAATTAGGTTATTTTGAACACTTGTAAAGATTTTTATAAATTATTGAAAAGCAAACATACTTTTTAATATTTATTTTTAAAAAATTAGCCTATGGTCCTGTTTAAATATTGTCATTATTTTAATTTTTTGATAGTTTTTATATAGTGAAAAATGATGATGATTAAAGATTTTTGGCAGACAGATTTATATTAAATTATTTATCAGTTTATAGACGGATCTATATCAAATTATTTTTCGTTAAATATAAAAGCAATTAATTATTTATGTTTTTATTTTCAATGTTGCTGTTGGCGAACTTTCCAATTTTTAATTCAATAAGCTGGCTCGAGGTCCGGGCAAAAATGTATTAATATTTAATTTTTTAAAATAATTAATAACATTTTAATAAATTAAACCTCAGACCTCGAGCGTATTCATTTGAAATATATTTGAAGCAATATGTACAAGGTTTATCTGTGGACATGGATTATTTTTTTTTATATTCAAAAATTGATAAAAATAATTTTAATAATATTTGTTTTTAAAGATCTCAGAGTTCATGCACACAAATTAACGCGTTGTTAATTTTTTCAATGACGCACTTAGTGTAAATATTTTACAACATTTTTTTTACACACAATTTATTTGGTATTTAGTTAATTTAGTTGCTTTTAGTTTGTTTATATGGCGCTGCCACAGCCACGCCCACTGTTTTTATACCTGTTGATTTCAGTTAAGAACTATTTTTTCTATTTACAATGTTGTGGCATTAACAAATTGCAGAGCTTTAAATTGTATTTTGTTTATAATTAAAATTGGCTTTAAAACAGCAGGCAGCAGCTTTATAAAGCGTTATGCGAAATGCTTGTGCACTAATTCAACAATTGTCGATTGTTGCCACTTTGTTAGTTTATTATGCGGCACTAAAATCTGTGGCAATAATGCCTGTTGCCACTGCCACTGCCACTGCAACTGCCACTTACTGCTTGCCAAGTCGTTATGGCCGCGACTGTCAACCGTTGGCCACGGCTTGCAAACCTCAAATGATCCTGGCTCTGCGGTTTGGCCAGGAGCTAAGCTCGGTCGCTGCGCCTGTTGGCATGTCTAATGAATGCATACTTTGGCAGTCCAAGGGGGCCGGCAAGTGGGCGCTGGCGTAAGACTCAGCTAGGGGTTGGTGGGCGTGTAGGTTTGCAGCTATTGAGGGTTGGCTTGCAAATAAATGAAATATTTGCCACGCACAGTGGTTGCTGGCTAAGAAAAAAGTGCCAATAAACTTACGTTTATAAATTAATAAAGAAAAATAAAATAACAATTTTTATATATACTCATGTTAAATGTTATTTTTATGTGTTTTTTTAAATATATAAAAATAAAGATTATTGTACTTATAAATGTAGTTTTTTATGGTAAAATTAATTTATGATTTAATAGTAAGAATATATTATTACAAAAATATGCATTCATAATATTATTATTATTGTTATTAATCATTTTTTTATTATTATTATAATTTTTATGATTATTATTATTATTATTATGTTCATTTTGCTAACCAAAATATTTGAAAATTCTAATATTTACATTTATTAAATGCCCCTTAAATTTTCATCGTCCTTAATAATATTATTAAATAAAACAGAGATCATAATGGCGCACGTTATCCATCTCATTCACAGCTAGCCCTTGTATTGTACGTGTATTTGTGTCTATGTGTGCGTGTGTGTGTTGATAAGTATGTTAGTGTGCGTGAAAATATGCAGCGCAGCGAAACGTTTTAGAGTTCTCGAGTTAAAATTACGTATACGCAATGTTGAATGCTCGGCGCATCTTAAATCTAATTTAAAGCCTTCTCAAGTAATATACGCAAGTTAACTTAATTTATATAATGTTAATTCAAAGTACGCGTTTATTTTATTCTAAACAGACAAGTTCAACACAAGTGAGGGTAACCACACACACACACACACAAACACGCACACATACATAGATTCTGATCCCCCATCAATTGCAAGCAGCATGTCCTTTTTCTTTGTGGCACACTCGTTTTATTAATAACTTCCGCACAAAATAGAATAACACTGGACAACCAATTTATGTCTATGTTTTATTTCAATATAAACATTCTTTTTTAATACAAGTAATTTAATGTCATATTTGTATGGGACTTATGCAAATTATATATTTTAATTCTTCGAGCTATTTTGTTAATACTTTAAAATTGAATTAAGCTTGAGCATTTTTGTTTAGCTATCAGAATTGTTCAGTCAACACTTAATTATGTACAGTAATATTACTTACCTTAAGTAATTGTGCGAAAAAGTGAAATTACTTATATGTTCATGTATAGAGATAATTATAATTATGTTGCGACAATTGTAATTGCTTGAGTAATTATGCCTAAAGGAATACAGATAATTATAATTAAGAAGTGTAAAAAAAAGAAGAAATCTACTGAAAGAAGTGGCTTTAAGACTGTTTTATTATTTCTAATAATTAAAATCCATTATTGATTTTTGTTTTTTACTTATTTATTATTTATTATATTAATTTTATTTTTTTAATATGGTTCTTCATCAGAAATTATTATTGTCTTCTAACTACTTGAGTTATAGATTTGGCTTTATAGTCTTATTATATTATATTATTAGCCTGATTACTTATTATTATTGTTTATTAATATTAATGATAATCATTAATTAATTTATTATGAATAGTTACAGCTACTTGATTTTTACATTTTGTTTTTATTATCATTATTATTATCATCGATTACTGTTGTTATGATTATTCATATTTATTATTTTAATTAATATTATTATTATCATTATTATTATAATTATTGATGAATGCCTTCGAGCTACTTGATTTTTAGAGTTTAAAACATATGAATTGCCTGTTGTGTTGTGTTGTTAGACAATAAACGTACTTGATAAGAATGGCTACGATGCCGCAGTTGATAATGATGTTGCCTGTTTAGGATGATGATGATGATGATGACGATAACGATGACGTTCTCAATGAGACAGTCAGAGCAGTGCCTGTCAGTTGGTATTTCGCAGGCATTCCTCGTAACATTCCAAAACGACCTCCACGAGTTCCCATACTCTTTTATTTATATATATATATATCTATTTTTTTCAATTTCTGCTGCATTGAATCTTAGAATTGTCTGCGTTTTCATCTCTCTGTAGGACATACGTTAATTGTCTGTATGTGTGTGTGTGTGTGGTGTGCGTGTGTGGGTGTTTGACTGGGTCATGAGATGCCACCCACAGCCTCAGTTTTGTGAAAAGTTCATTAATAAACTTTCGTTGCTGCTGTCGAATTCAGAGCTCTCTGCAGTCACGCCCCCCATGCCTCGTGCCACAAATAAATGGTGTTTAGCTTCAACAAGTGGCATGCTACGTTACGGGGTGAGTGCGGGTGTAAATTGTGTGAGAGTGTGTGTGCGCTTGTATCTTGGTTGCGCGTGCTCTCGTTCTGCTCCTGTTGGTTGTCATCCTTGTTGTCTAGAGCCCCGACACCAACAGAATTTTATTTAATGGGAAATTTCTGCTGCAGCCGCGCGCATTTAATTGCTGTAGAAATGCTTTTTTATTGACTTTTACTTGAAATCCACTTCATGCGCAATTCCCAATGGCGCTGTAACGGCCAGGTTGATATGGTTTGAGTTAGGAGTTGGCCTAGTTGGCTCAAGAAAATACACTTGATGCAGGCCAATTTACAGAGCATTAACAAAAAAATATAGCATTTAATACCAATAATTAAAATATAAGTTTATAGATTCGAAATCTTTTAAACGTATTTAGATAAGAGATTTTATACAGCCTAGATACAATTTTTGACATATTAATTCCAATTTTCGCTGAGCCATTTTCGTCTGTTAAATAACGATAAGATAAGCTTTTGTTTCTTTTCTAATCTTTTGTTTGATAAGTCCCGTCTATATGCTTCTCAGTGGGCCCATTTTGATTGATTTTAACTTCAGATACTTTTTAGAATGATATTGGAACCAACAAAGTGACTTTTTTTGACATTTAATACCCATATCTTTATGTTTTGATAGATTCTCGTAAAGATAAGACTAACATTCGCACTTAATTCTTTCTAATTAAGATTACATATACTTCAGGCTGGATAATAAAAATGAGATCCAGACAAAAGACCCCTAGAAAAAAAAAAACTCTTGAGATTAAGACAACTTTCATTGCCTTTTGAGAACGGATTGTGGCGCTTTACAAATATGCATTGTATTTAAATAATAAAGGGATGTCTTTATATAAAGATATATTTTAAGATGTATTGCATATGAATATAAATATAGATTCTTGCCATCTAGTGTAGGGCTTGCTCAATTCGACATAGCCGCAGCTTTTGCCTAGTTCTTCGGTTTGTGTGGGTTTTCTTAGCGCCTGATTTTGTTGGCCCATGGGCACAGGGGCCGCTCTCGTCTCATAAAGCAATTATTCAATTTGCACCGACTGTGGTGACAATAACTGCGCAAGACAGTTTATGAGTGGATGGATGGGCTCTCCGGGCAGCCTTTGAGTGTACACAGCATGGAAAGCTTTTGCTATTATCCCGTTCTGGTTCAAGGTTGTCACCGGGGGGCGCACAAAAATTCGTACACTAATCAAGTTGCATAGTTAATGGTTTTTATTTGAATGCCTACAGGTTCGCAAAAATGATGCACTATCGCAAGGCGGAGAATGTGGAGCAGGAGCTGAGCAAAAATGATTTACCTTTCCAGAATTGCATGCCAAAGACGCACAAGGACTTCCTATGGATGCATGTAAGTGGCAGATATTTCACTGCTCAGCCCAATTCATCATTTTCAACTCCAATCAATAGGTCAAGGGCGGCACCAAGCTGAGCAATGTCATTGGCTATGCACAGTCGGCGCTGGACAAAGGCGAATACCGCAGTCTGGTCTGGAGTGGCTCCGGTGGCGGCGTTGTCAAGACCATATCCTGCGCTGAGGTGCTCAAGCGCAGTCATCCGCTTTACCAGTTGACGCGCATGGGCTATACGAGGTAAGTTTTTGGCAAACAAAAGTGTCGCTGCGTGTCTAGTATTGAGTCTTTGCTTGCAGCGTGGAGGAGCACTGGAAGCCACAAATGGATGGCCTCGAGGAGATCATTGTCAACCGCCAAATACCCACACTGCACATACTCATGAGCCTGGACGAGCTGCCAGATGGCATAGAGGGGTGCGTGCCTGCTAAGACAGCATATTATCCAAATTTCTTATATACCTTATTATTTCTTTTCAGGGTACAAAACCCGAATACAACCAGCGATTTCTGGCAGCACGATGAGCCACCTGCCAGCAGACCAGCGGCTGCAGCTGGACGCACAAATAAACGCCAACCATTTGGACGCAACAGACCCCGCCAACCACAACAACAACCGCGACACGGTCAGGATAGTCAAAACACATCCGTCCCGGAGACTGCGGCCAGCGAGCATACTTAATTTAAGTTTACTTATCTAAACATTTTTAGAGTTGTTATGGTAATTATGTAAAAAACTGTTCGACTGGTGGCGAGTTTAAGATACGCTGCACAGCTGATTCCTAAAATATCGAAATTTGTAAGAATAAGATTTTATATATATATATTTAATCTGATTGTCCTAACTGGTTGATCCAAACCACACAAAAATTTTGAAAATTTGACCCTCAATTGAGGAAATTCGTAAGAAATCATTTTGATTGTGTACTATATTAAATCGTTTTAAACGAGATTCACTGATGCGAAAAGTCTAGCCCAGACATGGTGGAATATACGTTGCATAAATATATTTAAGAAAAAAAAAACAAAAAAAAAAATACATGTATATACTGTTTTAAATAAAACAGCCAAAATTCTTTTGATTGTATATTCTGTATACCGAGATATGGCTATTAATAGAATGTCCTTTTTACTAAAATAGGTTTATCTCGGAAACCACAATAATGATCTGTATGTCCTTCGGTCAGTTGATGACCAAAATCCCTGAGAGTTATTCGTCTCAGGTCTCGTCAGGATACGTAAGAATATGGGTGGATTGTAGGCAATTTGTTGCTGCAAATTGTATCCTTAAAGCTTTGCTGTTAGAAGGACTTACGGCCTTCTTGTAGTTGATTCTTGATTGGTCGGTTGAGGACTATCAGCTGGCCAAAAAATATTCCGATAGTCCTTGAAATGGCCAAGTTATGGCCCGATTTGATATTCGCATCCTTTATAGAAAAATGGCCACAACACGGCCATATCCTTGCAGATTTTCGAAGGACTTGGTGTGTTAGGATCGTTAGGACGAGCCGCAATGATCTGCATCAAAAAATTGTGGGGTCATCTAGGAATCATGAACTTGGCAAAATTTGTCGCGCGCCGTAAGGAAATGGGCCTAAAACACAAAATCCTTAATATCTCCTAAACTACAAGGACGATCTTGATATCCTTTGACCAGTTTGGAGATCTAGTCAATACAATTTTTTTGACATAGGACTCGCCAGGATACGCAAGGATATGACCGAGTTATACGCAAGTTTCTGTTGTAAAATTTGTCCTTAAAACTTTGCCATTTGAAGGACTTTCGTCCTTATTGTAGTAGATTCTTGATTGGGAGGGTGAGGACTATCTGCTGGCCAAAGGACATCCCAATAGTCCTTTAAATGGCAAAATAAGACCGGATTTTTTCGATTTTGGCCAATTTTCCGACTCTACCCCTTGATAAAATTTTAGCGAAATTTTTTGTCGAATCCTGGACATCCTTAGATGCCAATCGATAGTCCTGGTCCACACGAGTTCAAAAAGGTATATCGTTCCGATATCCTTGAAGAAACGGCCAGGATACGGCTATAAATAGAATGTCCTTTTTACAAAAATAGCCATATCTCTGAAACTACAAGGACGATGTGAATGTCCTTTCGTAGGTTCCTAGCCTCGGCCCATAGAAGTTGTTTGACCCAGGACGTGTCACGATCCACAAGGATACGGCTGAGCTATAGGCTTTCTAATAATCAAAATTAAAGTCCTTATATCTCAGCTGTTTGGAGGACTTTCGTCCTTTTCTTTCTATATTCTAAGTTGACAGGATAAGCACAGACTTTTTGTCAAAGGACATCCTGATAGTCCTTTAAATAGCCAATTTACAGCCGATTTTGTGATCACGTCCTTTTTAGAAAAATACCCATAACTCGGCCATAACCTTTCAGATTTTCAAAGGACTTTGTGCGTTAGGATCCTAAGTACAAACTGCATCGATCTGCATCAAAACATTATGGGGTCATCTAAGAATCATGGACTTGGAAAATTTTTAGGAGTACCAGGACGATTCGGATTTTATTTGGCCAGTTTGTAGTCCGGATCTATGCAAATCATTTGACACACGACTCGATCGAGTTGTGGCTTATTTTCTAAATACAAAAATATCCCTTGTTATCAGTTTATAATAAATTAATTTAATTTATTAAAAAGACCCCGTTTCAGATGTTACACATATCACCAAGAAGTCGTGTAGGCCACAAGAACTATAGGGCATTAAAAATTAAATAACGAGTGGAAAAGATGAGGACCGGCAATACTTTATTGATAAGAGAGCCCTAGATAGTCTAAATTGTAGTATTGTTAAGCTAGTATTATTGTAGTTTATTTAGTTGCTTTGATAAGCTACGAGAAATCTAATCTGGACGCGTGCACTGATTGCCATAACACACGGCTGCAATCAAGATGTGCGGCCACTGAAAATTGGCTCAGTACAAATAATGCTGCGTTTGGGTCGTGTTTTGCGCACGGCTGCACTGCATCAGCAGCTGCGCTGCCAGAGCGGCGCACAGGCCACAGCCGCCGCTTCCGGGGATGCGCTGCCCGAGCGCTGCGATGTGCTGATCATTGGCGGCGGCGGAATGGGCGCCTCCTCGGCGTACTGGCTGAAATGCAGGACACAGCACGAGAAGCTCAATGTGCTGGTTGTGGAGCGGGATGCGTGCGTGAGTTACTTCCGATCATGGCTATTAAGGATTCTCTCTAAATGTTCCAATATTGTTGCGTAGTACACGGCTGCATCCACAGTGCTGTCCGTGGGCGGTGTGCGGCAACAGTTTTCACTAGCGGAGAACATTAAAATGTCGCTCTTTGGCTACGATTTCATTTCCAGCTGCCGCAGTTATTTGGGCGATGTGGACTTGAACTTTCAGCCGCATGGCTATCTTACCTTGGCCAGTGCCAAGGGCGCCGAAACGCTAAGCCGCAACTCAAAGCTGCAGAATGAGTTGGGCGCACGCAATGAGCTGCTCGGTACGGCAGCTTTGCGCAGCCGATTTCCCTGGCTCTCCACGGAGGACATTGAGCTGGGCTGCTATGGCGTGGACAAGGAGGGCTGGTTCGATCCCTGGGCCTTGCTGATGGGCTTCAAGAAGCAGGCGCGCGCCTATGGCGCCCAGTTTGCCAATGGTGAGGTGACGGGCTTTGAGTGGAGCTCAGCTGGTGAACTCTCCGGCGCTTTGGTGGCCTGTGCCGATGGCAGCGAACGCACCGTGCATTTCGATACTTGCGTCCTGGCAGCGGGCGCACAGTCCGGGCAGGTGGCGCGTCTGGCCAAAATTGGCACGGGACAAGACATGCTGAGTGTGGCGTTGCCCGTGGAGCCGCGCAAGCGTTATGTCTATGTGATTAATACGCAGGGTCGCAATTGTCCGGGCCTGGCCACGCCGCTGACAATCGATCCCGATGGCACGTATTTCCGGCGCGATGGTCTGGGCGGCAATTTCCTATGCGGTCGCAGTCCGGCGGATAATGAAGAGCCCGACTGCGATACCTTAGACGTCGATCACGGCTACTTTGAGTCCGATGTTTGGCCCACTCTGGCCAACCGTGTGCCCGCCTTCGAGTCGGCCAAGGTCCAGAGCAGCTGGGCCGGCTACTATGACCACAATAGCTTCGATGCCAATGGTGTAATTGGCCGACATCCGCACTACAAGAACCTGTACATAGCAGCTGGTTTCAGCGGCCACGGCATACAGCAGACGCCAGCGGTGGGTCGCGCCATCGCGGAGCTTATACTAGATGGTAAATATCGTACATTAGATCTTAGTGGATTGGGCTTTGAGCGTTTGGTGGCACAGCAGCGCATGCTGGAGGTGAATATTGTCTGAACGGGAAACCTGTTTTAATTGGTTTGCTGTTTCGATTTATTGTAAATGTTTTTATATAGTTTATGATGAATAAACTTTACTTATTAGTTTTTGTTACAACTGCGTTTCCATTTCGTTAAGGGAAAATTTTCCTTCCTTTTCTTTTTTTGGGCAAAAGGAAAATCTGTTGTGTCTAATGTGTGTTCGTGTGTGTGTGTCTACAAATAATTTATTTAAAATAAGAATTTTAACATAATCATTACGGAATTAAGTGGCGAATCGGTTTTGTTGTCTGTTTAAACTTTTGCTCTTGCTAATATTATATAGCTTTTTATATATTTGTCGCTTTGAACTACATACACAAAAATTTGCATTGAGTTTTCCTTTTCTTTCTATTCTTCTTTTTAATATGCCGCTCAATTCTGCTGCCCCGTCAGTTTCTGACTCTTACTGTCCGTCCGTGTGTGATCCAAAAAACAAAATGATGCGTTTAACTCGAATCTCTAATGCAAGCTATTAGTAAATATATATATATTATAAATATGTTTAAGTGAGTTGTGTATGAATGACTGAGCTTTTGTCCGTCAATAATTTCTTATGCTTTAAGTTTGTGTTGCTGTTCTTGTTGTGGTTGTTGTTCATTTTGTTATTGTTATTGTTGTTGTTGTTGCTTAGGCTTCACTTTCGCCAGGTGCCGCATTCTCCTCCTCGTTAATGGGCACAATCAGATTCTCCTTGGACATGAGATTGTATTTTGTGACAAAGTGTGTAAATCGGTGGCATAGATACGTCTCAGCCTCGAACTCATCAAAGATGCGACGATGATGAAAGTATGCGTGCGAGAATATGCGATAGACGCGTCGACACACCGAGCCCAGCTTGGTCACCGACGATTCCTTGATGGAAACTCTGTGGTCGGGTGTAACACTTGACTCATTATGTGGCTAGTTGCTTGGGGCGATTCAATACACATACCTGCTTGGAAAGTATTTGTTGCTATTTAGCAGACAGGCGGCGCCGTCTAGCGTGTGGCGTGTATAATCAATGGCGGGGCACTCCTTGGGCGTTTTATGTGCCGCACACAAGAATATCCATTGATCGGTGGCCGTCATTTGCGTGCACGTCGACGGGGAGCATTGTTTCTGCAGCCGCACGGCCAGTCCATTCAATTCCATGCAGAATTGCCGCAAATGCTCATATTTCCAGACGCCCTCGTCTTGTGCCTCGGGCATGGTCAGTATTAGCTCCACATTCGAGGGATCGCGCTTGATCATCTGCTGTATGTACTGCTGCACGGCGAGTGTGCTGTCCATTTCCTCCAGTGGTTCATCGGGCCAGCGACAGAAATCCTGTTGTTTTGCGGGCACAAGTTGCAGATGTTGGGAAAACACTTTGGTTTCTTTTAAATGCCATTACATACCTTTGATTTTGTGCCTGGTCGGTTCCTACGCAATATTGTCGAGCCGTCAGCCATCTTCATGTTTCACCTTGCCTCAGTCGGAAGGAAGAAACAAAACAACACTAACCCACACGCACACACACACACAGACTAACACTTTTGGGGCCCTGTTGTGTGTAGACAACGAAGCTGTGGAAAATATGAGAGGCGACCAGGAGCCGAACGCTCTACAAGTCGCAGGCGCTGTGTTTGTGGCTAGCCAAATGCAGCAATTAATTTAAGCTAAATACGATAATAGTTATTTTCGTTTACACATTTCACATTTAATTAATTATAAATTGAGCTAAAACACTTCGCTTTGTGCGAGAAAATTTCTGACAAAACTGCTACATACATACATATATGGCTGGACTATCGATATTGCATTCACCAAATTGTGCGCAATAGTGGCAACCCTATGCGCCAGTAATCGCAGCCCTGGATGTGTGCAGCAGTCGTTATCGTTATCGTTTATAAGCACCAGTCGTCATCATCAGTCAACTTGCAAAACTAGACGGATTGGAATTGCGTATTATTATTGCCATATATATCGTTCATAATTGTTTAAGAAGCACATAATAGAGTTCATTAATTAACCAGCAGCAAAAATGTCCTACGCGTACTTGTTCAAATATATTATCATTGGCGACACTGGTGAGTGCTGGCATATTCCATATGAGTGTGTGTGAAAATTTTTAGTGCGATTTTCTCCCCAAACTGTGCAGTAACAACAAAACAAAGACCTAGGAAAAACTCAAACTGCGTAGTGTTTGTCATGTAGTGTTTGCCCTTTGGCTGCCAATTAAAGCTAAAGTCAAGCGCAGTGACCAGCTGCCTTGCAAATGAGAAGCACAGCACGCTGCAAGGAAAAATCAATAAAACCATAACAACGCCTCTGTATAGAAAGGCGCGGGCGTTACTCCACACTGTTGAAGTTAACAGTTGCTTACTATATAGTTACAGGGGGCTGTGCGGGGTGCAACATTCGTATGTTAGGGACCTGCTGTTGCCTGCCGCTGAGTCAACCGTTGTTGCTTCAGCCACCAACAATTCCAACCCCAAACCCCACGCAGACTTCTGCTTGGACGCATTTTAGCATGATTTTTGCTACTCAGCAAGAGTTTCAAAGGGACAGCGTAAACTATTTGTTCATCGTTTTCCGCTTCGCTTATCATCAGTGCAAATATATACATACGTATGTACACACATATACACACACACACACACACACACACACACAGCGCTTTTCATTGACAGCTACATTAAACAGCTGTTGATTTCACTTGGTTCTTATCAGATAAATATCTGCAAAGAGGGCGACTTCTGCTAACTGTTGTCCTCTCAGTTGTAGTGCCAAAAAACAGTTCCCAAATTAATATGGATAACTGAGGGCCGACGATTAAATACCCTGGCCAGCACATGGCATCGATATTCTATATATTATATATCTTATATACATATATAGCTATTAAAAGTAAATTAGAATAGCGCTAATCTATATATATATATATATATTAGCGCTATATATATATATATATATATATATATATATATATATTAGCTCAGTTGGAATTGTTGGAATAATTGTCTGTTGTTTTGCTGTAAATTTTGATTGACTTTGTGAAAATGTTTAAAGAAAACTTTCACTTTAGCGCTTTAAATTTCATAAGCGGCAATTACTAAATTATCATTATCTTTGTTTTTTTTTTTTTTGCGCATTTCTCAAGGCGTTGGCAAATCATGTCTGCTGCTGCAGTTCACGGACAAGCGCTTCCAGCCGGTGCATGATCTGACAATTGGCGTGGAATTTGGTGCACGCATGATCACAATTGATGGTAAACAAATAAAATTGCAAATCTGGGATACAGCCGGTCAAGAGGCTTTCAGGTGCGCTACAAACGGTTAAAGAAAGTTGTTGCATTATTTAACTGTTTTATTTTTAATATCTTTACGCCAATTAGATCAATTACACGATCGTATTATCGTGGCGCAGCTGGCGCTTTGCTTGTCTATGACATCACAAGGCGCGAGACATTCAACCACTTGACCACATGGCTGGAGGATGCGCGCCAGCACTCAAACTCAAATATGGTGATCATGCTGATTGGCAACAAGAGCGATCTGGACTCCAGGCGCGAGGTGAAAAAGGAGGAGGGCGAGGCATTCGCCAGGGAGCATGGCCTGGTCTTCATGGAGACGTCGGCGCGCACAGCAGCTAATGTTGAGGAGGCTTTCATCAATACAGCCAAAGAGATTTACGAAAAGATACAGGAGGGTGTATTCGACATCAACAATGAGGTGCGCTACTAATTAATTGTTATTAATTGTGATAACAGCATGACTAATTCGTTTTCGTTTATTGCAGGCGAATGGTATTAAAATCGGTCAACAGGCAACGCCCACAAATCCAGCCCTGCCCGGCTCCGGCGGTGCGGGTGGTGCAGTGAATAGCGGCTGCTGCTAGGAATAAAAATCTATTTTGCCGATGCCTGCACCTGGGATAGCCGTAGCCCGTAGCCGATAGCCGCTTCTGTAAAAGCTACTAGTGACTAACTCCTAGAAGGTAGTGGAAGCGGATTTATTGTTTTCATTTTTTTATTTCAAGCAAAATATTAATCGTAATAAATTTAGCTGCAAAAATAGTAAACCGCAAATTAGTGAACCGTTTTCAACACTAAGCGTAATGTTTTAAAAGAAGAAACCCAACAGAAACTAACATAACCGCTAAAAAGAAAAATAATAATAATAAAACAATAGCAAAAATAAGAAGGCATTAAATTCAATTTTAAATAAACTAAAGATCAACAATTGTGTATGTAAAATGTGTCGTGCGTGATTTCTAAATTTTGTAAACTTTAAACAAAAAACATACGTATATAAAAAAAAAAAAAAACAAAAACAAATATTTTTGTGTACATTTAGTTAGTTTGCTAGTTACATTTTGGCTGAGCAGTAATTGATGAATGGCGTGTAATATATATATATATATTATATAAACATACTATGTGAATTTGTCTCATTGTGATTCGTTTTACGATGAATACGAATCCTAACCCCCCAATCCCGTCTCTCCCGTTCGTGGTGGCTGCTTTTCTTCTACTACATTATACAAATAATTATTTATGATTTGTTTATATTTTTTCTTGAACGCATTTGCTTTGTTTTTGTGTAATTTGCATAACATTTACCGATATATATATATATACAAACACAGACATGCATAAAACATAACTATATATATTATATAAGTTTAATACATAATTATTATACAAAAACAAAAACAAATCGTGGTGATAATGCTAAATCAATTTGATTATGTCGCCGACAATTACGAAGTTTATATATATATTAAAATAAAGACAGAAATACAAATTAAACAAACAAACATGAAATAAAATCAAATTATTTATAAACATTTGTATTTGCCAGACCCAAAGCAGTATAATATTAATATACACAATAAATATTACAAAAATACAAATCAAAATTGTGTCATATTTTTGTTGGGTAGAAGGAAGATTAAAGAAAACGTCCGGTTTTTTTTCTCAAAATTATGTTTTAATTGTTGAATAATGTTTAATATATAGATATATATACTATTTGTATTTAGTTAATTGCTGTTTGTAAACAGTTTAGAATTGCAGTTTAATTTAATATTGTTTTTTTTTTTTTTGCTAAATGTTCTTATGGCTAACAAAACTGTTTTTGTTTTTTATTTATTTGTATCTTTTTTAATTTTTTATTGGAAACAACAGCTACATAGTCTACAGTTGTATATAGAGGTTATAACTAGGCATTATTTAGTTGGTTTTGAACTAAATTGAAGTGTGCTTTATATGTAGATTTATATATTTCTAGTTGCTTTTTAGGCATAGGCTAAATTGATCTCAGTGCGCTACATGAACTTCTCGATTCATTTTTTATAATAATACTTGAACTGCTTCGGTTTGTTGTTGACAAAAATGTTTTTAAAATTATTCAATTTGCTGGCGAACAATTTGCGATTCGGGCTATGTTTTTCTTTCTTTGCTTTCTGTTAATATGTATCATTAATAATTCATCAATAATTTGAAAAAGTTTTACCTAGTCAGGAGCTAAGTATTTTAATCGCTAGCCTTTAATTTGCCGCTTTGAAGACTGTTAGTTAAATTGATTGCAAACTTGTCTTTGAATTTATTGCATATGTTACATAGATTGATTATTGATATTGATTAGATGTGTATTTTGTTGTTCTATGACTTTGAATATGATATTACAACAATTATTAAACTATTATTCGTTTACAAAGAAGACAATTAGGGGAACCCGTTTTGCGCATGGCAGTGATGCACTGCATTGATATTGAATTCTGGTAACTATAGTTCGATCAATAGTATATAAGTATGCAAGTTATCACCCAGCCCGCAAGGCAATTCTTATTGCAATCATAAACAACATTTCAGTATAAGTCGCTATCCCAATTACTTAGCCCTTTCAGACTTATTAGACCCGTTTCAATCACTACGTCCACTTAACGCACAGCTGCAGCTCTGCCAACATAAATATCCAGATTCCCGGCTCTAACATAAACATAAAATGGCAACCACTTAACATAAAGATTCATATTCTCATGCGCAATTTATAACGTAAACTAAAGACCCAGTCTCTAGAACGCAATTGCTAACGTAAACATGACTCAAAGCGTCTAGCTTACTCAAGCCACCCCCGCGAGCGTTTAAACTTTAAAGAAAGAAGATTTAGCATAAACACAGCTGATTCGCAGCATAAGATCACCGCGAGCTTTTGAACTTTAAGAGAATAAGCTTTATCATAACCATAGCTGACTTGCAGCATAAGTTCACAATTGTACGTTAGTTCTAATCTTGGATTCAAATAAATCGGAAGCCTTCAGCCTCCCGCTTAAAAACATATTTTTTCCAATTAGTAGCCGGTTAATTGGCACCCAACGTGGGGCTCGCGATTATAAACACAAAAAATGATAATTAAAAGAAACAAAATCCTTAGTGATTCGCGAGTGAGCAAAAGTGCCAAGATTGTCTCAAAAGAGCATTACAAATTTTCTAAGAACGAAAATATCGAGTGCCTCTAAAAGAAACATTAAAAATTTCCAACGAACGAAAATACCGTTTCTGAAAACTTGAAGAGTAGTGAAAATACCCTGAGCTGGAAATATTGATTGTTCACAATACTTAAAATTGAAATCAAATTTTCCCATTCAAGTTAAATGAAAACAATTAATTAATCGATCAACGAAGCGAAACAAATATTTTCGCCAACAAAAATTGTTTCACCAATCAAAAACTTTTAACCAAATAAAAAATATCACGTCAACCTGAGACCCCCATAAAAAGAAGACCCTAAGTCCCAGAAGGAAGGAAGGAAGACTTGAACGACATATGTATAATCACCCATAAAGAAAGACCTTTTACGTGAGCCATCATCATTTACTTTAAAAAGAAACTTTTTTTAATTAAGTAATTAGAGTTTAAATTTGTGCAAGCATTTGTTAGAATAATAAGTGTTATAAACTGGATAACCATATAGAAAGTTTAATTGAAGATTTTCAAAATTTAAAAATGGCTAACAATAATAACTTGACAGCTGATTTGGTAGCTCAGTTGATCGCAAGTCAGAGCAGAGCGCTTCAAGAGCAAATTGCAGAATTGAAGTTACAAATCACTCTCTCATCTAATAATGAACAAGAATATAAGATTACTGAAATAAATCACCTTATTCGTTGCGACGAATCTTTTGATGTTATCAAGTCCATACCAGAATTCTCAGGCAGCTATAATGCATATGTTAGTTGGCGCGAAGTCGCTTGCTGTGCCATGCGAATGTATAAAGAAGGAAGTAGAAAGTACGTAGGTGCTTTAACAATATTAAGAAATAAAATAACAGGTAAAGCTAATGACACTTTGACTAATCACGGTACCGTTTTTAATTTTGAAGCTATACTTGCAAGGTTGGATTTCGCCTACAGTGATAGACGACCAATCAATATAATAGAACAGGAGTTAAGTATTTTACGACAGGGTAACCTATCTGTTCTCGAATACTACAATTTAGTTAATAAAAAACTAACCCTTTTGATAAACAAAAACAAATTATTACGGAGATGAATAAGAAAAACAGAGACTACGCTTTAAGAATTTTCATCACAGGTCCTAACGGTTCTTTATCAGAAGTTTTGTTCTCCCTTAAACCTGAAAATTTGCCTAATGCTTTGGCAAAAGCTCAGGAACGTGGAAGCGAATTACCAAAGGGCTAACTTCGCTTACCACCATTTCGCAAATACCCATTAACGTAACAATCTAAACCCAGGGCATAACAATCAGCAAAAGAAAGCTGAATCCCCAAAACAACCTAATAAAAGATATGAGCTTTTAAACTTTAAGGAAAGAAGCTTTAGCATAGCACAGCTGATTCGCAGCATAAGATCACCGCGAGCTTTTGAGCTTTAAGAGAATAAGCTTTATCATAACCATAGCTGACTTGCAGCATAAGTTCTCAATTGTACTTTAGTTATAATCTTGGATTCAAATAAATCGGAAGCCTTCAGCCTCCCACTTAAAAACATATTTTTTCCAATTAGTAGCCACTGATCGGTTAATTTCCATGTTGTTGTTGTTGTTGTTGTTCTTGTTGTTGTTTTATTGGAGTATCCGTACAATATAGTTGTCCTAGTGCGTTAACTAACTAATATAGTTGTTAAATATAATATTTGATTTCAAGTCAATGCTTTGCTTACATGCGAAAAACTAGTCATTAATTAATTATTTATCTACTAATTCGCTCTGAGTTTTATATTTTAGGTAATGTTTTTTTTTGTATTGTTGTTTTTGTTTTCAGCTGCAACAGCATTTGACATAAGAAACTTGATAACATTTAATGCTAGTCCATTATTTGTGTTTTAATTAGGCCGCAGTGCTGCATAATTGCACTGAAGTTTATCAATTGTAGTCCTTGAATTGAATTATATATAATTATTTTTATATAAATTTCTTTTTGTTTTGCTTGGTTCTGCTACTGACATTTTAGTAAACTAATGTAAAAGTTGAGCTTTTTTAGTCTCTGAGACATCACTATCACTCTCTTTAGTTGGTTTCTTCTCACAGAACTCAATCATATACGAACAGACGCCGGAGAGTGCTATAAATATGCCCGCATAGTAGAAGGAGTCGTCCCATCTGTACATACATACATTAAATAATTTGATTAACTAACTGATCCTTAAATGGTTAACAATTGTTGTACATACCTGCCCGTAAACTCATAAATGGCACCTGCTATGGGCGGGCCGGCAATCATGCCAACGCCCTGCACCAGCAGCACCAAACCGTAGGCACAAGTGAAATCATCCAAATCAACGATACTGACCAATATGCTGGGCGTAAATGAAAAGGAGCTGGCAAAAGTGAATCCAAATATGACGCACATTGCCATCAGTCCATTGTAGCTATTGATTAGCATGGGCATAAAAAACACCGAAGCACCACAAACTGCAAGCAATAATAAAAAAAAATTAAAGTTATAATTCATTAGCGGTATATAATTACATTTTTATAACATTCTCTCAATGGGGGCAGGCGTAAAAATCAGCCACTCTTAACTCTCAGAAGAAAGTAAAAGCGCCTTTCTCTGCGATTTTCAGTCTTTCAAGTAGGGTTTATAGAGAATATGCGTTTTGTAACAAAATAGCTTCACTGTGTATTATAATTTTGTACTTACCCAGCATGCATATGGAATAGCATATATTGATATTCATCCAGGGTGAATCACCCAAATAACCCAATCCAATCATGCCCACCGTTTGCGCAATACCAATTGCGGATATGAGTACTGCGCTCACGCTCACCTCGTAGTTATATTGCTTCATGTAATCGGGCAGATAAAGATAGGGTATGATAAACCTGTAAAATGTTTATTTTATTATTTAATGTTTGTTTGTCAAGATAACTGAAAGTTTATTAACGAATTTGTTTAGGCTTTATCATGTGAGTAACAACTTTTCAGCATCCTTTTAGGTAATTTACTATCTATTAAGTGCTTAGCTTTATTATATATTTGGTTTAATATTATTATTATTTATTTCATAGCTTGAGTAGCCCTAATTGCGCATCAAGGGGTTCATAATTTCTGTATAATACATGCTATTTTGAGCAGCTGCCAAAAACTGATTGCGACATTTGTACTTGACAGATTTTCGACTCGTTATGGCCGTTGGCATTTCGAATAAATCTATTAATTTTCGCACTAGATACACAATTTGTGGTGCGCAGATTGAGACCTTCGGAAAATGGGCGCTGAGTACTTACCAAATAAACAAAAACAATGTGGATAGATTGAATAGCGCGAATTTGTTATCCAAGAAGAGCGAAAAATCAAAGGCCGATTTCATGGTGTCCACAAAGTTATCATACCAGGTCTGCGAATCGAGATAAGAATTTAAATGAATTATTATTATTATCATAATATATATATATTTCTTTGAGCAGAAATTGGGCAATACGGAAACAAAACGCTGTCTGAATGGCCGCTTATCAATACGAGATGTTCTACAATCAACCCACCCGTTGTATATATGTCTATTATTAATATATATATATATATATGTGGAGCATCGATAATAAGGACATTTTTTGTATGCTGCGTTGGTTATGGGGACAATTCGCTCTTTTGGGGACTGACCTTAAAATTTTTAGGACTGGAATGTCTCTTTTGGGGACTTTTCATAATTCTTCATAATTCTTAGTTCTTAGAAGAAACCTAAGGGTTAATAAAAATAACAATACCTTTTCTTAACATTATCCAACCAGCACTTTGCCTGTACCTCAAATACTATAATTTTTATATTATCTTAAAGTTGGTCCACTTTATGGCGAGAAGATTTTTCGGGAACACAGATTTTAAATGCGTTTGCTGACATCTGCATAACTATGATGTAATCTGATTAGGTTTATTTTGCATGCATTTGATCATTAAAAAAGAACAAAACACAATTCGTACGCTAGTTCTCCCATAATATATGTTTTTTACTAATATGTATATATCCTCATTTGGTCGATGTGGCAACTCTACGAAATGAAAATGAAATGAAACAAACTCCATTTAGGGTAACGTGTTTTATGGGGACTCAGTTCCCGAAATACTCTCAGTATATAACACAAAAATTGTTCGTTATAATGTACTTTATATATAAGGTAAGTTTTAGGGACAAAAACGCAACGTGTATTATAAGGACACAGGAACGATGAGATTTGGTCCAGTTCACACTTCAATTTAGTAAATAACAGTCAAATAGCTGTCCCCAAAAACATACTGATTTTATATAAATATAGAGACTCATATATAGAGGTTATGAGGACTAGGGAACAGTGAATTTCGATAAAACTCACTAAACTAAATAAATATAACGCGAAACCACATAAGACTCAGCAATATTTTATTAAATTTATACATTTTAAATTTAGTGGCAGACTGGCTTAATTGAAATTAAGAGTCAAATTTATTTTGAATGTAGTTTTGGATCACTTTAGGTTAAAGTAAAATTAATAATGTGAATTAACATAAATGACGTTATTAAATACATGCATTTAAAATGAATTTTTTTTTAATTCCAAAATTTTTTAACATAAATTAATATTAATATACGAAAAAGTATAATCCACTTATTTTAAATATGGTCAACATATTTATTATTTAATCTATTTGCGGAGTTCCTTGATTTAGCCTTGCGCTGATTATCTATCCATGTTTTTACTTGCGCCGGTGTCCTACATTTTAGATATGTAGAATTATTTATAACTGTGTTGCATTGATTAAGTGACGGCAATCCTTTAAGCGACAACAGGTCGCCAAAAGCCTGGTATATTTCTTCACGCTCTTCATTCGACCACCGGTTTCTTATCGTTTTTCCAAATGATGATCCTGTTAAATAATAGAGTTTAATACAATTTAGTGTGAAAAAGAATAACGTTTTAGTAATATAGAAAAATATTAAAAACTTTGCAGTCGGTTGCAACCGTCGCAATACTCAATCATAGACCAATAACAGATTAATACAGCCTACCAGAACAATTTATTAGGTGATATCAATTTTAAACATTCGCCACGCACCCAGTCAATCGTAGGCAAACTAATTTTTATCGATCTTCAGAGTAGTCCATCAATAGTATTCATGAAAAAGTTAGTCAAGCTCTAAGATTCTGTAAGATTTGCGATTGTGCAATTTAAAACGATTTTTAGGATTTACAACGCCCCCAGTGGTCGTCATTATATAATTGTAGCACTTTACCTATCGTGGATATATACGTGTATATATTTCAAGCCCAAAGTTTCTAACTTCAATGGGCCCGCAAAATAAGCACGATATATTTTTTCACTTTGCGAATGAGGATAAATAGGACAGACTAATCGCAATGCATGTAAGCACGTGACAAAAATATGTAGGTTGCAATTCAATACTCACTACTTGGACGCTTTCCTTTTGCATTGGATTTTTCTACAATTTCATCATCGGAAATATTAAATTCGCTTTCTGATCGCTGTTCAGAATAATCTGATTCCGAATCCTCTAAAGGATCATCTGCAAAATACATTTTAAGTATAATGTAAAAACATTGACAATAGGGCTTATTGGATAAGTAATTATTAGATAAGTTAAAATATTATATTCTACACAATAACTACACTTAGTATCACTCACAACCTTGATGAATATATTTACTCACTTTCTTTTAACTGATCAAGGGCTACTGTGTTTTCATCCTCAACATTATTTCCAAGAGCTGCCATAAGCATCTGGGATACTTCGGCAATCTCCGCTACTGTTACAGGGATTCTGTAGATTTCTTTGTGTATATCTTTATGATGACCCATAAAATTGGCAAGCCTATCAATTTGGACATCTTCGACGTTAAGCATCGATGTATAGGTAGCTAAATGCTTTCGAAGCATCGTTCCCCTTAAGGCCCCTGGGCAGCGAGCCCCACACTCCAGGGCAAATCTTTTTAGAATGGGGCAAGCCCGTACATACTGCTTTGCTAAAGGCTTGGCGTTAGGCACGCTAAATATGTAATCATTATTTTTCTTAACACCAGCTCTTTTACGATATTTAAGAATAGTTTCAATACAATACTTGTCAAACGGTGTGAGCAGCACTGGCACAGTTCGATTTAGTTTTCCACGGATAGTCAACCTTGTGTATTTTTGAGCAATTTCTCTAGTTTCTTTCGTGAGACGGTCGAAGTTTTCTTTATCCACATTTTCATCGATGGCGTGGCCTGTTAGATAGTTCTCAATTGTTAGTCTTTCAATTTCACCAGCTCTACGGCGGTTAAAAATTTGAAGGCCAATTAGTGTGCTTTGTATTAACGATGTCCATGACAAAAAATCAAACTTAATTTTCAGCACACTAAGAGAATTTTCAGACTTTTTTATCACATAATCAAAAAGTTTTTTGATGTCTTCTTTACATGGTAAGATAGTTGGTAGAGCTCTCTTTTTCTTTGACTGATCTTCTATAGCTTTTTTGTTTATAAAAAGAGGGATTTCGGTTTCCCATAGAACAAGAAAATCTTTAATTATTTTTTTTTTTTCATGATTTTGTGTTTTTATGCAATGAGTCCATAATATTTTTGCGCACTTTTTAATTAAAGTTGTAAGGTTCGTTGCGACTGAAGGTGTTTTAAAAAACAACAAAGAAGAGTCCCACTGAGCCACTTTTCTGATACAAGATATCATTAAATCCAAATGTTTGGGATTAATGGCGTCTTTAAGTTCCTGTATCTCATTGGGTTCAGATTTTTTTATTTCACATAATAGTCTGCTTAGCAATCTCATGTTTGCTCTGATCATATCGTACTGAAGTTCGCCGTGCTTCATAGATTCTGCGTTTGCGAATAAAACAATCAATTCATCATATATCAGATTCCGAGAAATTGGATCATCATTTAAAACAGGCATTATTTTTGTGCGCACAACGTCGTTTGCACTTTTATGCATAAAGCCGGTTTTGGAGCGACCTTGTTTAAGCAAGTCACGAGTTCCTTTCTTATGATCGCTGCCTTTGCAATTATTAATATGACTTCGTATTGTGCTTTTGGGAAAAAATCCAGAACATCCCTTGCAACATATGAAATCAACAACTTCATTTTTAGAATTAACTCGCTTTTGACGGGGCACGATTAGAGTTCCATTATTTAACGATGCATCGATATTATGGATATAATCACCATTTTTTCTAATTTCATCAATAAGTAATCTCCGAGTTTTGTCATTTTTCGGCAGGCATATGAATTTTTGTACTTGCGGCTCATTTTTATGAACAAGCTGCAAGTGACGAGCGAATTTTGTTTGCAACTTATTGCAAAATAAGCAAAAATGTTTCTTACAATTTTTTTGGGTTTTCGCAGTTTGAATAATCAAATCCCTGACATCACTTAGTGGAGTTTCAGTTGTGTAAGTAAAAACTTGTTTATTGGTTGAATTATTTAAAATGCTGGACTGGTTAGTTATATCCGGAGTATAACTGGAATCGAATCCATGAGTGGAATCTGGACAGTTAGTATTAAGCGATTGAAATGTATCATTTATCGTTGAATGATTTTGATTTTTTGCCGATGAATCTAGCCTATCATAGCCAAATTCGTTAAGTAGTTCCAAAGATCTTCTATTAGTCGATGAATTTTTAGTTGTATTGATAAATTCTTCGGATGCATCTATTTGAATATATTTAATAATAAATATATAACGAGGAATCCATATTAATTATTACTGGACATAATTCAATATTTTAAGTAAATATTTCGTATCTAATATAGTAGCACCAGGAGCTGTGCCTATATACATATTTAAGAACATTTATTTTACTTAACTTTCAGACCTGTAAGGATGTGATAGTATGACATAGTGTATACCTCCACTTCACTTGCAGTTAATTAATCATTCGGATGTGTCTCTATTACATCTTATATTTTAATGTATACAATTATTTTTATATTACGTTAAGCAGAATGAACGTTATTAAAAAATGTATATCTGTACTGATCATGATAAGCATTTTATTTATATATAGATAAATATTTATATTTTTCATTACCTTTACTAGAAACATATTAATATGAGACGAGAACAAGACAGCTGATAGGAACACAAACTAGCTGGAACGAACACGAATCAGTTAACAAACTATAAATTGGGTGATGTCAAGTATATAAAGTTAGCATTAGTAAATAAATATTAAAATTAGCAAAAAACGGTTTAGATATGTCGGGAGGCATATAGCTTAAAAGAGAATATACTAATCCAAGTAACGCAATGACGGATTGTTTCTTTGATATAGTAATTTTATGATAAGTTAATCAGATCTTACCAATATGAAAAATTTTTAATTCATAACATATAAGGTATTGAATCTTTTAATGT